TTTCCTCATCTTTATGAGTATGACTACTTTGATTTCTGTTTTCCTCTCCCTCTCTCTATGGAGTAGAACCCTTCTCTCACTTGGGTATGAAGAACCCTAGTTCCATGTGTTAGGGATTTGATTGTAATGACTTGGGATGATTATACTGTTTGGTTTTAATCGAATGATGCATGTTTCATTGAATTAATTGAAGTCTGATAAGCTTTTCTTGATTTCTGCTGCAACCTGAGATAAATAGAATCTTATTAGGTTGTTAGAGCCTCTTCATTCGGTAGTAGTAGATTGGCTATACGAGAGTTAGTCAGTCTAGTGCTTTGTACTGGAATCCAATTCCAGTAGTGGAGTTCTGAGCTTATTGCTTCAGCTTTCTATCCCTGTGAAGACTAGTCGTCTGCCGGGTAGTTAGACTGAGAGGCCTTGGTCAACACTCAATTGTTGCTTGTCCCTAAGCAACGACTCAAGAGTCACACAGACCTAACAATCTATAACAATGACACATTACAGACTCAACACTCAAACACTCAAAGCAAAACACAAAATTTCCTTGTACTCTTGTTGTAATCAGTAGTTTCTTTCTCAACGGACAAGTTGTGCTTTAATGGTAATATCTTTCACCCCACACTCAAGGTCTTTGCAACCCTTAACCATTGACTGACTCAAATCCATCAAAAACTCACATAGAAACACTCAATTTCGATCGTCAGTAGTGGGTTATTAACTTATGGTGTAACAGTTATTAGGAGAATCTAACCACATCAGTGAGGTGCATATCTCGTGAGAACAATCTGGCTTACTCACACCAATCATAAGCAATTAACAAAGCATGAGTCTCAAATAACTAATGGGGGAAGCCTTTCGCAAACATGATTTTAACTTTAAGCACATCACTACCTTTTATGACAAGGAGAGGCTTTCTCTCTTTCCGCTTTTGCTTGCCGAGTGGTCCTATTTATTACAAGTGGGAATTGTTTCTTACTACCGGTGACCGAGCAAGAGCAATTTCTGCTTCTTAGCATTCGCATAAGAGCTTCGTCTAACTCCTTTTCCTCGGTCCGTGTGGAGGGTCGTTGCACATCCTCTAATGACACTTCACTCAACTGGGGATCGTACTTGATAAGCAACATCGTACGGTCGCGAACTGATTCTCAATTGAATCTTTCCTAATCCCCATGTGCAATGAGTGATTGCCTCACACGATTTTGGCATTTTTACCCACACTTTAATTGTTATGGCAACTTTCTTATCTTTTACTTGTCAGGTAGTGTTTTCTTTTATGAAGATACAGTTCACCCCATCATAAAACAATCAAAATAGAGAGACTCGTTGCAAAATCAAAATCTTACAATTGATGCAAGTAAGCACGGTATCCAAACATGTCGAATGGTCAATGTTCTCCACCTAACTACTTCACCAAAAGTCATTACACTATCCTCACAAAAGAGAATGTTGCTAAAAGAGTTTGCTCATTCAAAGCATATCAAGTCAGTCAAAACATTCAAGCTAATTGTGAAGAACTATGCAATTCAACACTAGTGGGGTGATTTTGATGATTTCATTCAAGCACAAACTCATTTTCAAGTCATCACGGTCATTTACATCATGTTACCACAAGAGTACAAGGTTTTGTTTTTAATTTTTCTGATTTTTAGGTGTTTTTTAGCCATTAGCTTTGCACAGGCAGACTGCACCAACACAAGCAAACTGCATGCAGTTTGGCTGTGCTCAACCTAATGGCAATTTTTTTTATGACATACACATGACGAGACACTGTGGACAACTAAGACTTGACACCTAAACATAAAACACGACAAGAACATAGACCATCCACCCCACACTCAGGATGGACATTGTCCACAATGTCTGCTACTGCACACGACACACCAACAGGTTCACCTAGTTAACAATATTATAGACCATCATCCACTACGAGAAGTATTCACAAAGAAGAAAAAAAAAGAACCTCAGGACAAGCTCCTATGAAGGAGGGGTCGATGAAGAAGTGTCAAACTTCTCATCTAGACTCTGGTTGAGCTCCTTGATCTTCTTATCTTTCTCTGCGTCTCTTGCTTCCAAGATAGCTATTCTGGCTCTAAGATCGTCTCCAGATGATGGTGAAGCTGGTACAACTGGTGGAGTATCTCCTGGATGCGGAACTGGAGGTGAATGTGACTGCTGACTCTGACCGACACTCGTTGCAGAGTGCCCTGCTGCTGTTGGTGATGATGAACAAGCACCCAGAGGCATGGGTGTCTGGAGTTGTTGTCGGGGTGGCTACCGATGGTGCTGGAGATGATGCTGAAGCAGAAGTTGATCTAGCAGTCTTTGCTGCCCTTTTCCGATTGTTCCCAATCTCCCACTCCTTGTATTTGGCGATGGATAGATATTCACCACGACATCCTGATCTCCTCAGAAAACCCAACTTGCCTAACGCTGTTTCCCCAAGCAGAGTCGAGCCCTCACTTATCTCCAAACCCATAGGGTTCTCTGGTAACCCCCATTAAGCTCGAGCTAATGCATTTATGATTCCCCCACACATAATAGCTCCACAAGTTTTGAGTGCTTCATTTTCAAGCATCTTACCCGCCATGTACCCAACACACAATGGTGCTCCAGTGACGAAACTGTGAATGTACCTGAGATCGGTGGTGTAGACACCACTGACATTGGATCCCTTTCCGAAGACAGTTCGAGCCAAGTAGTCGTGTACTAGTGGGATCACAGAGTCTCGGATTGATGATGTCCTCGAAGAGCTAGGATTGAAGTCCTTTCCATTTGTCACAATTGTCTTCTAAAACTCTCCCAAATCCTGTGCTTCATCAGGAATTGCATCTGCTGCACTATCGAAGTAAAGTGCTCAGTTCACCTGGCTCAAAGTGAGGGACTTGGTTTGCCCGGCCAAAGTACTTTGAAGCTTGCTCTCAACCCCACTATCCTCGAAGCTGTAGGTGGCCAAGAATGCTCTAGTGAGGTGTGGATAGGTGAGGAAGTGCAGCTCCGGAAATCTTGCCAAATTCATCCTGCGGAAATATGTCATCACCTCCTCAGCCCGCTCGGTCTTTTGCAATGCTTCATAGTCCATGAACTGAGAAGGGATGACCTCTCGTTTCATCAGATCTGCATATTCCTCTTTATGTTGCTGGAGTTGGAGAGGTCGACCGAACGTCTTAGAGACGTCCTTTGGAAGAGAAGAATCATCCTTCTTCTTGCTTGCAACTGGGGTAGTACGACGTGGTGTCGTGGATGGTGCAGGTGCTGAAGAAGAAGGCTTCCTCTGTGGTCGTGAAGATGATCCTGGTTGCTGGATACGAGTCCTCTTTGCTGGCCTGCTCTCAGGTGATACAACTGGTGTTGAATCTGGGAGTGGAGGTTCTTCAGGAGGCATTTGAGCAAGCTGCTGTGGTGGAGATGGAGCTGGAGAAGTCATCTCAATAGTCCGGGACCACATCGTGGGTCCAACCTGGCTAGTGATCACCCTGTGAAACTGAGCTGGCATGCTAACTGCTTGAAATCGTAGGGGAACTTTGGGAATTGGGCTGTCTCGATCAGTCACCTTGTGGCTGTCTTCAATGGTCCACGAACGGTACACAATCTTCCCATCCACACTTTGATCAGTGACTTTGAAAGCAGTCCGGTATGCCCAGAGTGCATCATGCAAGAAGAAGGCTGATTCTCTCTTCCAAAGGACGTCTCTAAGACGTTCGGTCGACCTCTCCAGCTCCAGCAACATAAAGAGAAATATGCAGATCTGATGAAACGAGAGGTCATCCCTTCTCAGTTCATGGACTATGAAGCATTGCAGAAGACCGAGCGGGCTGAGGAGGTGATGACATATTTCCGCAGGATGAATTGGGCAAGATTTCTGGAGCTGCACTTCCCCACCTATCCACACCTCACTAGAGCATTCTTGGCCACCTACAGCTTCGAGGATAGTGGGGTTGAGAGCAAGCTTCAGAGTCTTTTGGCCGGGCAAACCAAGTCCCTCACTTTGAGCCAGGTGAACCGAGCACTTTACTTCGATGGTGCAGCAGATGCAATTCCTGATGAAGCACAGGATTTGGGAGAGTTTTAGAAGACAATTGTGACAAATGGAAAGGACTTCAATCCTAGTTCTTCGAAGAGAGCATCAATCCGAAACCCTGTGACCCCACTAGTACACGACTATTTGGCTCGAACTGTCTTGGGAAAGGGATCCAATGTCAGTGGTGTCTACACCATCGATCTCAGGTACATTCACAGTTTCATCACTAGAGCACCATTGTGTGTTGGGTACATGGTGGTAAGATGCTTGAAAATGAAGCACTCAAAACTTGTGGAGCTATTATGTGTGGGGGAATCATAACTGCATTAGCTCAGCTTACTAGGGGTTACCAGAGAACCCTACGTGTTTTGAGATAAGTGAGGGCTCGACTCTGCTTGGGGAAACAACGTTAGGCAAGTTGGATTTTCTGAGGAGAGCAGGATGTCGTGGTGAATATCTATCTATCGCCAAATACAAGGAGTGGGAGATTGAGAACAATCGGAAAAGGGCAGCAAAGGCTGCTAGATCAACTTCTGCTTCAACATCATCTCTAGCACCATCAGTAGCCACTCCGACAACAACTCCAACTCCTACACCCATGCCTCTGGGTGCTTGTTCATCAGCACCAGCAGCAGGGCACTCTGCAACGAGTGTCGGTCAGAGTCAACAGTCACATTCACCTCCAATTCCGCATCAAGAAGATACTCCACCAGTTGTACCAGCTTCACCATCATCTGGAGACGATCTCAGAGCCAGAATAGCTATCTTGGAAGCCAAAGACGCAGAGAAAGATAAGAAGATCAATGAGCTCAGCCAGCGTCTAGATGAGAAGTTGCTTGTGCACTCGCTCCTTTTTCGTGCTTTCTCCACATGTAAAATATCAAACTCATGGCACTAGGCAGTAATGGGTTTTCAACCATTTCCAGGTTAGCGAGCCCTAAAATAACACCAATCGGCTTAAACATATCATAGAATAGTCACATAAAGTTCGAGAATCAGATATATTAAAGCCGATTATCACCTGCCTATGATGGAACTGATGGGATGGTCTTTCGAGGCAAACCCCGACCATTGAGTTCGCGAAATTCAACGGTCAGGAGGATGCAGGGCTGTGGTTGTATGCAGCAGAGAGGTGGTTCAGGAATCACCCCATATCGGAGGAGAGGAAGGCGCATCTAGCGTCCTTCTACTTAGAAGGTGAAGCACTACAGTGGTGAGAGTAGATGGAGAGATCCTACAGGACAGCGGGAACCTTGATCACCTGGCCGATGTTTCAGGAGGAGCTCCGTTACCAGTCGATAAATCGAAGGGGTAGGCCCCGGAGCAGTTGGCTAAGCTGAAGCAGACCAGCTCAGTTGCGGATTATCGTGCGGAGTTCTTCAAGCTGGACAATCAATGTCGTGGGGTCCTCGAGGATACATTGGTGGGGCTGTGTATGGCAGGCCTAAAACCGGTGATTGATGCTGCCGTCCGGGTCTTTGAGCCGGACTCTTTGAAATCTGCTTTTCGTCTTGCAGGGTATAAGAAAGAGGAGCTTGCGAGTTGGTGGAGCACCATAGGGCGCTACCCGCGAACCAGTGGCGCGGGGAGCAGTGGCGGAGCTGGCAGTGGAAGAGGAAGAGGCGTGGCTGGAGCAACCGCGGGAGCTGGAGGATCAGCGGCGGCGGCGGCGCCAGTGGCTGCGGTGAAGGGTGGGATGCGGCCGCCACCGAAGGGGTTTGTGCGGTTGTCCCCTGCGGAGAGCGAGCAGAAGAGGCGGGAAGGGAAGTGCTTTAATTGCGACGAGAGGTTAACGATCAGTCACAAGTGTGCACGCCCCGACTTGATGATGCTGGTCGGAAGGTGGAAGGACGAGGCAGAGGATGAGGCGAGAGAAAAAGAAGAAGCAGTGGAAGGCTACCAACCTTGAGGACAAGGTTGTTTTGAAGAGAGCGGGAATGATAGACGATTTGATTATTTGTGTTTTATATTCGGATTGAATTATTTTGTTTGGGCTTATTTTGGTTATTGGGGAATAATTTGGGGATTTATAAGTTGGGGTAGTTAGTAGGTAATTGTGTTTGGATATTTAAACTCTTGTTTTACGTAGGAAAGGCAAGCAAAAAAGATTAAACCTAAAAACTACTCTTTCTCTCTTCTCTTTCCCTAGCCGCCGAGCCTTTCCCTCTCCCTCTAAAAGCTGCCGATCGGCAGCCCCCTTGTCCCCTTCCTTCTTCTTTCCTCAATTCCTCCTAAATCACCTTCCTCCAATTTTCAAATTCCTGATCAATCCCTAATTGATCCCAAACCCCCAATCCCTCGAGCTCAATCCGGAGCTCAATCACATTTCTTTTTCTTTCTTACGGAGACGATATTCTTTTAGCAGCAACGTTAGATGTATCATGTATTCGACCTAGAATGGGAACAACTGGCGCACCTGAGAGTAACAGTCTATGGCAGCTTTGAAGTCTTTATCACGAAATGCAACATCTCCTCGCTTTCTAGCTTCCAGCATCTCTCATTTGTTGCGTCCATTCCTGGAAAGACAACTGCATAGAAACAAACAACTTAGCCTTCATCGTAGTAACAAAGTATCAACAATAACATTCTTATTCCCCGCAATTGCTCACCTCATTGGTTCCTTCATCGTCTTTGTAGTGCATCATTACTAATATCTGATGTATAGCTGTCAGGTCCATTCGCGAGCAGGCATCGCCCATGGGAGAAAGAGGATGTTGTGGTGTCGGTGGTGCTTGTTCTTGCTTGGATATTCCCAGCATCACATAGGAAGGAACCTGTATAATCATGCACATTAGCTCAAAAATCCAATAATGGCCTATGATAGCTACTGAAAAAGATTCCACACTAGTTTAGCAAGCTAACTATTAGCTAAATTTTCACCACTTGGTGAAGCGCTCAGTGAAAGAGAAGTGCTATCTATCTTGGATTGTGTAGGAATAAAACTTGATGTAACGGATCATGAAACTGAGAAGATATGTCTTACATCAGACTTGTTCTGCAGAGGGGAAAGTGTCTCAACAATATCTTTGGTGCATGGCCTCTCTCTCGGCTCGTATTGCAAGCATCGTGAGGCTAGATCAAAGACTACAGTTGCCTCCTCAGTAGAAAAGTTCCCTTCCAGATGTGAATCCATCAAGAAAAGGAGGTTTTTTGCACGGATCATATCAAGAGCCTGTATATGCGTGGATGCAAGTATCAAAACTTCAAGCTTCCATGGAACGAATTGACATGTTTTCACACATAAAGATAATTGATTAAGAAGTAACAATTACATGGCTAGGAGGAATATGCTTTCCACTGAGAAGGTCTAAAAGCACTGTACCAAAGCTGAAGATAACACTCTCTGGGGTGACTCTACCTACATTGCAGTTGAGAGTATAAAATCAATTATCTAAAAGATTTCCTATTCAAATTAAGTATAGAGGTTACAGGCTAGTTAAAACTAAAGGAAATCAGTTAACTTCATGGAGAGTACACTGAAATAAGAATATCAGTAATGATTTAACACTCGGTAAAGTTTTTTTCCCTGCAAAGCAAAAACTTACCATTTTTTAAATACTCGGGAGGTGTGTAGGCAAGATTGGTGCTGTAGCTTTTCCCATCCCTGCTATTTTTCATCAGTCCAAAACATGATAGTCGGGGATCTCCATTCTGCCCGTAAGTATGCATCATTAATTTTTACGACAACTTGGACAAAGTATGAGCATTCAAGGAAAGCCAAGCTCATGGGATAGGCAAGTTCTTCACCGCTACCTCGTCAAACAGAACCCTATAAGCATTCAAGTCATGGTACAGTGGACGACCTTCAGCACGACAATAATTCAAAGCTTCTGCCATGTACAAAGCAACTCTCAAGCGCAGAGCCCACTCAATGGTTTGACTTTCCCCTGTTGGCAAAGTAAAGTGAAATGAGATCAGAATCACACATCCAAACCATGAAGTAAATCATCCCGCCTACAGTCCAGCCAATTAACTAGCTGGGGCCTGGGGCTGACTTCTTCAACACTCGACCTTACTTACTACTTTAGCTTCCCACATGAACATAAAAGCAATAGATGCAAATGACTCCAAGCAGGGAACATTACATACATAGGCCACGAATTCCAGTCAGCAAAAACACGACTCCCTCATCCTAATCGATATGCATAGCATCGATAAAACCGTACTAAATCTTCTAGTGATGTTAACAAACATTAGCAACCCTAGGATTGTGATTCCTAATTGGAGCAATTACTAGGCCAAACTAAGAACAGCAATCAATTCCATTCCTTAAAAGAACCTACTTTACCTCATTACCCTACACAATGTACAATGCCCAAAACAGCCAACGTTTCTACTTACACTATCAAAAGACAAAAATGAACAAAAGCTCAAGAAGATGCCATTAATGGAAGTACTCACAGTGGAACAAGTGCTTAGCTAGAGTATCATTAGGCATGTACTCTGCAACTAGTAGCCTCTCGTCTCCATCGCAGCAGTAACCAATCAAATTAGCCAGCCTCTTGTTCCTCAACTTCCCAACTCCCCACGCTTCATCCTTTGAACAAAAATCAAGCTAACAGTCAATACCAGCAAAAACGAATAAAACCCTAAATCACAGAAACGGAAAAGAAGAGGTAAGACCAATTTACAACGAACTGTTTGGGATCAGGCCAGGCGACTTTGGTGAATTTCTTGACAACGATCCATCTCCGATCGCTATTCTTCTTATCATCAGTAATTCCACTACTGCTGTTGTTGTTACCCAAACGTCCCTTGTACACTACATTCGGAGCCTTCTCTCCGCTCTCGGACACGATGAAATAAAAGCTGAAGTTGTTGGTCGCCGCTTTCAAGTCGGCGAGCGAGAACTCGGCGAACGCCGGGACGCCGCCGGTGGAGGCAGGGGAAGCGGCGCCGTTGGTCGGCTGGTGATGGTGGTCATGGTCGTTGCCGTGGACGCTGTGATGGACGTCGGAGGAGCTCGGCGGCTTGGTGAAGCATGACTGGCAGCAACCCATAAATAAGGGCCAAGATATGGTGACTAAGTGGGTCTCCTTAGTAACTTGCCTAAGTCAATCTTAGACTTTCAAGTTCATTAAAATCCAATGGCTCTAATTAATTTAATTTAATAAAGTGTAGTGTAGTAATTACTTGATTCATTATTATTTTAATTTTAAAAATTAATAATTATAAAATCCAACAGCAGCGACCCTACGAAATTTCCCAGCGGCCGACCAGCCCCTCTCCTCGCCGATCAAAATTTCCCGGCGGGTCGAGGCTTTTCCGGTGCGTGGTTGTGCACCTGCCAGCTGCCACTGCCATTTTTTTTTGGTGCGTGCCCACCATAGAGAGAGACATCCTGCCATTTATTATTTGGTTCGTCCCAGAGAGAGAGAGAGAGAGTTTCTGGTCGGAAAGATTTTCTGGTCGGAATAATATTTTCCGGCGACCATCGTCGACGGAGAAGAATTTTCCGGCGATAGTGCCAATTTTGTGATGTTTGTTGACATATTTTGTAATGTTTGTATGCTTTGTTATTTTGTAATGTTTGTAAACTTTGTTATTTTTGTGCACCATGTTTATCATTTTTGTCAACCATGTTTGTAATGTTTTTTATGTCTAAAAAACAACCTGGTTGACTTTTGGATGGAACTTCTCTATATAGGGATGAAGCCTCCAAAGTCAACCCGGGTGTTTTTTCCCGTTCGTATGGATTGTCGGTCTAGTTTGTCATTTTTGTCCACCATGTTCGTACTGTTTGTATGTCTAAAAAATACCCGGGTTGACTTTGGAAAGGAGCCCCTCTATATAGGGATGGAGCCTCCAAAGTCAACCCGGTTGTTTTTTCTTTTTGTATGGTTTGTATTGTTTGTCAGTCTAGTTTGTATTGTTTGTACAGTTCATACGTTTGTAATGTTTGTAAATCTGTTTGTATGTTTTGTCGCTCTAGTTTGTACTGTTCGTATGTTTGTATGGTTTGTACTGATTGTAAATCCGGTTTGTATACTTCGTAATTTTCCATAATACCCAAACTACCCCTGTCATTAATTAAATAGCCCTTCCCACTTTTTAACCATTGGATTGAAGTGTCCAGATCTAATGGCTAGGAGGGGCTTAGTCAAGTGACTAAGGACCCCCCCCCCCCTTAGTCATGGGATCCGCTCTCATAAATAAAGGACTCGAGTCGAGTGAGAGTTTGACTCGGGGCCGGGCGGCGGGAAAATCACCTTGCTTTCCTGTTTTCGGGTTTCAAGGAAAAACCATAGTCGTGAAAAGTGAGCTGAGAAAAAGCGGCTTTGTGCTTTGTTTGGCTTCCGATTTCTCTAAACCCAAAAAGAGTTCTCCGAGAAAGTGAGAGATCTGGAGGAGATAGTGGAAACAGGGAAGAAGGTGAAGCAGTGAAGAAGCTTACGGAGGCGTTGTTTGGCTTGGTGCTTATGGTGGTAACTGGTAAGAGCTTCGTAGCTCTATGGCTTCGTCTCTCCCTCCCTCCCTCCTTTTTATTGTCTTGTTTTCTTCCCTCCCCTGCTCTGAGTTAAGGAAAGAAAAGAAATGCCGAGTAGGATATGCCAAAAAAACATATGGCACGCTTAAGAAAGAAAGTTAATTGCAGGATCGTGTTGACAAAAAGATGTAGGCACAATTAAGAAAGTAAGTTAATTGCAGGATTGTTTGACAAAATGATGAAGGCACAGTTAAGAAAGAAAGTTGATTGTAAGATTGTTCATTTCATGATAAAAAAAATTATTTCATCTTCGATTCTTGGTAGATTATCAATGATGTGCAAAGGAAATTCGGGAATCAGAAATCCAGCAAACAACTGAGTTCTCTGTTGCCTTCTATATTGGATCAACCCGATTATCAGCCGGTCTTACACAAGAAAAATTATTACACATCATTATCAAAACTAAATACTATTCTTTAACTGCTAATAATGTCTACTAATAAACTATGGTGTTCCACTTAAAATGACTGACAGACTAATCAGATGAAATGAGAAACCCAAAACGTCTTCTTCCTTCTTCTTTCACTTCGACACAATCTTTTCTTCATCTGGAATCCAACTACATCTTTCATTCATAAGTCTGATACCCCGCTCAAGTTGGCAATTCAAACAAGTTTGCATTTCTCAACTTGATTGAAAGATCCCATGATGTGAAATCGATCGAGCCCCTTAGTGACCAAATATGCTACTTGATTAGTTGTCTCGCCATGTTGCAACCTGATCAAGCCACTTTTAGTTCTTTCATTTGTAGCGTGCATATCTATCTCAATATGTTCCCATGAAACACAGGGTTTTCTGCGGTGTGGGTATCATATATGTTACCACAAAAGATTGTGATTGGTAAGGGGACATGTATAGTAAACTCTGCAAGCAATCCTTTAAGTCATTGTATCTCACTGACAAGATGTGCTATGGCTCTCTACTCTACTTCAGAGGAAGATTTGGATATAATAGTTTACTTCTTGGCCTTCCATGTGAGAAGTGATGTCCCTAAGCATGTGCATTAACCATAATCTAATCTTATTATACATGGCACCTTTCCCAATTAGAGTCACTATAACCAATCAACTTTAACTATGCTTTGCGACTTAAATGGATTCCTTACCCAGGTGACTAGGTGAGTTCTTCAAATACATACAAATCCGACATGTTACTTGTAAACGCTCATGACAAGAGTTCCTTTGGTATTGGAAAAGCTGTTGTACAACAAATGTCACATCTAGTCTAGTGATGGTAAGGTAGTGGATTCTTCTTACTAACCGTCTGGAGCATTCACCATCCTGCGACAAGGTTTCTTGTGTAGTTAGCTTGACATTTGTGTCAATTGGAGACTTTCACCCCTTGAATTCCATATATCCAATATTAATAGCTCAACAAAGTATTTTCTTTGACAAACACTCATTCCTTCTTTATTTTTGGTGACCTCTAATCCAAGAAAGTATTTCAGTGGTCCTAAACATCTTTATCTTGAACTCTCAACTCAGTGCTTGCTATACTTGATCAATATTTTTTTAGCATCTCCTTATGATTACGTCATCAACATATATAAACCAATAGAATGATAACTCTTTCATGTATCCATTTAGCAAAGGCTGAATAGTCAAGAATAGATTTTGCAAAAGAACTTCTCATTAGGAATCCTGTGAGTTTTACAAATCATTGTCGTGACGCTTGTTTAAGAAAATACAATGACTTCTTCAACTTGTAACCCATAGTATGTCCATTGGCATTGTACACTATTATTACCAAAGGAATTTTCATATACGCCTATCCTTCTAGCTCTTCGTGCAATAATGCATTTGAGACATCAAGTTGCTTCAATATCCAGTTTTTTATACTTATGCCGCTAGAAAGGCTTTCACTAAATTGTTCTTGGCTACATGAGAAAATATGTACAATAAGTCAATTTCATATATCTCAGTGAACCTTTTTGCCACTAGTCTATTTTTGTACCTCTCAACTAATCCATCTGGCATGTACTAATTTGTTACCTATTGCCCTTTTTGTTTTTAGACAATGCCAATATATCTCATGTTTGATTCTCTTTCATTAAATGAGTCTCTACATTTACAACCTTGTTCCATTCATCACTTCTAATTGCTTCATAGAAAGAACACACTAAATGAAAAGGCCTTATTTGTTGGACTTAATACATTGACATTCAAGCACACATATATTTGATGCATGCATCAACATTATTAAAACCTTCAAACTTCAATCATGTATCCATTTAGTCTTTCATCTTTCTAGCGGACTACCTTCTTTACTATATCATTATCATCTGGGTCTATATCTTTCTATGGTAATAATCCATGCTTATTAACATTAAAATACTCATATATAGAATGACCAGCAAAAGAAGTGGCTTCCTCAGTGTCTCCCCTTCATCTTTGGATAAAACAAACTGAGGGAGAGCTTAAGAAGAATGAGAAATAGGAACAAGTAAGGTAGGAGCATAACATATGATGTAGAGGGATCTGGAGCTGGAGGAGGAGGAACATGGGATTCACCAGACTCACACTGGCTATAGGGAAGAATAGTCTTATAAAAGGTCACATCTCTGGAGAGAGAAAATTTCTTACATTATAAGTCTAGTAATTTGTATCATTTAACACTCTTGAGCAAGCCTAGGAAGATACATTGTCTAGATCTGGGAGCAAACTTTGTTCTACCATGAGCTAGTGTGTTGGCAAAGCATAACAATCGCACACTCTCTGTTATCCTAGAAAAGGATGTTCTTTGCAAATGACTTCATATGAGGACTTGTTCGGTGAATTGGAATTATGTTAATGAGGTATACGTAATGTAGAACTCAATCACTTAATAGGATGAGAGGGATTTCATATTCAAATCTCAATCATCTAGCCACTTTGAGAATGAGTTCTTGTTTTCTCTTCACTCTTCCATTATGTTATGGGGTTCCTACACGTGAAACATGAAGTTCAATCCTTTACGAGGTGTTGAAATCACACATAATTTTTTTTTTCGTGAGAGCTCCATGCAAATTTAATTGTGGTATTGAAATGGTTCTTGACTAGATTGCAGAAACCTTCAACCAAACCGTTCACCTCATTTTGTGTTGCATCAAATAAACACATACAACACGAGAACAATCATCCACAATATAACATCCCGAACTTTTTGCCGACGAATATATTGTCCGTTTTGGGCCTCGACCCTCTATTTTTGAACTTGGGATGCAATTCAAGGTGGCTTCCCATAAAGTTATACATCCTTGTTGTACTCCACATTGAGCACGTTTACCTACGAAGTTCTCACAAGAACTCCTCCATTTCACCCCAAAACGTGTATTGTCAGTTAAGGTCGGTTTCTTACTTATACTTTGTCGATGTGGGATTCACCTAAGATGTTACACATAATTCTAAGAAAATAATTATAATCATCATACAAAGGCACATAAAAAGGTCCCATAATACTCATATGAACCAAATGAAAGATTGTAGGTTCAATATTATTGGTAACAGGTTAGAGAAGCTTTTCACGTTTAGAAAGATAGACATACTTTTTAGTGTTTTGAAAATTTAAAGACATATTTCTATCATATGGTCGGGATGTCCTAGCCTCCAGTGCCAAAGGTCGAATTGATGTGATTGAAAGTTGAATGAAGAGACTGCTTGGTATTTAGGTATAGGCTGGAAGGTCTTTGTCTGGCTTGTTGGAAGAATGAGTTGATAGAGTCATTTAGTTTCTCTTACTAAACCAATCTTCTTCATGCTTAGAAGGTCCTGAAATTTCACACTAATCAGATAGAAATTGTAATGAAAAGGGAAAATCGATTGTGAGCTTACTCACTAAACCCATCTTGGATGAAAAACTTGAAACAAACAGAACATTCAAGAGGGATAATCATGTTGGGAGTTTGATTGTTCTTACATGTGTTACTAACACTTTTTATTGTTTGGAAGGCAAACAAATGTATCATGAACAACTTTAAAATCACCAAACTAGATTTTACATCAACCAATGTGATCGAATCACATGTGTTTATGATCCAAAGGTTTATAGTGTTGGGCTTATCTTGTTGGAAAGAAAACATGGCATATTTACCTGAGGGATTAGGGAAAGGTGTGAGGATGGCATCGGCCGGCAACTCGACATTAATGGCCTTTTGTTATGTGTGGTGAGGTGGAGAAGTATTTAATGGCCACATCATCAAATTAATGATTAAAGGTAAAAATTGACGGTCACGTAGGATGAACATAATGGAATTTGACTGTTAAAACGAGTGACTAATGAGAAAAACAAATTGAGCGACAGACATGAAAAAATTGATAAATCGAGTGACAAAATGTGTACCTAACTACGACAAAGAGTTGTGGCTGATTATTGGACCTTCCCTTTTGTCTGATTCGATCCGTTCCCGCAAATTTGTCCACTGCCAAGATCCTAATCCAGCCCATAAAAAACTTCTAATGGCCATTATATTAAGCCTATGGATTTTTCAGTTACTGGGCTTGCTGGGATCAGCAAGAGCTGGATAAACCAAACAATCTGAGACGAGGTTCAAGAAAGCCCAACGACCCTGTAAGAAAGCTGGCATAGCCCGCGTGGAAAATGGGGTTGAATGATTTATTTCGGATGGCAAATTCGACATAATTTATCGGGTTAATTGCATGGTTGGTCACCGAGATTACAAAAAACATTTAAGTTTGGTCACTCGAAATATTTAAATTCATTGGTGGTACTTCAGTTTACTGAAATCGTTCACGTTTGGTCACTCTCTGTCCAATTCTGTTAACTTTGGCTGATGTGGCAGTCAATTCTCAGAATTTACCGTTAATTTAGTGATGTGGCAGTTAGGAAATAGTAAATAAAATTTAATTTAATTTATTATAATGTCCAACTCATTTTTACCATAAAATAAAAAAAATAAAATATTTATTTATTTTATTATTTCCTTAAGCTCCTCACTCTACTCTCCGTCGCTGTGCTCTTGCTCTTCCTCTGGGTCTTCGATCCACGCTAGAGGTTCCACCGAATCGAGGCTAGCTCCTTCCCTTTCTCCATACACAAACCACCGTCTTCTCGTCGTCAGCTCTTGTCATCCCAAGAGGATGAGGGGGAGCTTTGTTCTGAGATCGGCCCTTGAAGACACCTATGTCCTCGAAACACCGCCGCCCGCCCTCCCTGCTGCTAGCAGCGCTGAACGTATCTACTGTTTGAAGCTCAAATTGCTGGTGAGTTTTTCATTTCTCCTACCAATTCCTTGCCCATTATCTTTTTAATTCGTTCTTGAAACCTTTCTAAATTCCACCGCTTAGCGATTCTAAATTCTTTCGGTTGGTTTGATGAATGTATCTTCTAATCCCTAAATTGGTTTAGGTTTTCCTTTGGTAATCGCGAGCTGCGAAATTAACGACTCTATTTGAAAGTAGAATTAGCAATTTTACACGAATTTGAAAGCAGACTCGATCGGCAGGGGAGGAGTGCAAAGCACACACGTTCCTGTTCTTGCTGCTTGTTAGGTTTAACTGGGGTTGTGGGTAAGGGTTCAATTTTCCGATTTCATGGTTGATTTCGATATCAGATAACTAGCCCACCCTTTCATTTGGTCAGTTTCCTGTGTCATTCGGAAGTTTGGTGGGAACGAAGAACAACATATACATTTAGGCAGTAGGGTCAAATAGATTATAATGTTATTTTATTTTTTATTTTACGGTAAAAATGAGTTGGACATTAAAATAAATTATATTTTATTTTATTTATTATTTCTTAATTGCCATGTCATTAAGTTAACGGTCAACTTTGAGAGTTGACTGTCACATCAGTCAAAGTTAACGGTGTTGGACGGAGAGTGACCAAACGTGAACGGTTTCAGTAAACAGAAGTACCACTAATGGATTTAAATATTTTGAGTGACTAAACTTGAACTTTTTTGTAATCTCAGTGACCAACCATGCAATTAACCCTTATTTTATCTGACCGGTTTGATTTGTTTATGTATACAGGGTGGAGTCATCGAGTTGGTATGGGTAATCTAATCGACCTGACTTGCTTCATTTTCAACTCTCTGTTTTTTATTTTTTTTATACTTTTATTACCTTATATATTAACTATAATAAAGTTGTAAATATGTGAAAAACTCAATTTCTCTAATAATCTAACTACATTTGTCATGTTAGAGTTTGTTACTTAATTTTTTATATAATAAAAAAATCAGCATTTCTAATATTTTTCCTTTAAATTACATACTCAGATGAATCGACCTGCCTTGATCTACGCTTCATATTAAAGTATCCTACTGATCATAGGATGAGTATGGATATCCAGATACCCTCTCCAACTTGTCAATTACCATTCCTAACCTTCTACGCTTAATTTCCTACTGTTATAATTTTATTATAGACACCACTCGTGGCTAATTTATTAAGGATGAATCATTGAAATTGTAGGCAAAAAATGATTATATGGAATGATTGAATTGGTGCCTGAAGTGTACAACAAGCATAAACCAGTGCACCTAAAATTACCTGGCAGGCAGCACCTTATCATTCACAACTTTCCATAATTGTGTTCTTTTGTTCTGCCTAAGTGCCTATAAAATAATAATAAAAGACTTAAGACTTTGATAAGCAATGATTTATGGAGAAAGAACAAAACAGGACAGGCAGAAAGTAGCCAGGCAAGTCAAGTGGATAACCTTCAAAGGCCTTTGTGGATCCGGTGAACACCCAATCATTTGAGGAATATTAACTGATTAATGAGAGGAGGTGATCAAGTTCTCTAATCTATATTTCGATGATCAAGTCAATATATAGAGTATATAATATTATTGATGGAAAATGTCGAAAGCGAAAACAAAGATCGATAGAGATATGAATGTTCTGTTAAGAAATAAGGTATTCATTGCTTAGTCTAGAATGCTTAATAGTCTTTTTATAGATTAGGGCTTGAGTTTTCGTGGACCCTAGTCGGCGTTTGGTGATCTCGACTCATACTTAGAGGACACTAGCTAGCTAGTCAAGACTTGAACCTGAACGTTCGTACAATTGCCATGGTGATGTTTGCCATCGTGATTCATAGGGAAAAATATCAAATTAGTAAGTGAGAAGGGAGGGGTAAATGAAACATTCCCATATCCAATTATCAATCCGTTAACGAAAATTTTAAAATAAGAGTAGATTTGTTATATTTTCATAGATGAAGGGCATGAAGATATGATGAAGTGATATTAACGCACACATCTAATCTACGAACTTGCATACCATATAATTGGTAGTGGCAATGGTTACGTTATTGGTGGGGATGACTCGAATAAAATGTTACTTGGATGCCATAATCTTTGAAAAAGAATTAATTAGGTGGATTTTCCAGCGAAATGGGATCCTATTTTTGTTAACGTGACTCGAAGGGAACTGAAATCATAAAGTAGCTAGCTAGATTCGATTATATTATCTCAGGAGGAATCATATTCATGCATGTGCCTAGCTTTTGGGTTGGTGTTTGATCCCCCACACTTTTATGATCAACGTGGGTTGACGGACACATATACCCAAAATCACGTTTGATTAGGGTTGCTATATTCTTATATATTTGTTATCTTCAGTAATCCTCATATCCCCTGGCTTTCAATTCAAATTAACAACAGCTAATCAAAATTTAAGTAGAAACTTTGAGGGTTGAAAGCTATAAACGTACACGAACTACTTATAATTAGTGGTAGAGAGAGTTTTAATCCTAGTTAGTTCTGCTTTAGTTTGGTTTGAATTGAATAGATCACTTATTCATAAATAACAATAACGAGAAGATGGTGGGGATATACATTTAAAATATTCGTCCATATATTGTGATTATTTTTGAATTATGGGTCGTCTAGATGATGAGGAGTTCTATATCATAATCTCCATCGCAAGAGGTATCATGCAAAATATTCGTTGAACATCAAAAGATACTTTCAATTAGGTACATTGTACATGAGTTTGAAATCACTACCTTTCAAAAATTTCATGTTTGCATGACCACTTTTTATAGATTAGTCATTCAGGTCAAACTTCCAGATTAATCTAATGCTCCCAACATCTATAGTAACCTCTTTTTTTTTTTTTTTTTTTTTTAAAACATAGTAACCAACTGTCTCATTTCCATATATCTTAAAGAAAACATAAGTTTAGACAAAGAAGAAATGAAATTGGTTCAACTTCAAATATCCCAAAATTTCCGAATGATCTATATGTTACATGTGTATTTGTTAAGTAGAATTTTCAACTAGATCTAATTCCCAACGTTTTTCTTGACGACACACTAAGCTAAGAGTATGTATTTAATTATATGTACTCAAAGTAAAAATAAAAATAAAAAGGATAAATGACTGTGTACGTAATTAACTCCAACATATAATTTGGTCTGTCTGGTATTTTTCTCACTAGAGAGCGAGACAATTGAGAAGTGAAACTCGAGTACTAATCAAGCTCCTAAACATCTTTTCCCCTCCTTTCTCGATCTTACAAATACATGCCTCCATTGTCTGCACTTGTCTCATAACCGTCCTAACTTCCTCCTCACTTTTTCTCTTCAACCCCAACAAGCACTCTCCACCCAATCCTCTCATCTCCTCAATCCCAACTTCTACAATCTTCGTAGCAGACCGCCTCGCCCTCTTCCTCAGCCCTCCCATCCAACTCGACGTCGTTTTCCTCGTCGAAAACCCACCAAAAACAACCGTCGAAACCAACATGGTCACCTCCACGATCTCCCTCAAGATCCCCGCCAGCTCGACATCCTCCGGTGCCATAACAACATGAGAGCACTCCAACCCGCTCCTCCTCGGAGTTTGAATCGCGTTGACGAGTTTAGCCATTTCCATACACAACTTCCTTCTTGATTTCAGAAACATCGCGACCTTCACGTCGTCCCTCTTCCTCACCGCCACGTGGGCGGAGAGATGCAGTTCTCTCATGCCGAACATAACATTCTGAAAGCCTCCGTACGCGTCCGCGAAGCGGAGAAAATCTTCCAGAAGATTCTCGATCCACCCTGGCTGGCGACAGAGAGACTCCCGAGTCTGGGGGAGCTGGATGATGTCGTCGAGGTAGTCGTGCACGTCCTTGAGTCGAGCCAGACCGTCGCAGAGCCACATCGAAGTTCTGGTGGCACCTGGCTGCTGACTTGACCATAGATGTAGCTCGTCGATATGGCGGCGCAAGTGTGAGATCAGGGGGTGGGGTCGAGATGGGAGACTGATGGATCTCAAGTGGTGGGAGATTGGAGGTGGTGGTGGAGGTTTCTTGTTGGGGAAGGAAAGGGAGCGCATGAATTTGCCCACCATTGTTGTTTTGTGTGTTTGGGGTTTGTTTAGGGGAAAATTGTGTAGGAGTGGTGGGTTGGGGAAGGAAGTTATATAAAGGGAGGAAGTTTTGAAAGTGGAAGGAACCGTTTGGGATCAGAATGGTACAGCTGTTACATGTTAGTTAAGTACCCAATATAATTATTGAAGTATAATTTGAACTTAGACGAGTAATTAGATTAGTCATGGGCAAAATGGGTGCAGAAAAACACAGTGCCGTTTCAAGTGGGGAGGAGACACACGTGGTGTTGACACGCTGGCTATGTGGTGGGGGGATGTGCCCAATTTCCAAAAGGAAAAGATAAGTGTTGGCAGCTAAAGAAATGTTTGGCCGTTGGTATAGTTGGCAATTAGGGGGGGATTTGATTTATTTGCTTGAGTTTCTTGTGTTACTAAGCCTTTTTTTACTGTTCATATACAATGGTGCAAACAAATTAGGATGGAGATTCGAAGTTAAAAACAAATTCTCTAGAAGTGATGAGACGGGTAATGCATGCACGAATTTTGACACACGATCGAGATTGACGAAAAAACAAATAGATCAAGATCTTAAATACTGCAATGTTGTCAGAACCGAACCGGAGCATGACCCAGTAATGCAAACGGCTCGCACTTTAGTGGTCCAACCGGCATTAGACCGTTTAAAAACCGTTAAAGAACCGGTACCTAATAAACGTTATCAGTATAAATAGTGGACATTTCTTAATCAGAGCTCATCTCTTTCCTTCAAAATTGTGAAATGGAAATAAGGATTCAGTTTAAGAGGCCGACGTTTTTGGTTTATTTCAATATTCAATTTTTTGCAAATTTTTTAATTAAATTTAGTGGCTGAGTGGAAAAAACCGGACGAGTAGCTCAATCGGCTCGAACGGTTAACCGCCTCGGCCGCTCTTCAACCGCTACATAAAATCGGAGCGGCTTTTAGACTGTTCCGAGCCGGTTTTGTGACCGGGTGACGGTTTTACCGGTCAGGCCGAGCGGCTCGGCTCGGCTTTAATAACACTAAAATAGAGTAACATAATTAATGATTCATATCAATGTATGACTAAACAGACGATTCGATATAAAAAGACAAAAGAAATCAAAGAAAGGATTGGAAGAACGCGAAGATAACCATAAAAATACGATTATCCTCCACATTCGGCAGATCGAATCAACTAGGGGTGGCTATACGGTCCAGTCCGATTAAATTGGTCTGGATTGATCCGGTCCCGATCCGGTCTTTTCGAGAATATAAGGACCAAAGATTGGATTGGATACAGTACGGTCTTGATCCGGTCTGGTCTCAATTCGGTCTTGATTTTAGATTGAGCTTGTGGGGATTTGAGTATCCTGAGGGGGAATTTGAGTGGCCTAAGGCCTAAAAGGGTGAGGAGGTTAAATTTTGAGTGTTGGGCTCTTTTATCCGATCTTTATCCGGTTTTTGGTCCGGTCTCATACAATGTTTTACCTCAAATCTAGGCCCAAGATTGGATTGGATTGGATTGTTTGCTATCCGGTCCGGATCTGATCTCGGTCCGAATTATACTGTCTAGTTTCGGGTGAAACCAAAAAACCTGGAACAAATAGCCCGCCTTAGAATTAACAAGCAGAAATATAAATATACATGCATGGACGCGAGCGAAAACCCTAATCGACTAATTACTAATTAGCACTAACAAAATACCGTTACCACTAAACACTAACAAACCCCATAATATGCGTATCAACCGGCGCCGTAACATTTCCAACTCGTAGGTCAACATGCAAATTGATCAAAGTTCTGGCAAGAGCAAAGTTATAAGTGCATAACACAGGTGGATGGTCAGGATCAGAAGGCACACAGGAGGCAAACAACCAAGAACCATATGGACGCCGATTACTCGTTTGTCATTTACATGTGGGATTAATACTAAACTAATTAACATCGGCCAATCATTTAAGGAGTAGGTAGTTAATTACAGTCGCAGCAGGAAGGCTTAATTATGGTCACAGACACACCATCGTGTGCACTGAATTCCCAACATGGGATTGTCAGTGACAAAGGACGAAACCACGCGGCTAGCTAGCTAGCTAGCTTTTCTGTTTGATTACATGCAAATAGAAATAGGGCTCGCTCGATCTGCCAATGAATAGGTGGCATGGCAGCCCCAACGCGGGAAGGATTTCTACACCGCGTTGACAGAGATTCTCATTGACCGATCGTCTCTCACTCTTCCTGAATTATGATTTATGATCAATAAAACATTAAAAAAAATATACGTACCAAATTACTTTCGTGATAAATTACCATGAACACTAATAGCGAAACAATGAACTAGGGTTTGATCTTCGTATATAAAATGATCGAAATGTTCTGCTGCGAGTTTGCATAGCTAGCTATCCCTAGCTAACAGACTGATGACAATTTAGTAAATGACAATAATAGTAGTTTTGTGTGTATAATAAATATGTAATAACGTGTTTGACTTTTTATACATCATTCACGATAAAGTACTCGAGCTATTGAGAATTTGAGACGAGACATTGTTTCTCGACATAATATCAGTGGCTACATGACGATAAGAATTACATCCGAAATCTTGATTTAAACATATTAATTGTATAAAGAGTTTGTACAAACTATAAGTTGATTTTGATGGCAAGATAGTATCTAATACCATCCATACTGGCCCGACCGAACACAGTTCTCGTACGTAATTCGTATCGAATACAACCATTTCTCAAATCAATGTTCATCTACCAAACTGTAAAACGGTGATATAAGATCCATAATCAATCATCTACCAAACTCATGACTAACTGGTTTATTACACAAACTAACATTACCTAAATCTCATTAGTACGTGATTCCAAGTTTGGGGTGTCATAAACCAGGATCTTATACAAGTCCATCTATGGTACTTAACCACTTTCTTACACGTCCCCTCAAACGAAAGCCGACTCATGGGCTTGAAGGTTGCACATGCCCGCCATACCATGTGCTTGAAAGACAACGGTTAACATTGGGAGTCGTGAGGACTTAACACTTGACCTCACGCAGTGGCGTAGCCAGGAATTATGCCAAGGTGGTGCAAAAAAAAAACATAACTTATATTAATTTTTTACAATGAACCACGACGTGTTTTCATAGTCTGAAAAGTATCTAAAATACATTCATCATCCAAACTATCAAGGATGTCACTCTCAATGTAGCCAACCAAAAAATCATTCATGACATCATCACTCATTCTATTGCGAAGTGTGTTCTTCACATAGTTCATTGCAGAAAATGCTCTTTCAACGCTTGCTGTGGCAACAGGAAGCAACAATGCCAATTTCAGAAGTCTATAGACTAATGGAAACACCCGATGTTTCTTTGATGCAACCATTTCTCTAGAAAGTTCAGCAATTCCCTTTAATCCTGCAAACCTCTGAACTGTCTTCATATCATATATATAAGCATCAAGTTGATGAAGACCAAGATGTAAAATATCATCTTTGGAGAACTCAGTAGGATAAAAAGTAGCAAGTTTCACCAACTTGTCCTTGTCATAGTCGACAAACAAATCGTCTGGATTTAAGCATGCCACACAACATAGCAAATCTGTGTTTATCTCATCAAAGCGAGTATTTAGCTCTTGTAACTGCATATCCACGGCTGTATAAAATAACTCAACCTTGTAGTGATGGAGATTGGTGATTTGCTGAGCATTTCTCCTTGGTCTCCCAAGTGGAAAGTATACATCATCCATGTTGACAATGGGAAGAGATTCCTTCGTACAGGGGAGAGGGCCGACTTCGTACAGGGGAGAGGGAAGAGGAAGCGGAAAGTGCAGTAGGAGAATTAGGGTTGGAATGGGGAAATAGACGAGGTCATTTAAATTTAAGTAAACTAACAAGTTACAGAAGTATAAAATAAGTTAAATGCTAAAATGATACGACAAGGAGCAAGTGGCGTGATGGCTAAAGGTGTTTGCGGATTAAGGGAGGTCACCTGTTCGAAACTTCATTCCAGCAGGAGTATAGCTGTATTTTTTAGCTGGGCCTTGCCAGCCCAAGTTGCAGAAGTATAAAATAAATTAAATGCTAAAATGACACGACAAGGAGCAAGTGGCGTGATGGCTGAAGCTGTTTGTGGATTAAGGGAGGTCACCAGTTCGAAACTTCAATACAGCAGGAGTATAGCTATATTTTTTAGCTGGGCTTTGCCAGCCCAAGGGGGTGCAGCCGACCTACCTTGGGTGGCTGTGGCTCCGCCACTGACCTCACGGACAAACCAGCTCTGAAACCATGTCATAAACCAGTCGATCCCAATAACTCGAGTTGTTGGGAACCATGTCATAAACCAGTCGATCCCAATAACTCGAGTTGTTGGGAGAATGTTATGTTGGATCTTATACATGTCCATGTATGGTACTTAACCACTTTCTTACACGGGCAAGCATTTCAATAACAGGCCGCCAGCGGTGTAGTTACAGGGGGGACATGTGGAGGCCCTGAACACATATATGTATCATTAGTACTCAGTGGCCTGGAGGAAGATCTGAATTCTGATCAATATCGATGCTGCCTGCGTAATTAATTAATGCATGGTGATACGAGATTCAGGTTCGTGTTCAGAGCGGTTAATTATATTGTGTAGCGAGTCTCGATGAAGATACACAACGCACGAGGGAGTAGGGATTGCGGCAGCCGGCATGCACACGATAATGACTTCCCCCTTATCATCGTAATAACCTCTTCTTGATTAATTGCAACTAGCTAATTAATTAAAACTCAAGGATTATTACTTGCTGCTACATTGGTTCTAGAAATGTATCCCGGCTGAACCTAGATTAGATCCAGGCAGCAGGGGTGAGGCATAGATGGTAATAACATTTCACTTATCAAATAACAACTACCATATGTAAGTTTCATATTTGTATCTATCTATGTTAGAACGGTAACTTAAAAAGTAGCCATCGTTTCATAACCTTGACGAATTTCCTTCAATATATCATACTAGACAATCATTCATTAACTAATCGTCTATTTGATTCTGAAATTTATGCTTGGTCTAACCCTGAGTTGGATAGGTCACTCAACATTTGGAGCTGCAACCGCAAAAATCAATACAACTTTGAGAAGCAAATTGAACCACGGATATGATAAATTCAATTTTGTCTCAACTATCAACTCAGCTTATTCATCATTCATCTTAATTCACGAAATAACTCATCATTCTTAATACAATGATATTAATTCTCAAAGTCCCATAGAAGAAAAGAATCAGAATCAATAAATTTATATGAGTTTGAGTAAAATTACGCCTCATCAGTGAGTAATTGCAATCCCGAATAACGAAACCCTTGCCTAATCAATACAAACACGACATTAGAATTGTTGGTGGCAAAGAACTATAGTTATTAACTTATTATCCGTTGAATGTGATTAATGGGCATACATGAAATCGAAATGAAGTTTGGAGTGACGATCCGCATATCGATCGGTCAACGTTTAGGCCATTATTTATAGAAAAATAATTGACAATTACATAGGCGTATATTTCCTTTTCGTTTGTTTAGGTATTTCTAACGATTTACTCCCGGTTTTCATGAGATATGCTAGAACTAATTATATATGCTCCACGTTTGCTTCAGATTAAGTCAAAGGGGGGCAGCTTGAAATTAATTATATAGTTATTGATGTTCAAATAACTCCACGTACACTTCTTAACACAAAGATTGTGTCAAATGGAGTTGATATAGCTTCCATATCACACAAAATACCTAAAAATCGAACGATTTGTTCGAATTACCACTTCAATGAATGGTAGCATAATTATATGAAATCCATCGCCAACTGACCGACATGACAACTTGTTATTTGTAACAATTTTTGTGATAACATTGATAAAGTCAATTTTCTAACTACCCTAGTCTGACATAACCAAAATGATTTGTAGCTATTTCTCAACAGAATAAGAACAATCTTTTAATCTTGTATCAAGTAACAAATAACGTACGAACATAATTCGAACCGGTTTCCTAACGGAATGAACCCGATTGCATATATGAGCCACCCTTTTTTGAGGGTGTTGTGAAAAAATTATTAACCTTGAGTAGCTGTATACGGGTTCCGAAACTTCAATAAGAATTATTTTTATAGAAAACCAAAGAAACTCAACGAGTTTTATTGAAAGAAAATTAAGAGTATACAAATAATAAATGTGCTTCATAATGAACCTAAAATATAGTATTGCATCATAGTTTTGTATAAATTACTTGGATAATAAAGGTATTTCAATTATATATTTTAAATATTATGCTATGCAAAAAGACATCCCTCATTTGAACGGTTGGCTCCGCCACTGAATGTATAATTACATCATAGAAAAGAACAAACCTTGTCATTACAGTTCGTGCATGTATTAGTCAATGTACGTATAAGGCTGGAAAACTAGCTAGGACCACTTTACAGACAAACATGAATTATGCAATTGGTAGTAATATCCACCTACCTAACTGTAATCCGTTGGAGACTCGGATTGAAGGCTAGGACCACAGAACAATTCCCCCCGCTGTATCCCAGCCAAAAATGACGAACTAAGCCGCGTAATTAATAATAAGTTGGCGCTGACAGTATATGGCACTCTCCTTTTGACCTAATTTGTTCTTGGATCGTGCCAAAGCAGGTATCACCACGTTTCAAATTAATGACAAGTTCTTTAGTAAATTGACAACTTAATGATAACCTTATGTGTATGTATTCGAAAGAACTCTAAGGGGTAGTGTCAATATTAATGCTTCGGACAATTAATCGGTGTGGTTGGCTATGGTAATCGACTTTATTTGTCCCTAAGTATAAGAGTGGTGGTGAAACCAGAAATCTAATTGAGTGGGTTGATTTGAATCGTGGTAATTCGGAATGAGAGGTTAAAGTCTTACCGATTGATTACGATCTTATAATTTTGTTACGATTTTCAATTGTAATTTTATATATATTTAAAATTAAGTTTAGCGGCTATGAACTAGCTCCGCCGCTATGTAAGAGTTTTGTGGTTGTCGACCTTCGATATACGTCACGTTTATTAAAAATTAAGGTATATATTTTCACAGTACTACTATCTCTTCTTTTATGAATTTCAATGCTAATATTGATACAAGGTAAATGCACTTATATACATGCACTCCTCAGCACGTCATATTATTTATAAATCATAGTTCTCTTCCACTTCGATTATCGTATGTCTCTCATGTTATTTCATTAGTAAATTCGTATTATCTGTGGAATCGAAATGCGGTAACAAAACTAGTAATATCTAGTATTTTAACAAACTTGCAGACAAAAGCATGACAGATTGGCTGTGAAAGAGATTGTCTTGGAAAACTCTAACCGATCGAGTTACATTAAGATTGGAAATCCAGCCCAAGATGCAGCCTCCCAGTTGGCAGTTTAATTAATCTGGTTATTATTGTTCCACAAAAGAAAATTAACCCAGAAACGTTGCATGGAATAAACTATTATTGTATCGGGTGGAAGTCTACATTAAGGCGCGCAAGTTCCAAAGTTGGTGCGGCAAAGATACCATACCACGCCCTGGTGGAAATGACTAGGCAAATTAAACACAACAGCTCATACACACGAATTTTGGCTACTGGCGGCTTTCATTTGGCTTCGACATTTTTTAGCTTAATTAATATATAGGAGCTGGAGCTGGAGCTGGTCAATCTTTATATATATATGTCAAAGTGCTTCATTTATGATTCGTAATAACTTAGATTAACCAGTTTCTTATAGTCTCCTTGATACGACCTAACCAATTTATCTATGTGTGCAACTTGATATGGTTCAATTTTTGCTCGTCATGTCGTAAAACAGTGAAATATGAGTATATGACTAAAGAATCGCTACGAGTTCACTCAGACACATTTGACTGGACTTGAATTATTGAAATTAGGTTTCATGACCTCGATCGATCGTGATTGACCACCCTCAACATTTGCTTTCGTTTATGACCATGGGTGTCGATAGGTATACATCCAAGACTAAGTCAAGATCGATGAGATTTATTTCTGAATGATAAGTTCTAAGAATCGAACATATGAGTACATAGTGTCAATACCGTTACTGATAGTGGAAATTTCAATTTACGGGGTCTTTTTTTTTTTGACAACATGTGGCATCTTTATTCCAATTCGAACAAGTGGAAACATAGTTTGTTACAACAGTGGAGAAACAAGATCAGCAATTACAACCCAATCTCTCGGAAGAAGGTCAAGTCTAGCATTATGTGCAACCCAATCGGCAAGCGAGTTGAGACGTAGGGGAACAAACTCCACCCTCACCCAGGGAGCCGAAAGGAGGATGGGGATGATACGAGCTAAGGTAGCCCGACATTGCCACGACCACAAGTCAGGATTCTTCCTCAACGCATTTACCAGAACCCGACAATCAAATTTGATAGATGTAGGGCAAGGATCCTGAGCCGCCAGAATCACTGCATTCAACAAAGCATAAGCTTCCGCCTGTATCGGACTGGAACAAAAAAAATCTCTCAACTTTGCCGTCATACACCTGACCATGAGAATTAGCAATAGTAATCTCATAAGCCGCCACCTCTGAATCAGAAACAAAAGAGCTATCACAGTGCACAAACTTCAAGATTGTGCCAGGCGGTGGTGAGGGGTGTGGACGGGATTCCCTAGGTCGAGGAGGCTCCAACGCTGACCAGTAAGAAGATGAATTTATGAGGTCTTCATTGTTAATATAATCCATCCATAGTTCCACAGCATGCATCTCAGAATTCATGTTTATCCGATCCCGAAACTAATGGGCTTTTCTGGGTGAAGCCGAAGTTGGATTCCAAGGCCCAGTCAAGAACCAATGAGAATTTTGTCCAGCCCACACGAAGCTAATGATTCAATCACTCCGATAAAATTTTGCATGCGGCGAAACCAAGTATTATTCGAACCGTAATAGCACGGGGTGGATATAGGTATCTACTTCCGATCTGTTTTGTCCCGCACCGTTCGTTCTTGACCTATTCTATCTCAATTTCTTACGGTATCTATACATATCTATTCTATTTTGACTTTCCTTCAACTAGTTAGAGTCGATCTTTCAACTGGTTATACTAAATTACCCATTCTATTATCACTATTTCTCATTCACAAAGTGTTTTCCTCTTCATTTTATCATAAAAAGTAAAATTTACGTTTATTTTTTTCAAATAACATGGAAAAGTGGGTCGACCCGCCCCGTCTGGGTCTTGAGGTACCCGTCCCATTGCCATCACTATATGTGGTGACCTTCGGCAAGAGTTAATGAACACGTGTTAGACCCACCACAACAAAAGGCTATAAAAGAAAGCTTTTCACATAGGTGGTACCACAACGGATGTAGATACTATGACAACACCTCTAGTGTTATTGTAGTAACATCATATCTCATTAAGGATAGAAAAGGGAAATTAACATAATAAAATTAAAAATTTAAATTTCAATACCAAACTGTCTGTCCTCTATCGATCTTATCCCTTACTAGATCTCTCTTCCCCGTTGGCTGCTTCTCCTCTCGTACTCTCTCCTCCGCAACTGGCAGGAACACTTCTATGAGTGCTATCAACTTCGACGGTAGAGGAATCAATCTTCTACCAATCTCAGGAAAGAAGTCAGATCAACACTGTGATGTATCTGGCGACTACGATTGAGGCCTCTTCATTCCCGGTTGTTCCTTCTTTCTTCCACCACCGGCGTCGCCAGTCCTCATGTCGTTCCTTCTTTGTTCTGGCATCCAATCAATCCTCCCAACGAAAACTCGGTGCCTCTGTTTCTCAATAATGTCGCGTAACCATCAGAAGCAAAAAGTGATCATCAGAGCATGGATCATCGGCCTTGTCGCGTGCAAATAGCACTCTCCAAGCACTTCCACCCCTTATAATAGTGACGATCATTTGCATTGTGTTTTCTTCTGAGATGGCACCCGTACTTAGCCCTGATATTAATGTGTAATTTAGTGTCCTCTCTCTATCTCCCGTGTACTGTTGTGGCTTGTCTTAAACGAGTTTAAGCATATTAACAAATATTTGGAGAAATTCTTTGGTGCACCGGGTGTACCACGTCACCCGTGCACCATCCCAATAAAAGATTGCCACGTTTTCAAATTTACAAAAAAAAAAAATAACAATTGCGGATGCAAAGTACAATTGTGGAGTAAGCCGGCTTCACGTCCTCCGTCACTGTCGATGAGAAAAGTAAGAAGTACGATGCGCAAGACACAACGAGTTACGTGGTATCCTCGTCCCAACAAACGAGACTAATCCACGGAAGACCCTCTAAAGGAGTCTTCGACTGATATATTATTAGGGTTTTTCACATGCAGCTGCTTACCCTACTCGGCTGATAACACAGCCTTATATTGGCCACCAATTCCTTTTACAATTGGCCACAAGGAATGGTAAATAACCAAATAACTCACCAAGCAAACAAAACTAAACAAAGAAGGACATGCAGTACGTGTTCCACACACATGCACACGTACGTGCTCCACAACACGCCCCCTCAAGCGGAGGCATGAATATCATGAAGGCCAAGCTTGGAAGTCAAGTACTGGAACTGCTCCGCACCTAACCCCTTAGTAAACATGTCTGCAACTTGCTCCTGAGAAGAAACCTTCTGAGGAACTATCTCTTGGGAAGTAACACGCTCACGAACGAAGTAGCAGTCCATCTCAACATGCTTCGTATGTTCGTGAAACACTGGGTTGGCAGCAATATGCAGTGCTGCCTGATTATCACAATGTAGCGGAGTTGACGAGGAAAAAGTAACCTCCAACTCACTAAGAAGCCATCGGAGCCAGACGAGTTCACTGACTGTACTCGCCATAGCACGGTATTCTGCTTCGGCTGAAGAATGAGCAACCACAGACTGCTTCTTAGTTCTCCATGACACAGGGTAATTACCGAGATGAATGAAGTAACCAGAGGTAGAACGACGATTACGCTGACACCCGCCCCAATCAGCATCACAGTAAGCGGTGAGTTGAAGATGGCCATTTGTGGGAAACAACAGACCCCGACCCAGAGCTCCTTTGAGGTAATGAAGCACACGGGATGTTGCATCCTCATGCTCTTGACGAGGAGAATGAACCGCCTGACTAAGAATATTAACTGCATACACTATGTCGGGCCGAGTAACCGTGAGGTATTGCAAACGCCCAACTAGTCGTCGGAATCCTGAAGGATCTTTAGCTGCAGGACCTTCAATCCGAGTGAGATGATGGTTCTGCTCAATGGGAAAGGCACAAGGCTTAGAAGCAAAAGCACACACGTCCTTCAATATATCCAACGTATATTTCCTTTGAGACAAAACCAGGCCACGACAGGAACGCGCCACCTCGATTCCCAAAAAATACTTCAGAACACCCAAGTCCTTGATGCTGAACTGGCGATGCAGAAATTTTTTGACACGTTGAATGATAGTAATGTCATCGCCACCTAAGATGATATCATCCACGTAGATCAAATCAAAAACAAATGCGCTACCATGCCGATATGTAAACAAGGAATGATCAACCTTAGACTGCTGAAAACCAAATTGCCGAAGAGAAGTAGTGAATTTCATGTACCAATTCCGAGAGGCTTGCTTCAAACCATATATGGATTTGCGAAGGCGAAAAACCCGGTTGTCCCCCGGTCGAGCAAATCCCGGTGGAAGCTGAATGTAGACTATTTCATGAAGTTTCCCATGAAGAAAGGCGTTGTTGACATCTAACTGATGGAGATGCCAACCACGATGAGCTGCACAGCAAGCACACAGCGAATGGTCACCAACTTGGCCACCGGGGCGAAAGTGTTGTGATAGTTAACACCTTCGACTTGAGTAAACCCCTTTGCAACGAGACAAGCTTTATAGCGCTCGACAGTGCCATCAGGGTGAAACTTGATCTTGTACACCCACTTGGCGGCAATGGATTTCTTGTTAGGAGGTAGGTCCTCGAGCACCCAAGTGCCATTAGCTTCCAAGGCGTCGATCTCACGTTGCATGGCCTCGCGCCAACAAGCATACTTGACGGCATCATGGAAAAATTGTGGCTCAACCAGAGTATCAACAGCTGCCACAAAAACCTTATGATTAGCCGAAAGTCTGGTGAAGGTAACATAAGCAGATAACAGATACTTAGCAGTAGTAGTCGTGTGATTTGAGGGAAGATAAGTGTCATAACCTCGAAGGAGAACTGAAGGCTGGCGAGTCCAGTCACTGCGGCGGAGAGGTGCGTCGGTGGGAGCTGCTGGGGGAATCACGACAGCAGGGGAAGACGAGGAAGTGGTGTCCGCCGAAGATGGGGAAATGGCGGAGTTCGTCAAGTCGCCAGGAGGAATAGAAGCGGCTGGAGAAGCCGGTTGCATGGGCGAAGTGGGAGGATCACCACTTGCACGAGAGCTAGCGTCGGCAGTTGTAGGCGGGTCCTCATCGTCATCAAGAACTGGCAAGGAAGGACTCGCGAGGGAACCAGGGCCAACAAATGGCTGAATGTCGCTGGAAAGCGAATGAAATGGGAAGACAGTCTCGTCAAATATCACATCACGAGAAGTAAAAAAGGCTCTTGGTAGAGATCTCGAACACACGATACCCCTTCTGAGACGGAGGATAACCAAGAAATACACAAGGATGCCCCCTTTCGCCGAACTTGTCCAAGTGAGCATGGGTATCCTTCGCAAAAACAAACAACCAAAGGTACGTAGATGGGTATAATGGGGGCGAAGACCAAAAAGACGCTCATACGGTGTCTGGTTCCCTAAGATGCTGTGGGGAAGACGGTTGATCAAGTAGCCAGCAGTAAGAACACACTCTGCCCAAAAACGCTTAGGTAGATTCGCATGGAATCGCAAAGCACGAGCGGTTTCCAAAATATGTCGATGCTTACGTTCGACAATGCCGTTTTGCTGAGGGGTGTCAGTACAGGAATTCTGAAGGCGAATGCCCTGGTCAAGATAAAAATCAAGCATCTCATGAGATTGAAATTCGGAGCAATTATCTGTCTGAATAACCAGTACGGCGGACTGAAACTGTCGAGAGGCTTGTCGAACAAAGAGTTTCAAGTACCTAGCCGCATCAGATTTAAACTTAAGAAGATAAATCCAAACACCACGAGTAAAGTCATCAACCACGGTAAGAAAATATTGAGCACCAGTCAAAGATGGGACTTGATAGCCCCCCAAAACCAAACGTGATTGCTTTGCCTGTAAACAAGAAGAGCACAGCGTCTCATTCTGTCTATGACTACCAGAAGATAAATGCAACAAATCAAATTTCTCAGGTGATGGATGCCCCAGGTGAGAATGCCAGAGAACCGGAGAGATCATGCCGCACAAGCCATCTCTTTGCGAACCCCGTCGAAAAGCTGGAGATAATAAAGACCATCACTCTGGAGTCCCGTCCCAATAATCGTCTTCGAGCGTAAGTCCTGTATGACACAGAAGTCGCTCAAGAAGATCAAGGCCAAAGCAAAATCCCGAGTGAGCTAACTAACATATAGTAAGTTGCATTTAAACTCTGGAACCAGTAGAACACGCGGGAGAAGCATCCCATTAGACAACTGTACTGACCCAACGGCCTCAACACCAATCACAGAACCATCTGGGACCCGAACCTGCAAGTCAGAACTCTCCCAATTTCCAGTAACCAGCTTGGTATCACGTACAATATGTTCGTTGCATCCTGTATCAATTAACCAGTCATCACCACGCAGAGAAGAGAGAGTGGAGTTACCTGTTGCTTTGTGATCAGAGCTGGACGATGATCGTAGCTTGCCTCCAAAGAGAGCCTTTAGAGTATCAAATTGTGAAGCACTTAAACCGGGAATGGGGTTGTCGCTGATTTCAACTTGAGCAGCACGTGGTCCTGGGCCTCCTTTGCCTTGATCAATACCTTTGCGTCGCCCATCTCGATCCTTGTCCCCTTTCCGTGGATCCACGCTGAGACGTCCGATCATCTTGGACGTGAAAAGCGGTCGCCTCAATGGTTGGGTGCTGAGAGCTAGCAATTTTGCGTTGTTGTTCATCATTATTCACCAAGTGATATGCTTCGGCAAGACTGGGCATGGGGCGCATGGCTAAAATCTGAGTTTTGACGGTAGAGAATGCCTCGTCAAGACCCATTAAGAAATCAAAAAGTTGTTTGATGTTCTTCGTCTCACGATATTGCCATTTGACGTCACAATTGCAACCACCACAATGGCATTCAGGAACCGGGGAAATTGATTGGATTTCGTCCCAAAAGCCTCGTAACTTAGTGTAGAAGCTTGACACACTAGCTTTCTCCTGCTGGAGCAGAGCAATGTTGCGACGCAGCTCATACAACCGCGGCGCGCTGCCGGTTCCAACCGACCTTCAAGATCAAGCCAAATCTCGCGGGCAGTCCGGGCAAAATGAACGCTGGTACGGAGCTCCTTGCTCATAGTTGTCTTCAACCATCCCTTTACCATCGCATCACACCGCCTCCACTGTTCGAGGAGAACTCTGGCAGCAGGCTTAGAGATGGAGCCGTCAACAAAACCAAGCTTATTCTTGGCAATAAAAGAATCGGTTATGTCACCGAGCCACTCACCATAATTCACGTCAGTAAGGAGCTCGCCCACAAACAATTGATTAGAGTTATCCGAATTATGGAGAACATACGCAGGAGGATAGACATCTCCACTGCCCCGACAGTGCCCGATGTCGAGTGCGATGCTTTAGGTGATTTCATCTTCTCATCACCGGATTTCTTCTGCTCATCATCTGAACTCATGATGGCCAACGAAAACGCGGAATAGACCGATCACAGCTCTGATACCATGAGAAAAGTAAGAAGTACGATGCGCAAGACACAACGATTTACGTGGTATCCTCGTCCCAACGAACGAGACTAATCCATGGAAGACCCTCTCAAGGAGTCTTCGACTGATATATTATTAGGGTTTTTCACATGTAGTTGCTTACCCTACTCGGCTGATAACATAGCCTTATATAGGCCACCAATTCCTTTTACAATCGGCCTCAAGTAATGGTAAATAACCAAATAACTCACCAAGCAAACAAAACTAAACAAAGAAGGACATGCAGTATGTGTTCCACACTCATGCATACGTACGTGCTTCACAATAGTCGACGGACTATGCCACTTCGATTCTCTATCGCTCCTCGACCCGCCAAGCTTTCCCTTCTTCAAACTTCAATCTTAACCAGACCACCTCCCTCCCACTCCCAAAGTCCGGACTTTGGTCACTAAAAGGTCCTCCCACGATAGAAACAATGTCGCCAACGAGAAACTCAAGAGTTCCCCGACACAACTGTCGCTTTCCCAGTTGGAGAATAAACCATTTGCACTTCGCAATCCCCAGAAGGATGAGCTCTAATGCTAGTTTATTGCTTTCATATATATGATTTCATGTTTGGGGGGTGGGGGATTGTCGTCGATGGAACTTAGATCCGGCGTTGAGGTGACACACGTCGATTTCACCACGCAAGAGTGCAACTGTCTTTTTTACTTTTTAACACCTTAAACACGTGGCAATCCTCTGTTGGGGCAGTGCACGGGAGAAGTGGTACTCCCAGTGCACTGAAGAAATTCTCCAAATGTTTGAGCTCCGAGTCCTCAATTTCGTGCATCTTAACTGTGTCTGGTACTAGTTAGTTACCGTTGCGTTTGGTTAACACTATCTACCTGTACAATAAGTTTCTCTCTTGGTATAAGAAGCCTCTTGAGGCAACAAAAAAACTTGCGAATTTCATCACAATCATCTCTTCCCGACCGGGGATTCTCAACATTGATCGAAGAATGGAAGACAAGGAGACAACCACAAATAAATAATTAAGAAATTGGGCAAAGAGGTAATCAAACTTTCTTAAGAGTTCAAGAGAGCATTAAACACTTTTTCTTCAGATGCCCCCTAGTCACCAGGTTGTGGACCTTAGTTGGATTGAACAACTTCATTGATTCCACCTCGACTATTAGTTTTAGTTTATGGTGACGACATGTCATGATCTCTGAGATCTCCTCATTTCACATTGTCCAATGCGTATGTTTACTTTGGAGAATCTGGAAGTCTAGAAATAAAGTGACTTTTGAATTCTACCAACCTCATGTCAGTTCCCTCGCCAGACAATTCTACAACCAGGTCTTTGAAGTTTCCAATATTCACCCCCCTCCTCCGGCCCAAGATCGATCCTTCCAAATCATCCTCCAACCACTTGGGAGCCTCCACCAAATGACTATTTGAATATCAACTTTGATGCAGCTGTTCGTGACTCAGGGTGCTCATCTGGTCTTGTTATCCGCGAGTCAGACGGGCATGTGGTGCTGGCAATTGGTGATTCCAAGGTGGTCGTCAACCAAATCCGACAAGGTGTCCTAGAAGATTCCTTTGGAGGCCCGGTGCTTCGCGAGTGTCGTCAGATCCTAGACTCTTTGTCAGTTTGTATAGAGTTTAGGGCGGTTCTTATAGCCACCAACAGTGATGCCCATAAAGTGGCGCGTAAAGCACTACTTTTGTCTGTCTTAGTGTTAGAGTCTTTCGACTTTATTGGATGGCTTCACTAGGATGTCGCTTGGAGAGGGATCCTGTGTAGTTTTGTTTGTATAACTCTTGTCTTCTCTTGATATCACTCGAAAATAACAAAAAAGGTAATCAAACTTTCATGTTAGTCCAACTATATATAGTACTATAATCAGGACAACAATTAGCAATTCCTTTTTACAAACACTAATCCAAACCATATATACATAATTTTCATACCATTTCCCGGCTATCACTCGCTCTCTCCAACTCAACCACCCCCACCCCTAAAACCTCTCTAAACAGTACAATTCCCCAGCCTACAAATCTCATCCACCGGCGGCGATGCCCAAATCGTCGTCTTCCTCATCATCGTCATAAAATCCTCCACACACTCCTTCCCACTCAACCCACCAACCCTCACCCTCTCCCTCGCACCCTCCCTCCCTGCCACGTCATCGAACAACCGCTCCCACCCCATCTCCCACTCTCCCTGAGCATCACAGAGCTTCAACGACCCGTTCCGCCACTCCGTCCAACTCCACCTCCTATTGAGCGTGGGCATCCACTCCTCCAAGCACTCCCCCTCGCAGGCTGCCGCACACGGCCTGCAATAGGCCCCGCTCAGCGGGCCCGGGCTGCCCAGCGACGCGACGGGCACCCCGCCGGGCCCATCTGGCGGGAACCAGAATTTCCTGTCCGACACGATGCAGAAAGGGAGCCGGTGCGCCTCGTAGTGCACGTGGCGGAGGTCGAGCTGGGCCCGGAAGGCGGACTCCGAGTTGAGTTTGGTGTACTTGTGGTCGGAGAGTAAAGGGAGGAGGGAGAGGCGGGAGAGGGCGGTAGTGGAGGAGTTTAGGTCGCCGATGCCGAGGCGGTCGTTGTGGCCGCCGTAGGAGGAGCCCTGCGGGACCAAGTAGCGGGAGCTGGGGAGGAAGGAGGTCGGCGGGAGCGGGGAGGACCAGAAGGAGTCGACTCGGGTCCGGACTATCCAGTCGTAGGTGAAGTTGTGGCGGGTCTGGTGGTCGGTGATCATTTGGAGGCAGCCTTCTACTAGGTTGAAGTACTGGAGTAAGCCCTGCGTTGGGGGAAAAAATATATAAACGAGAACAAAAGTATGATTATCCGTATTACTATACAATAATATTAAATTTCATTAAAAAATAACGAACCGGAATTGGTGGTTAATAACAGTTACACCTATAACTGATTAAATAGTGCATTGTAAGTTTTCCCGGTAGTAAAATTTAGCTAATTACTGACCAGGGGTTTAACTGTTATCCGATTAATCGATTATGGACATCCTCATAGTTACGAGGCAAAATTGATAGTCCTCGATGAGACGCAGTCGTGGGCTGGAAATAATGAGATGCCTGAAGGCCTTCAAGATCCCTTGCGTACGCGCTAGTTGTAATAGTGTCTTAAGTTCAAATAAGATAATTAATTTCAAGTAAGGAGTCTAGTCTCTAGAAGAAGCACATATAATGGACTTGCACACAGTAGCTTGACAATAATTAGCAATATTTAAAATTTCATGTAATTTGGTGGGGTTTATGAGTTGTGTAATTGGTATTGGACGAACTCCTATTCTTGTAGGCTTCTTTAATCAAATTTGACGGTAGAATGGTGTTATTGTGTACTTATGCTAAATTGAGTTGCTTATGGGTTGATATCTATATTAAATTACCTTTTACTAAATGATAACAATTTTTTTAAAAGGGAACTCATATGTATGTAGGAAGAAATCTACAAAAATGCACAATTGAAAAAATTGGAGAGTTCTTCTGCTGGTTAGATTACCGATCGATTATTTTAGTCTAATAATACCAAATTGCTTACATAACGAACTAGTTAACCTAAAAACAAATCGAACCGATTATACAATTACGATTATAACCAAACCCAACTATTTACTAACAACCCTAATTCTGACGATAGCTTGGACAGAATGAAAATTGAGGTCAGAGGGGGGATGCAAGGTATCTATTCTAAGCCTAATCAACCCATTTCCTTTCGGAGAGCTAACTGATGGGATAGGTTTCGAATTTGGTCTGCTAATAAACAAGTATTCCTCATTTTCTGGCCCAAAAGGGAAACCAATATCTACTATCTAGTATCTACCTCGTGACGTGATGGGAAAAGGATTTAGGATGGACATAAATGATCAGAATAAATAAGTCTTTTGTTAGTTTTTTAATTGATTTTTTTCTTTATTGTTCTAATTTGGATTTCAAAATTTGTGCAGAGATGAACCGAGTTTGTTATGATCTACAAAATGAGATTCATTATTAATATATGTTGAAAACAACTATATACGACTCGTTACCACCACATGACCATCTTCGTTTCTATCTCGAATTTTGAAGAATTATGCACATAAGAAACAAGTTCGTCGTGTTCTATTAAATCGAAAAATTTCTCAGACAAAAATTTTCAGGACAAAAAGTATCACCTTGCACAAAGGTGCTAACTTATTTATGTTGACGAAAGTAGTAAATGATAGTTAATATATCTTTACTATCATGTATATAACAATTTTATACTCTGGTGGGGTGTGCTCTTAATACCATGATATATTTTAAACTTACGTGCATATCAATTAGTATCACATGATATGAACTGGTAATAAAAATCTCTTTTTTTCAAAATATATTATAGTTATGTTATTTTGAAGAGTATAATTAATATGATTTTTATAGAACTTTATTTTGATTTCGACTTAAAATGAAGAAAACAAATAATTTGTTGAAAACAGGTATAGGGCTCCGAGAGCGGTTAATAATTCTATACATGCAGCTCCGAGAGCGGTTAAGTAGCCTATTTGCTGATTAGGTGATGATTTCCCAATAGAGCGGTTAATAAAAAGAAGGGAAAACTGAAGACGACTAAATAATTACCTGGATGCCATTTGGCGAGGCGGCGCCGGTGAGAACTCGGTGGTGCAACTTGGTCTCGGGGATGTAACTCGGCTTGAAAATGCTGACGGCGGCGATCCTCGGCGCGGATTTGAGGAGCGAGAACTTGTACGCGTTCTCGTCCAGAGGACTGTGGAGGAAGAGATCGGCGTTCGGATACCGGAGCAGCACGTTCTTCACGATCGACGGCCCGGTGAGCTCGAACCGCCGCGCTCCGCCGACCAGGCACACCGCGATCCTCGCCCGGTGCGGCGGCGGCGGATGATGTACTCCTCGGTCGCCGGAGGCGGAGAGGTTGAGGAAGTAGGAAGAGAGCGGGGCGAATGTAGAGGAGGAGGTGAGGGAGAAGATTAAGCAGAAGAGGATTAGCGGGAGGAGGAAGATGAACAGGCTCTTAGAGCCGTGGATATTGGCGGCGGCGGCGGAGAGCAGACGGACTTTGACGGAGGGAGGTGGAGGAGGAGGAATGGCGGTGGACGGTGGCGATGGAGGCCCCGCGGCGTCGTCAGTTTCCTCGATCATGATTGCCAATATTGTTGAGCTGGCCGCTGGGACTTTTACGGACGAGGGTCTAAGTACGATAGCTCGAAACAAGATAGATTAAAATCACGATAGAGTCGTGTTTAGTTTCCGTAAATAATATTTTCAGTCCATGCAGTGCATGGTAAGGCATCACGTGGAGCACATCTATATCCAATAATGAGGCAAACGTTGGCATGAAATGAAGGGTTTTTGGAAGAGAAAGATGGGCGGCCGTTTTTCGTGATGAGTTTGTTACCGGCTGAAAAATACTTCATTGGGGAGTTTTCATGTTGATTGGGAGAGGGTGTTTGCCGTTTGGCATGTTGCGCTAAGAAACCAGCAAATGCATGGAGGAGATGAGTTTAGACTTTAGAGGCTTATTAATTACGCCAGAATTATTACCGGAGGCCAAAATCGTCCAACCATGCTACATAGTATGCATATAGTAGGGTGCGTCACCCGAGAATTTTGAAGTTACGTACAAAACCTCGTATGATTATAAAAAATTATGTATTAACTAAATGTTATTATATAAGAGCACTACTAGAATTAATATGAGCTCTGAACAGCTTGCTCCGGCGACGATTAGTAAAGGATGACAACCCCTCCGACTATGAGCTCTGAACAGCTTGCTCCGGCGACGATCTTCAACCCCTCCGACCGACCGCCTGACGAGGCCCCCTCACCCATAGACATCTCTCAGATTCCCCCCACGACATCACTTGTAGGTGAAAGCATGGCAGTGGACACCCCTTCCGCGGGATCGCCGACGTCGTCGACTCCGGCCACCACTCCTATTTCGTACGCGCGGGCGGTTCTGGGTGAGAAATCCGGAAGCGCGCAGGAGGCGACCTCATGGACTCCAATCGGGGAACACGATCTAGTCCCTAGCACGTATAATGGGGAGCCGGAACTGAAAGTTTCTGATGGACTGAAAACCAAATTGAGTGCTCCGTGGCAACGGTCTTTGGTGGTTCGTACGCTGGGTATCCAAATCTCCTTCACCACCTTCAGCAACAAGGTTAAGATGCAATGGCGTCCGACAGGGACGCTGGATATTCTGGTGCTTGGCCCAGAGTGCTTCCTCGCCAAGTTCTCCAACGATACAGACTACTTTAGAGCTCTGACGGAAGGCCCTTGGACCATCTTCGATCACTATCTGCTTGTCCAGCAATGGACGCCGAATTTTCGGCTGAACAACAAACTCCCGAACTCGATGATAGTCTGGGTTCAGCTTCCTGCATTCCCAATCCACTTTTATCACCGGGAAGTCCTCTTCTCGCTTGGGAATATGATTGGTCGCACAATTAAGCTTGACTACCACACTCTCCACCAACAGAGGGCAAGATTTGCGAGGATAGCTGTGGAAATAGATCTCTCTAAACCTCTGGTTATGCGCATTCGTCTCGACGGGCAGTGGCAGTATCTCGAATATGAAAATCTTCCGGTTGTGTGCTTTGAGTGCGGAAAAATTGGACACACCGAGAGCTCCTGCCCAAACCTGATCGCACCCCCTCTGCCGCTCGCCTTGGTAGAATCCGGAAGCCGGTCGGAAATTACTCCGGCGACCCAACCGGAGGAGAAAGTCGGATTCGGCCCCTGGATGCAAGTCACCCGTAGATCACGGCGAGGAAATCGGAACACAGAGAAAGGAATCATGGAAACAGCTAATGGAGAGAGCGCCAATCAAGGGAAAGGGGAAAAAGGTAAGTTCATTAACAAGGAAAGTCCCGCTAGCAATACCTTGGCGCAAGGACGACGGGTCGGCACCAACCAACGGGCAGAGATCTCCAATGGAGGAAAGTCAGGGAAAAGGAAAAGGCAAGGCTATTACGGAAGTAGAAGGTGAGGCATCCAAAGGCAAAGGAGTTTTGGGCCCTGCTCCACAGACCTTGAATAGTAAGCCGAGCCCAGCTGCCCGTAAGGCCCAGGGCCTTGATCAAGCCCACGAATCAGGTGGACAGAAGGCCACAAGGCAGGTGGCGGATAAAGACACAAAGGCTGGGCTTGTTTCGGCTGCTCTTACTCCCCCTACCTTGACAAATATTGCAGGCCCCAGTGGAACATCCATCCAAATCGTGAACCTACCTAAGGCCCTGGCGGAAGACTCTCGGCGTTCTGAAGGCGCTTTGATCTCAGTTGGGCAACAAACGAAGAAGCAAAAGAAAAAGTTGAAGTCGCCGAGAAAATCCCCACTCCCAGTCACGCCGAAAGCGCTGCAGATTTGGACGCCAGTCAAAGGAAAGAAAAATAAGGCGCGAACCAAGCTTGCCGCCCTCACTTTGCAGGAAATTGATGCCTGGACAGGAGCTGCCAAGGACAAGTCCAACACCGACAATTTGCACACGGCAACGGAAGAGGCCGAGACTCTGATGGGGGAAGCCAATCCCGCTCCGGCGCCGATAATGCCTACAGATTGAGTTTGCTCGATCCCCTGCTTGTTTCCTTCCCCTGTTTTTTAAGTTATTTTCCTATGTCTAGTTCCCCTTTTAATAATTTAAAAATTCTCTCCTGGAACGTTGGCGGGGCAGGTAACGCCGCTGCGACCAGGGCCTTTAAATTTCTTGTTAATGCTTATAGACCTGACTTTCTTTTCGTCTTGGAGCCCCAGATTAGCGGTGATAAGGCCGACAAAATCTGCGGCAAGCTGGGATTTCCTAATGTCCTGAGGGTCAAAGCAGATGGAAGAAAAGGGGGGATTTGGTTTTGCTGGGATGCTAACCTTTTTTATGCTCAGGTAGTCTCGGCTTGCTCTCAACATCTCACGGTGAGGGTCTCGAGAAACAGTTCGTCAAGGTGGCTCCTAACTGCAGTTTATGCCAGCCCTCGTCAAAGCCAACAACGCAGCCTTTGGCAGGCTATCTACCAGACGAGTTTGTCCAACGACCTCCCTTGGCTTCTCTCTGGAGACTTCAACGCCATCAAAGCTCCTGAAGAGAAGACGGGTGGGCCTTCTCAGGACACTTTCCGAAGGTGCAAAATTTTTAACGACAGACTTAACCAGACCGAGCTTATCGACCTTGGTTTTTCGGGCCCTCGCTTCACCTGGAGTAGAGGGGATAATTCTAATTCTTTCAAGGCCAGCCGCATCGACATAAGCCTTTGCAACGATCGGTGGAATCTAGCCTTCCCCAACACTACCGTTACTCACCTGCCTCGACTCCACTCGGATCATCACCCCATTCTCACAACCGTTGGAAATCAGGGAGTTATTCATAACCTTGCTCGCCCCTTTCGTTTTGAAGTTGCTTGGTTGGCCAGTGACTCCTTCGATGATGTTGTGACAGGTGGATGGAATAATCTCGCCTCTCTCCCAGAGGCCCTCCATCAAATGGCTGCGGACCTGAACGAGTGGAACCGGTCAACTTTTGGCAGCATTTTCTACAAGAAAAGAAGACTCCTGGCGCGTATCCAAGGAATCCAGGAGAGAGTCGCAAACTGTTTCTCCCCGGGATTATTCAAGCTGCAGGCCAAGCTGGAGAAGGAGCTTGATCAAATCCTTGAGCAAGAAGAGCTCTTATGGTTCCAAAGGGCAAGAGAGCAATGGGTTCAGCAAGGGGAGCGGAATACTGGCTACTTCCACCAACAGGCTAACATCAGAAGAAGGAGAAATCGGATCGACAGCCTAAAGGACACTAGTGGAGAGTGGGTCTACGACCCACAGGATCTCGCTTTAATGGTCTATAACTTCTTTTCTTCCCTTTACATGCAGGATGACTCTGAGTACATTGACCTGATGCCGAAGAATGGATTTCCCCGCCTTAGTCAGGAGGACCTTCTTTGGCTCTTGAGTCCGGTCAGGGGGGAAGATATCCACAGAGCGATCCACGAGATGAAGCCTTTCCAAGCTCCCGGCCCTGATGGTTTTCACGCTGCCTTTTATCAACGAGCTTGGCAGGTGGTAGGGAAGTCCCTGATCAATATGGCTATGAGTTTTTTTTATACAGGTTGCCTTCCGGACAGCATAACAGATTCGACGGTGGTTCTCATCCCTAAAGTTGAACAGCCGGAAGTGGTGACTCAGCTTCGGCCCATTTCCTTGAATAATGTCTGCCTCAAAGCGGTCACAAAGGCGATCACCAATCGCTTGAAGCCGATTATGAGGAAGCTGGTTTCTCCGCGCCAAAGCAGTTTTATTCCAGGCAGACAAACTGTTGATAATATCATTGTTTTGCAGGAAGTGCTTCATACCCTCAGGAAGAAAAAAGGGAAAAAGGGTGGGATTGTGATGAAAATCGATCTGGAAAAGGCATACGATCGCCTCCGTTGGGATTTCCTTAGAGACACCCTGAAGGAGATAGGTCTGCCGAGCTCTTGGATAAACTGCATCATGTTTTGTGTCGAGAATAACAAGATGCGGCTGCTCTGGAATGGAGAGCTTTCGCAACCTATCACCCCTTCTCGGGGCGTCCGACAGGGAGACCCTCTCTCTCCTTATCTTTTTGTCTTGTGTATGGAAAGACTCTCTCACCGTATTGATCAGGCTATACAAGATAAATGTTGGAAACCCTTGAAACTTTCTGCAGATAGCCCTGCGCTCTCTCACCTCTTTTTTGCAGATGATTTAGTTCTCTTTGCTGAAGCGGAGAAGTCTCAAGTCAGAATTGTTAAAAAGTGCTTAGATGAGTTCTGCACGAGCTCGGGGCAGCGAGTAAACTTTACTAAGTCAGCCATGTTCGTGTCAGCCAATGTCCCTAGAAGACGAGCTCGTTCCTTGAGTGACAACATGGGGATCCCCCTCACCATTGACTTGGGCAGATACCTGGGTGTCATGGCAATCCACGGCAGAGTGAAGAGGGCTCGATACCAGGACCTTATTATTAGAATCCAAAGGAAGCTGGCCCCTTGGAAAGCTAAGCATCTGTCCCTTGCTGCCCGCATTACCGTTGTTAAAGCTGTTGCAGCATCTATCCCTATTTATCCCATGCAGGTTGAACTTCTTCCCAAAGCTATCTGCAAGACGCTGGATAAGATCAACCGGGGCTTCATATGGGGGGACTCCGAGGAGAAAAGAAGATTACATTTAGTTGGGTGGCCCCAACTGCTGCAACCTAAAGATGAAGGAGGCCTGGGGATCCGCTCGGCCAGGGAGGTGAATATAGCCATGCTCACTAAGTGCGGGTGGAGGCTAATGAACGAGAAGGATACTTTGTGGGCTCAGATCATGCGATCCAAGTATGGGAAGAACAGAGAGCAACTCGACCTTCTAAAACCCGTAAAGGGAAGTTCCTTCACCTGGAATAGTTTCTCCAAAACGGGGGAATTACTTAGAAAAGGGTGTGCTTGGAATATCCATAGGGGCAATCTAACTCATTTTGGTCTGATCTGTGGATTTCGCAGGTTCCTCTCCAGGAATTGGCTATTGGTCCTATCCCGGAAGAAGACCTTCAGACCAAAGTGGGGGATTTTGTTGACGAGGAAGGAACCTGGAAGACCGACAAATTCAACAACATTCTCCCAACTGACCTTGTCCACCAAATTACGGCGCTGGCGGTTGATCCTCTTACAACTGAGGATGATACTTTGTTTTGGAGGTCAACTTCAGATGGCCGCTTTTCCACCAAGAGCGCCTATCAAATTTTGTGCCCCAATGCCAGCTCTAGTCAGCCTCAAATTTGGAGTCGGATCTGGAAGTTGGAAGTTCCGGAACGAGTTAGATGCTTTGCTTGGTTGGTGGCTCACAACAGGATCACCTGCAATGAACAGAGGGTCAAACGACAGCTGTCGCCCTCACCTTTCTGTTACAAATGCTTGTCGCAGGTGGAGACCCCTCTCCATGTCCTAAGGGACTGCCCTCCGGCAGCCTATGTGTGGGCTCGTTTAGTTCCAGCCGAGCTACAACAGGATTTCTTCAGTAACAGTTTAGAGCAGTGGATGTCCACCAACTTGAAGGACGACGACAAACTCGGTGGTGAAATTCCGTGGAATTCGCTCTTCAGCATTGGCATGTGGAACCTGTGGAAGAACAGAAATGAGGGCGCCTTTAATGGGATCGAGAAGACACTCTCGCCTCCTTCTCTTCTGCAATCCATCAAGATTAAAGTAAGCATATGGCACAAGGCGTGGTCAGCTCCTAGGAGGATCTTGGGACGAAGGCAGATCTCGGCGCAGAGAACCCCTACTGAGGTTGGCTGGCTCCCACCGCCGGCGGGCTGGGATAAGATGAACGTCGACGGAGCTGCTAACGGGAACCAGGGCCAGGCAGGAGCGGGTGGCATCCTTCGGAACACAGATGGCAGGTGGATTGCAGGTTTTGTGTGCAACTTGGGTTCGTGTTCGGCGATTCTGGCTGAGCTTTGGGGCATTTACCATGGGCTTGGAGTAGCATGGCAGCAGGGGTGCAGGACTCTCATTCTCGAGACTGACTCCCAGATGGCACTGCAACTCATTGACAAGAGAACAGATCCCCTTCATCCCCATGCTACTATTCTTGCCGCTTTCAGACGCAGGATCACTCAGGACTGGGTGGTTAAGTTAGCTCACACTTTTCGGGAAGGGAATAGAGCTGCAGACTGGCTCTCGAAGCACAGTCTCGTCTACCCCTACGGTAAGTATGATCTGACGGTACCACCCCAAGGGATCCAACACATTATCGGAGATGATTATAGAGGAACCACTTTTACTAGGAGTATTGTGACTGCTCCCCACACCTCTCTTGCTCTGTAATCTCCTCCCCCCCCCCCCCCCCCCCCCCCCCGCCTGTATCTGCTTCTTCGGCTTTGGCCTCCCTTTACTCAAAAAAAAAATATAAGAGCACTACTACTACGCTATATAGTATTGGTGCTTTAATGTAAAACTTGAAGTTGTACCATAACATTAAATGTATAAGTTTAGGTTATGGTACAACTTTACAACTTTAGGTTGTACCATGACATAAAGGTACAAGTGCAAGTTGTATCATAAAAACAAAAACCTATAACACCAATACTATATAGCATTGTAAAATTCTTCATTATATAAGAAACTGTGTGCAGAAATGATACAAGAAGAGAGAGTGCTTGAGTAGCCGCTATGCTTGAATCAACTTCTAAACCTGATGTTTAAGGGTTGCTTTGATGATATAATTATTTTTTTTCATACAACAATTTGATAAGACATTTATTTTTTATTTCTCAAAATATTAAAAGAATATGCTACCTATCGAAATGCATTATCAATTTTTTGTTCGTATTTTAATTGCTCTTTTCATATAAATTTAACCGATAGCAATTTTAATCATGTTAGTTTTCGTATTTTTCTATTGTGTCGTGTGATAGTTACAAATAATTTATTGTGTCATGATGATAATAGTAATACAAACTTTCTTTTTTTTTTTTTGTCATGGTAAACTAAATAACTTCATCCCTAAACTCAAACTCTGGCTCCGCCGCCGGATAATGACCTAAGTACAATTATGATATTGGTCTATTAGTAGTATAGCTAATCTACACATAATATAATACACCGAAGGGAAAAACGGGAGCCCCATTTCAAATTTCCTGCAACGAGAGTGAAAGTAGGAAGGACATTTTGGTCTTCACAATTACTTTTTTTTATTCATTAAAAAGGTATGTATTGGGATTCGAACCATGACCATTTTAAAGAAAGGCAAGGATCATAACCAATCACACTAAGTACATTTGTTGTATCCTTTTAAATTAAAAATATATAATAGCAGGGTGGAAAAAACTCTTCCCACATTTCAAATTCCCTGTTCCATGAGCGTTTGTAGGAAGGGTAAAATAGGGAGTGTCAATTTTTTCTCTTTCCTCTATGGAACGGGCCAACTTACCGTACACATGCGGATTTAAACGAGTCAAGGAGTGTCAATTTTTTTCTTTATACCCTTTTATTTATCCGTGGTGATAAAATATATATGAAAAGGCAAAAATAATACTCCTTTTTATTGTTAAAAATAAAAAATTTAACAATAGACTAATGCATGGTATCTAATGGGCTAACCGCTAACCATAAAATAAAAGAGTTGAATGGGCCTGACCTACATGGGATTTGGTCATCAAGTAAAACAAATGAACAACATGGGTTTGCCATTCTAAAACAAGCTATTTTCTCTGGCATAATATATATTATGCTATTATTTTATATCTTAGTGGCTAAAATATAATGTATTTTAAAGTTATTCAATGGTTCAACCTCGACCAACCCAATTAGTCCAATTTTTATCATTTCAAATATATATTTTATAATTATTTGACATCATAATGATCAAATTATATTGTATTTTATAGGGAATCGTTTGGTATTTGTTAGTAAAAACTAAACATAAAAATCTATTTGGTTATTTTAAACATTAAAACGATCCTCAACATTTTCAGTTCCTTTTGAATTTATATGGTTTTATTCCCGAATAAGTGATGTGCAAATGGCGAATTGTAGTCGTCTTTTTTCTTTCACTATTTTTTTATTTTCAAATAGAAAGTTTAAAAGCAAACAATAATTAGAATTTGGCATGGGTCGGTCAAACAGGTTGAATTTCAAGTTTTGGCCCATTTGTTTTATGCATTGCAAATTTATTAGCATGTTGATGGAAATGGCTTGGAAAAAAGACATATAAGTTGTATCTTTGCAGAAATGTCCTCAAATGTTTGAATGCTTTGTGAATCAGGTTCTGTGACTTTTGTGATGGTGTATGTGCTTGACGATTGCTCGATGTTGTAACTACTTAATTTAAGAGTAAATCTTTTGACTTTCCCTATGAGTTGTGATACCAGTTCTGGTGGTTGCAGCATGTTGTCGTTGTTGGCCTGTAAAAGTTGTTCCGTCGTGATGCTAAATACCTTTCTTTCTTTTTTAACAAATTGTGTAGTAGTGCTATGAAACGGACCACCCATGAACGCTACGCTTATTATGTTCTGTTCTTACTTCCGGTGGTGAGAAATTGTGAATTGAGAATCATATTCGCCTACCGCACTGTGTCTGGTTGGTGGCTGCTTACTGTGTGCTCTCTAGAGTTATGAAACAGACTACCCATGAACTTTACCCTTAAGAGTCCACAACTTTGCGAAAAACCAAATATAGGCAATCAAAGGTGGTGGATGTGTGATGATTTTTTATGGCTTAATTGTTTGTGAATTAGATATCTGATCTTTGTATGATTAGAGGGGATGTTTGCTTAATAGAATAATCCATTTTAATTCATGTTTATTTTTAACATGAACTTTAGTAACTCAAAACCTTTGAGACACATATCACCTACTGCATTGTATCATTTTGCCTAGGTGCTTGCTGTGTTGTCAAACTTCTTTGCTGCTGATGCATTTACACTAACAGGGGAGTTAAGAACCCATGAATGTTTCCGTTTGACACAAACAAGAGGACTTACTTCTAAATCGTGCACTAAAGATGATTGGAGGAAACATCTCTGTTGCAGTTGATACACTGGAGACCATAACAAAAGCAACGTATAACATCAAAACCAACCATCTGAACTATTAGCATTGTTGCTTTACTCTTTTTTCGTGGTTGAGTCTCCTTCAAAAAATTTAGTTTGATTTTAGAAAATTTTGCTTCTGCAATCCTGTCTTGCCACCAACGCGTTCAGTAGATGGAGATGGCAGAGGCGAAGGCTATTTTGTGTTGTTGTTGCTGGTTTAGGGATCGGTTTGTGAAGAAGAGGGAGAAGAGAGGGGGAAAGGGAAATGCATGAGAGGGGGATAACTCTTTTCTCCGACAAAAATGGAGTGAAGAAAGGAATTATGATCAGTAAGGATATGGTTATCTTACATAACTGTGTCTATTCTGTTTGAATTGAGCTTGGGAGGTAGTGATAAGGACGAGCTGCAACCAATTCATAGTGATAAGAGTGCTATGAACTGTGATCATGTCTTATTTCAAGTTAGAAGGTAGTTTCAGTATAAGGATTATTTAATTTGACAAGTTGTTTCGTCCATGATTCTTGGTAGTTTCAGTGCCATTCTAGCCATTGTTTAGTCTGTAATTTTTTAGAATTGATGTGCGAGTAATGACTTTCACTTAGCTTCAACTATTATGTGTGTATTTATTGGCATGTGATAGAATTCTCTTTTCCTTTTCTTTGAATTCAGTTTCATACTCTAATTGTATCATTTGTACATAGGCAAATCATGCTCGAGATGACAACTCGCTGATATGGCTGGTGCAAGGAATGAATCCATCATTAAAATTCAGACCGACAACGGGGAGGGATGCCCAGGACTAATTCAATGATGATTGATGATGGTATGATAAAAACTGCAGTCTGCATCAGCACCAATTTCTAGGCCTAAGTAAAGTTATTCAACCCAGAACTCTGCTTAGCGCTAAAAATTGCCCTCACCCAACCTTTATCCTGTTTGACCCACTTCTGAAGAGTCAAGATATATTACTAATTCTCTCCGTTCGTATTTTCTTATTGGCTCTTTCTGACCCTTTAGGTTGGGGCGGGTCGGGAAGAATCGCATTAGTGGGCCGGTTCTAATCAAGTGGAATCCCAATCCCTTCACTCTCACTTGCTTTCTCTCCCATTCCACAAGTGGGTAACATACAGTAATCCGGCCAACGGGCCAGGTAATAAGCTAGTAAGTAATAACTACACGTTGAAATATTTCTATGCAGTAACAATTATTTTGTCTATTGATCAATTTTCAAGAAATAATTGTCTATTGATCAACGTTCAAGAAGGAGTTGGGGGTAAGGCAAAACATAAGTTGCAAAACAAGTCATTATGAAAATCACCATCCAAATTTCATTTGGCCAAATGGATCAGCACAGCAATTGCAATTGCCTGATAAAGTGTTGGTTGATTCCATGATATGTCGTACGTTCCACTTTACACTTGGGTTCACCACCGCGACAAGGAATGGGGAAACGATTAAATTGTGACGCATGATAAGGGTGGCTATACAGTCGGTCTGGTTAAATTGTCTCGAACTGATTCGGTCTTGATTCGGTCTTTTTAGAAATGTAAGGACCAAAAATTAGATTGAATACAGTTCGGTCTTGATTCGATATGATTTTGAACTTATCCGATCCCAATTTGGTTTTGATTATAGATTGAGTTTGTGAAAATTTGAGTAACCTGAGGCCTAAAAAGGTGATGAGTTGATTAAATTTTGAACGTTAGGCTATCTTATCTGGTCTTTATCCAGTTTTCGGTCCGGTCCCAAACAATTTTTTTATCTCAAATCCAAACCCAGAGATTGGATTGTTTGCTATCCGGTCCTGATCCGATCTCGGTCCGGATTATACAGTCCGGTTTCGGGTAAAATCAAAAAGCCCGGACCAAATAGCCACCTAAGGCGTAAGATCCAATTGTTGCTTGCACCAAACCAATGAGAGCTGGGCACGTGGAAAATAGAATGGAAAGAGGCCCAACAGAGGATACCAGTTTGACATCCAAAGAATAAATAAATAAATTGAACCGAATTCAGTATAAAAAATGTTTCTTATCTTACAGAGGAAATGTCCAGACCAACAATGAGCGACAAGGAAGAAGAACAAAAAGAGATGAATGAAGAACACCAGACCTCGGATCCAATCGAAATGGAGGAAGATTCGGTCATTGGATTCATCGCGATGAAGGAGGAGGAATGTCTGGTGTATCCCCAGGTCTTGGAGGTGAAGAAGAAGAAGAAGAAGGCCCAAAATCCAGGTCTGGGATAACACCAGGCGGTCGATCTCGAGGCTGTATTGATAGTAACTGGGAAGAGTCCCCTACGACGTCGGCCCATCCGTAGTGAGGCTCGGCCCTACGAAACAAATGGGCCAGATAATAAAATAATTATTCATCAGCTTCAACTCGCTGGCCCAAATAGCTTATATGCAGAGAGAGGAAGTGCTTACTGGTAAATTGTTTCCTCATCCACAACAATGTCCCAGGATTCGCCAGTGGTGCTCCTTCCATACTTGTGAACTTTGCTGCACAATACACAGCAGAAAGCACGAGCTAATAAGGGGGTGCTGTTCCAGCTTAACCAAGGTTTGGAGTTGGAGATGCGAGAAGAACAAGTAGATACTACGAGAGAGTATGAAGTCCTCGTACCCATTTCCGAAGTGTTCCTCCCCCCACGTCCTTGTCCAACCTAGGCACGAGAGATTAACGTCAGAACGTTTAGAATGAACATATGCACAAAGTGCAGACATACGGCTCAACAGTTTGAGCGAGTCACTGAAGAGGTTCATAGATAGGGATAAAGAGAATCAATCAATGATATCACTCCTGTTCAATGAAACCAACATTGTACAGTTTTAATGAATTTGATGTGCAGGTATCGATGTTATTATGTTGATGCATGAAGAGATTGAGAATGTGGGATCACAAGATGATATTGAATTCCCAGAGTTTAGTCATTGAGATTGCAAGTAATCATACGTTGGTCATTTGCAGAAACATGCCAAGTTTCTCCTTGCCGTGAGCCTATACCAGCAAAGAACTTCTCCTCCCACTTGTCTCCCCACCTTGTTCCCAGTTCCGTCTCGGCCCATTTATCTGTCCTGAGGAATTAAGAAAAGAAATGAACTTAATGTGACGAATCAGTAATTCAAGGTAGTCAGTCCTATATCCAGGGGAAGGCCCGACTCTTTGCATCCTCGGTAAGTAGGCTATGGTTCAAAGTTTGACTTACACATAATCCTCTGCAGTCAACACTCTAATTAAATACCAGTCAAGGGAAGCTTGAATGGCAAACATTTTATCTTTTGCTAGTTTCACATGCATTTATATGGAGTCCTACTTCAGGAGTTAAGTGCAACCAATTGTGAAATATAGACACCAAGAATCAATATAACAGGACACCCAAAGCCTAGGACAATGATAACTAACTTAGAGCGTGCTAAAATGAAGAGAGAATTTAGGATTGGGAGAGCACAAACCATTTGAGAACGGATCCACCATCATAATGCTCTCCCCACTTCTCCCACCATGACTGCTCATTCAGTCTACCATATTTGTGAGCTCCTTTCTCGGCCCACCCCTTAGCATCATATTTCTCCCACCTAAGTTGGGGCAATATAGCTCTATTAGCATATTTTACTTTTGTCTGCCGGTGAAAAAAGATACGGTAATAATCGAGTAAGCTTACCATTTCTCGAACCATCCTGCCGTTCTAGTACCTGATTTAGCTTGCTTCTGTGCGCTCTTCTCTATTCTCGCCAAATTACTGCAATTCAAAAGAATGTGATCGGTGATAAAGTTCCATGCAGTCGAGTTAATCCTGTAACAAACAATACCAAAACAGTGGTAGAAATAAGACCTCCATTTATCTCGGTGAAGCACCTCTTGCCATGTTTCCCACCAAGAATCCCCTTCAGCATTCTTTCCTGATTTCTCCACACCTATAGATCATGAAAGACATAAAGTCAGGACTTCAATAACCTATCAAGTATGCTACGAGGAAAAGAAAAGTGATTTACCAAGCTCTTTATATCCAGTCCAGTCACTTTTCTCCCACCACTGTCAAGAGAGACCAAGAAACCCAATTAAAAGCAATCCCCAAATGGATACTTAATCTCGTTATACAAAGGATTGTATAAAAGATCATAAATACTTGGAAGGACACAAATCCAACTAATGCAGCAGCAACATAAGTTGAGGTTGGACTAACATTATAGTAACCATTGTTCATCCACCATATCACCATTATCATATGTTTGAAGTTAGTTTCATACCGTTTCTTTCCATTGTGACGAACCATCCTGTGATTTGCCTCCCATGGTCGTCCATCTACATCTGTAACCCTTTTCTCCCACGTCTTCCCCACTTTCCCGGTACCAAGTACTTCCATCTTCATTAATCCCAGACTCATTAACAAGTTCATTTTTCAGGTTGATCCCCCAGTCCTTCTCATTTGCAATCCCAGTATCTAAAGTTTGACCACCATGAAAAATCACACCACCATCCACCAAATTAAAGCTTTTCAGATGGAAGCGAGACAAGTAGTAATCGATGAGACAAAACCTAAATATTACCTCTCTGCGGCGGAGTATCTCGAGACTGCGAGCCAGAGTTTTTGGGAGTACAACGAGGATAAAATTTCTCTTGCTTATTGGTGAAGCGAGACCTACGAATTCAATACAAACCACAGAGACAAATTCAATCACTGAAACTCATAACTCATGCTGGTTGCAGATTACTAGCTGTCTAGCTCAATCAACAATCCAACTGCAGCGAATTAGAGAAATCACAAGCTGGAATTCTAAAAAGCAGTTGCAAATCAAGTTGCTCTTCACTAAACCATAAGTTTGCAACAATTGGAAGAACAGTCTATAGGAAGAAACGGTGAGAGCTCATCGCCATTACTGAGCATAAGCGAATTCTAGAAAAATCGTGCGCAAAGTCACAGACTGAAACTTGAACTCCAACAGTTGAAGGCTCTAAGCCAATCAAAATCGTAAATGATGTGATTTAAACCATAACAGCGAAGGAAAAAATTGGAAGAGAGAGCACAGGGACATTACTGAGGAGAAGCGAACGGCAATGCGGAACTATTAGCTCTCATTCTCAGCTTGCGAGGACTATTCTCCTCGGCTTTGTCCCCGCCAATACGCGAAGCGGCGGCACTCCGCCGAATAGGAATGACCGCGCCAGCGCAGCAACAGGAAATCGTGGTCACCGGAGGAGGCCGCCGGCCTGATTGAACGCAGACTCTGCTGTTCTTCTTCGCCGTCTTCCTCCAGGAGCTTCCATCGAGGAACGGAGAAATGCCTAGGAGGTGGGGGCGGAGTTCCAAATCCAGCCGAGCCGTGAAAACTCTGGAAGTGGCGGCCGCCATTGGGGAAAACGGGGCGGAAAACAATTACGAGGAATCCATTGGAGGAAAGTAGACGGAAACGGGAAAGGAGAAACCCTAGACTGGGAGAAGAGAAAAGTCTAAGTGGTTGCGAGTTTCTGGAAATGGCGAGAGAAAGAAGGAGCGAATCAGAAACTGCAACTTCGAAGTCCTAGGGAAGTAAAAGAGCAGAGAGAGATGGACTTGTTAGTAGCTACTGGCTTCTAACAGAAGTTCCATTTTCTTTGGCCGTTTGGTTTCAACGACAAGATTTTAATATGATTTTTCAAACGATTAAGAGTTAATTAGAGCTTACTTATATAATTAGTTATTGCTGTCTAAAGAAGAGCACTCCTCGTGGAAGCAAGCAATGCATTTTTTTTTGGCCAAGTATGGAATACGGTTTGAGGTACCTACTTTGAAAGCTTACTCGTTCATATTGATAGCTATTCGAGTGAAGTTAGAAGTTCGAAGTGATAATCCAAGGCTATATTGAAGTGGAAGCAAGTATCGAGCAGCTCCAAGATGGCATGAGAGGGACGGGGCAGCGGATGGTGGGTTTGGAAGAGGGTTTGGAGGCTTCACAAACTACTTGGTATCCTAGACAACAATGTCGAGTCATTGAGAGAGATGATTTGATGCAAGCTTGCTATGGCGAAGGACAAGGTTACGAAGCTAAAGGGAGAGGTCAATATCCTAAATACGGTCATGACTAACTGATCTGTTGTGGAACAATCTACCTTAAGTGTGGATGTTTCAAAATCGAAGTGCTATGGATGGTCGAGGAATACAAGGGAGTTAGAAAACTTCCTATGGAGCTTAGAGAAACACTTTGAAGCTTTAGGTATTCAAAATGAGAATGCCAAGGTACGTTTTGCATCTCTTTATTTGGTGGCCACCGCAATGTTATGGCGAATGCCGAGGCGATGTCGATAAAGGAACGTGCATCGTAGAGACATGGACAAATTCAAGAGGGATATTAAGAAGCAACTCTACCCCAAGAATGCAAAGCTTGAAGCAAGGTCAATGATTAGGGGTGTCAGTTCGGGTCGGGTTCGGTTACCCGAAAACCCGAAACCGAAAACCACTAAAACCGAACCCGAACCCGATAAGGACTTGCGGGTTCTGGTTTCCCGAAAATTCCTTATCGGGTTCGGATTTGGTTAAAGCAAAACCAAAATCCGAAAACCCGAACGCCTAAGAATACGGGTTGAGTTCTATTCATTGGAGGTTTTTAGCCGGAACCCGAAAAACCGATAAGCAAAACCGAACCCGAAACCGAAAAACCCAAAACGAACCCGAACACGAAAAACCGAAAATGTATATAATCGGGTCGGTTTCGGGTAAACCCGAAAAACCGAACCCGAATGGACACCCACATCAATGAATGAGGTAACTTGCTCACAAGGAAGAAATTTTTGGTTAAGTAAGGGAGTTCTCCAAATTTATCCTTGAAATATATGATTTACCGTACAAGGAGGCCTTGTTCGCGTTTCTAGATAGCTTACTACCAAGGTTGGAGCTATAACAGTGATGCATTCAAGATCTTGCCCAGACACAAAGTTGCTCATAAGGTGCCAATAACACTTGGAGAATGCGTTAGAGTTGTGGACTTTCATGTAGTGCTGATGGGCGATTATTCAGTCATCATCGGTATGGAGTTTATGGAGAGAAAGAAGTTTGTCTTGATCCCCTTTAAAATTCAATGATCATCTTCAAAGAAGGAAAATTGTGCATGATACCCATATATCTAAAGAGACATCTAGATCACTCAAGTCTTGGTTGGCAATGTGAGCTTAGACAAGGGAAGTAAGTACCAACGAGGCTAGTAGGAGGGAGGCATCCATCAAATGCCACGGCGAGGGCGTCATGAATTAGGTGGGGGAGAATGTCACATTGAGGTTCAATCTTCCACACTAAGAAGGTTTTGGACTACTCTAGAAGATTGGAGAAGAATATGAAAGAGCATGGAAGTATGAGTACTTGTAAATAGTTTTTTAAATATTTTTAAATAACAGATCTTTGTATAGAGTGTTTTATAGACTTAGTTTTAACCGTAGGATTCTAAAGGCGAGACCTATATATAGCTCATTCTCCTCATTTGTATTCATTTAAAAATATTGAGAGTATCACACTTCTAGAAAAACCTCAATTTTTGTGAGTTTGAGCAAATGTGAATGAATAATGACTTAGCTTTTTAACTAGACTTGAATTTTAAGGGTTCATAAAAGACCAATTTTGTTGGGGATAGTCGGATAACTGGCCTAGCCATGTCTGCAAATCTCACGGGAGATTTAGGTATTGTTTGCTTGTGGGATTTGGGTGATGGATTTGGCACCCAAATCCCAAGCATCATGTATTTGTCACAAATATATTTTTTAATTGAGATATACATATCCGTGGAGCCCATATGTTTTGACCATCATTTAGCTCCAAATCCATGGATCCCACGTTTTTTGAAATATCACATTTCATTTGCTGTTTGATTAAGGAAGACAAAAACTTGAGACTCATTGTACAAAAATCTAAAATTTTATGATAAAAAAAATCAACTAAACAAACAATATGACTCTTTCTAATACAAAGCACAACAAATCTATTATAAACATAAAGATTTTTAGAACTCAAAATCTTCATTTTCAAATCCTATCAATAAACAATACCTTAATCAAAACGGAAGAATCGTACACATGACGTGAGCAAGATTGACAAGTGTCCCACACTTGTATCCATTATGCTTCGGCAATTTACGGTTCAATCTCTTCTGCCAACCAACACACGTCGGCCTGAGTGTGCAAGTGGAGAATATGACTATTTCTCCGAAGTTTTCACTTAGTCGTCATATGGATACAATGTAACAAAGCGGTTAATATTTCCGTATGGCCTGAACTTTGACCAAAATAAACATCCTGGCCAATCTTTTTGATCTATAACATCCTGACCCGAATTATACACCAAAATAAACAATTTGGCCAAACTCGATGTTTGACCGTTAACTTGGACGGTCAAACGCGTTGACTAAGGGTCAACGCGCCACGTCACTCCTCCTCATCTAATAGGCCAACGGGTCGAGTAAAAGCTAGCAACGATTGTGAGATGCTCATTTCCCGAAAACCGGCGGGATAGGCCATTTTTTATTCGTTTTTTGGAATTCAGTTTGTATAAAACTTACTCCACCTCATCATATTACCAGAAACAATATTGTTTCACAAGGTAACAGGTACTTGATTTTGGTTCATAAAGCTGATTTTTGATTCGTTGCATCATTCATGTCTCTTTCCTACTAAAATTCACTATTTTTATCACGTGTTTAAAAAAAAACTATACAATAATAAGTTATGCACCCCATTACATTATCAAACTCCATACCTTCCTTCCTCCGGCCAACTGGTCGGGGCCACGCTAGTTAGGTTTTTACGGTCCAATCTCTTTAGCCAACCAACACACGTCGACCTGAGTGTGCAAGTGGAGCATTTTTGGCTATTTTCTCCAAAGTTCGCAATTAGTCGTCATATGGATACAATCTAACAAAGATCTAAACAAAAGAAAAATGTGCATTCCAAAAAGAGGCATGATGTCAAATCAATTTCTTTCGTGCGTAATGATGAGATCCAGTCTTGAATCAGATCGGCATAGTATAAGATCAAATCTATAATGAAAAGGAAATGAGGTTACAAGATGCATTTGGTACAATGCACATTATTTATAACTTTATTTTAAGAAATTTGATTGGGTTCAAAAGGGAAGATTATGAATAAATTGATCAATTTCAACTTAAAAATCTATTTGATCTGGTATAAACTGTGTAATCTTAAACATTTTGCTAGTTAGTTACATCTCATGATATATGGTTCCTTAAAGCGATACGTATAACAAAGATTAGATGTGCGTTTTCTCTTAGATGAAGTTTTTTCCAACCAAAACAAAGCGGATGTAAACAACACTCATTTTACATTTTTAGCCTAAAAAAATATTCAATATCGGAGTAGTGCTCAAATTCATTTAGTAATTAAATCATATTTGATTAATTTTGTTTTTGGGCAGATTCATATCAATTTTTTTTTTTAGTTCGGACCTAAATTGGACTTATAGTATTGGGTACCCATAAGAAAATGGATACCAGATTCTAATGAATTTTTCGTCTAATATTTTGCTATTCAACAAATAAAGTATAATTAGATTGAGGGGATTAAAGAAGTAATTGATATTATTTTTATATGTACAATTATCTGTATCCAATTATATTAATTTTGAATCAGACCCAAATGAATTGACCAAATTAGATCTAATTCAAATTCAAAACCAGTAGGAATATCGATAGTCTAACCCAATGAAAATCAAATCATTCCTACCTCATCCCATTTCCCATGCGTGAAGAAGACCCCAAGTCAGTTTTAGTTACCAATTTCCATCCACAACCAGAAAGCAGATATCGTGCTGCTGTCACTCTATTTCCAAGCCACTGTCAAGTAACCTTATCCAAAACCGCAAAACCTCAACTCAAAAACTGAGAAATTCCACTCTTCACTTATTCCACGACATCTCGCCAATGATGACATGGCGTGACACCTGTTGAAGATGAGCTCCCAATATATTTAGTGGATAAGGCGAGAAAAGGGGGGCAATGCCTTGCGTGTCATTGTATCAGGCGAGGGCAAATGGCGTATACTTGGTGCCACAGGCGGCCACGTCAGCAGGCACCGACTTTTTGAGAAGTGGAGCACGACAGGGACACAAGCGGTTGTTGGTTCGGTATTGTCAGTTGGACGAGGAAACCTTGTGCAAGTGAAAAGATGTTCTTTTCCGGATAGGCTTAACGTCACATTTTGGAGCAGTAGCTTTCAGTGAAAAGAAGGTTTAATGGCAGCCATGAGTTTTCATTTCAGGGCTGTATCAATTTACGTTTTTATCCCCCTTTTCTGTATGGATGGTCAGAGTGGTACCTCCAGGAGGGGAAAGTTAATCTGCTAACTTGAAGATTCGTTAGAAGATACTAACTGATATCCAAAATACATGAACTAGTATCTAAATACTAAAGTGTCTAGAGAGCACATACTAGTATTCAAAATTTGTTAACTGATATCCACCATGAATCAACTATTATCCCAAATTCACAAACTAATATCTAGACAACATAGACTAGTATCCATACAACACATAATTAGTATACATATAACACATAAGAGTATCCAAATAACACATAAAAGCATTCATAGTAAATACTAGTTGGTTGATTGTGGATATTAGTTGGTATCTACTATTTGGATACTAGTTTATTATGTTTTGAATATTAGTCTGTGTTATCTAGATACTCAACAGATTTGGATATTAGTTCATACATTTTGAATATTAATTAGTATATACTAACGAATCTTCAAATTAGCAGAATAACTAGACTGCTTTCCAGGATTGTGAGGTCGAGTTTGCTATTCATGGTCCACGTTTAGTCCCGAGCACAACCAAGACAAAAGATCCCCCATGAGCCCAATTACGGTGTGTAAAGAGAGCAGCATATGAACTGCATAATAATGCCATTGTTGGGGTGTGGAATTTGCTAAAATCACCCGTGACCTGTTACACTATTTTTGACACGATTGGTTTACCTCACAAGTAGTACTTGGGCATTATCCAAACATGTGCGTCTTTGTGTCTGCCCTACCTGTTTTCAAACATGCTCTTTGCATATGCGCGTCAATTCGGTTAAGACCTGCAATTCTGTTCCATCTTCATCCATATCACGATCTACCCAATCCGATTTGATTCAAACAACATTTCAAATTCCTTGTGTGAACAATGAGAAACCAGCAAAACTTTTTAAGACGTCCGATTTTGATTTAGTAAGTTATGGGAGAGAGAGAGAGAGAGGAGAAACATAGCAGAAACTAACAAAAGCACAAACAGTTTAACTGCGCTGAAATTGCTGATTGGAGAAGTAACATGACGATGGCAACACCAAATATCACATTGAGAGACGTTCGAAGCAGAAAAGCACAACCAAATGCACGTCTCCTGGGATCTTGAGATCACAAATTCGGTTCCAAGATGAGCCAGACTTGACTACAGTTGTGCAAGCTGAACCAAACTCGGCAACAGGCCAGTAGTGCCTTCAATCTGGTTGCTCACAAATTGGCATCAATTGATGGTGAAAGAACGATGATTCGGACCGTGCAGGAACTTACTTTCTCGAGAGATATGGCTTTACTGATTCCACAACCACCTGCCATAGCAAATCAAGAGACCAGTTGGATAAGAATATGGCAGTCATCTAATAATAGCTCATGCATATTGGAACAAGCCTCCATTCTCTGGATTGCATTTAGACAATCCATCCTTAGTCCTTACCCTCCCATCATATGATAGAGATGCAAAAATCCAAGGTTCGCGAGAACTCCACGCGAGCCCTATGATCAATACAAACTAATATCAGTCAAGCAACGTGCAAAATCATTGCAGAGATGGAGATTTTTGCTGCTTTTTTCTTTTACCATAAACACTGTCTTCATAATCGGTGTAAGAGTTCACCAATGGATCCACCTTCAAAGTTAATGAGTTCTGCCCACTGTTAAACATAAAATTACAGGCTATAGTCATAAAATCTTAAGAATGACACCAGCATATAACCGTAAAAGTTAGACATGTAAACAAGAGATGGACCTATCAGAAGTTATCTCATCACGAGATCCTGTTGGAGCCAACCACAAGTTAACAGCAGAGTCAGTGCCACCACTCTGCGTGTATTTTGCAGCTCGGGTAAGAAGTCAGAACATATGTAATCAACTATCAAGAGAGGGATAGATAAATAATAGATGCAGACCAGAATCAGCCCATCATACTCAGGGTTGCATGCCACAGCCCAAGTCCTGCCAACATTCGAATACACGACGTGAGGACCAAAAACACCAAACGTAAAAGGCTCAGGAAACAGAGCATGAAGTTAATTATTTTAAAAGATATTTGAAGTGTGACAAGGCGAACTCTAACCAGTGAGTGTGTCCGGGTAGCTCTCTGATGGGAACCTTTGTTTTCCTAAGATCCCAAATGTGAATCCCAGTTTCATCCTCTGCAGTAACCTACAAACATTAATTTATTGCATCATTATTAAAAAGAGCTCCTAGCATTCGACAAATATCCGAACAAGCATTAATCCACATTCAAAGAGATGATATCCCAATGTTTTTTTTTTCTTTCTCCAAATATCTTCCAAGCTTGAAGAATAGTCGGCTAGTGTTCAGAATGGAAATATTGATCAAAGCTGCATTGCATGCTTAGACACAACCGAGAACTCTTACAAGTATGTGATCCTTCTTGGTGTCATAATCAATAGTGCGGACATGGGAGACATCAATGGAACTCGTCTTCCTGTAAATACAAGTTGTTGAAACTATCAGTCAGACAGGATTTCATGATGCTTAAATGAAAAAGGGTCAACAGCACCAGTATTGGAGAAACGACTGTGCATTTATTCTAGAGTTGAATTATGCACAAAGCTACATGTGTGGTCAGCTTCTTTGTGCCCATTACTCAGCAGTCAAGCCTTTCATAGGCCAAGAAACTGCTAGCCATCCCATCAGGAGAGATGTATAACAAGATTCTACTATGCAAATGAGGCTTTCAGAATAGTGGAAAGGGAAAGAGGGAAAATAAATTATCATCTAAGAAACAACGGTTTGACATTCATTCACGTCTCGTGCCTCTGCTTTTACATGTTGGTGCCACTTGATTGTGATCAATTACTGAGGTAGTAAATTACAAAGAATATGAATATAAGTTCCATAAATAAGTGTTCACCCACTTCTAAGGATCGAGACTTCTGGATTCAGATTTCAGTAAGATATCCTACAAAGCTCATCCCGTATGCTTAGTCTCGCAAGTTTGGCCACTTGACAGTGATTGATTACTGAGCTATGATATATAATCTTCATTGATCATCTATTTCTAAGGATCAAGAGTCTTCCAGATTCTGGTTGGCTAAGAGATTTTGAGAAGCTCGTTCTCAAGGCTAATCCCTTTACATTTTGGTCAGTTGAATCTAACCAATCACTTAGCTCTGCTATAAGTAGAAAGAATAGATGTAGGAGTATCATACGTCATTGTTCGTAGATCCCAAAACTGGACTGAAGATTCACAAGTTGCTGCAATAGAGTTCACATCATGGGGATCCCAGGCGCCACCAGATAAATAGTGCATCGTACCAGCAGACTCCTTAGATTGCACCTACCATTTGTAGGGAATCTGAATAAGAATCAGCATTAAGAATGCAAGATTTCAATTGGCACAACCATGTGCATTTAGCTAATAAAAGAGCCCCGAACTGAACGATTTTAGTCATCTCAAGCACCATTAGACAGTCGACAACATCCAACCAACCAAAGATATCAAGTTGGCAAGAGATTCCAGTAATTGTGTGAAATGTTGAGATAGTAACAAGGAAGCCATTTTCAATACAGAATATAATACCTGGGCGGCCTTTTTCGAGGAGTCTAAGCTCCATAGGAACAGGTTTTCCTCATCAATGCTGACCAACTTGTCATTTCTTCCAGATGGCCACCACAAAACACTGTTTTGGAAATGGAAACCATGAGCTAGAAGAAACTAGGTAGGCATTTTACGAACGGAACACCATAAGCCAAACCATCTCACATAAGAGGCTTTGACACTGGAAAATACTACAGACGAAACAGCATGAATAACTTCGAATCCTCCAAGTTGAACTTACAGACCTCCAAAAACACGAATTATTATACCCTTTTAACCTACTGTTTTCTACACAACCGTAGCTTGGTTCATGTGAAAATCATTTCCTCCTGGTATCCATAACCTATACTTTCTAAATGAAACGAACAATGTGCAAACTAACCACTTAATCTTGCTAACATGAGCATCGAGCAAAGCAACTCTTTCCAACTGAGGCGAATTCAGCTGGCCATACAGCTCCGGGATCTGCCAAACCGCCGCTCCATACGACTCACCTTCAACGAAACAACAACGTCAACCATTCCGCCACAGAAACCAAACAATTCAAGCAAAGATCTCCGGCCAAGAAGAACAAACGAGATACCAGTTGAATAGACCGTTGTGAAGATGCGCTGATCAAACGGACAAGAGCGGAGGTCCCAGATCTCATTAGGATGAGAGAATAAGCCCTCGCAAATGAGCTCAGTTCCATCGGCAGATAACCTAATCAAGTGAACCTAAAACACGATGGCACCATTTCCAACAATTCACACACCAGATCGCGCAAAACTCAAGATTCGAGAGAGCAGGAGAAATTCAATCCCGGTAAGCAGATGAAAAAGGAAGATGATGCGAAACCTCGTTTTCTTCTCTGAGGCTGAGAGTGCCGGCGAGGAAGCTTGTGTGATCGGTATCCGCTTTAACGTCCGATATGCACCTTGCCTACACATTGAGACGTTGAATTCAGAAGTCATATGGTGACGGAACGATGGAAAAAGCCGAAACGATGAAGAGAAATTCATGTAGAGTTCGGCAATGACGGACCTGGTACTTTAGACCATAGCCGACGCCTGAAGATCCTGCTTGCATTTTTTTCCTTTTCCTTCTTCAATTCAACGGTGTGGTTGCTGCCGTCGAGCTCTGCTTGCTAGGAGAAAGAAGCTCTGTCTGTAGAAAATTTTGGTGTGAGAATGTGAGATGGATATTCGCGGGTATGGGCTTTTGATCCAGGTCCAGCGGAAACTGGCCCTTTGGAAACAGCTGTCCATATCTTTATGCACAGATGAAAACGGGACGTTTAAACAATGTCCCAATCTTTATGCATGGATAATTCTTGGGTAATCGACTTCAAATTTGATCGAATTACACTTATTAATATCTGAGAAAATTACAAGGTGAAAAGAAGATATACTCTCTCAACGATAAAAGTAGCCTCGTAAAACTGAGCCTATGTAATCCGCATAAAATAGACATCTCTGAGAATATTTGTAAAAGGAAGGCAGGAATTTTGTGAAACCTTTTCTACATTTCACTGGCAGCTCAGCTGCAGAATATATGTACAGAGGCAGTGACTACAGGACAGAGTGCCTCTAACGGCCTCTTCCTCTCGTCAAGAGACAAGTGTCTCAATAGGGTAATTACACGTAATATTTACAACCTATAATTTAAATATGTGCAGTGAAGTTGGGACGGCGGCATATTAGCCCAAACGCAGTTCTTCGTCTTCTTCTTCTTCCTCTGCCTTGAACTCTTGACCGTTGGAACTTTCTTCTTCTTCTTCTTCTTCTTTGCTTTGCTTCAAGGCAGAGTGTCCCATTCCAGTTGACAGTCCCCCACAAGCTGGCGAGTATATATCATATACTCCCAGCTTGAAGAGAATCCATTTGAATCTGTGCGCACTTAAACCCTTGGTGAATATGTCTGCTAAGTTCCTGTCAGTGCACACATATTTCAGGCTGATTAGCTTCGATTTTACCCTCTCCCTGATCACATGGTAGTCGATCTCGATATGTTTGGTTCTTTCGTGGAAAACCGGGTTCTCTGCCATGTGTATGGTAGATTTGTTGTCGCAGAAGACGGTGGCTGGACCCTGATATTCGACATTCAAGTCCTTCAGCAATTGGGTGATCCATTGTATTTCGCACGACAACTGAGATAGAGCTCTGTATTCAGCCTCGGATGAGGACTTCGAAACAATCGCCTGCTTCTTCGCTTTCCAGGTAATGAGTGAGTCCCCCAGAAACGTACAGTACCCTGTAATTGACCTCCTCGTATCGGGGCAGGCTCCCCAATCCGAATCACTGTATCCCGTTAGGGTGAAATCAGTGTTTGATGCAAAGAACAATCCCTGGCCTGGAGAGTTCTTGAGGTACATGAGTATCCTGTGTGAAGCCTTGAGATGAGATTTCTTGGGTTGTGCCTGGAACTGGCACAATTGTTGTACTGAGTATGAGATATCAGGTCTTGTGGTAGTTAGGTAGCTTAATCTCCCAACCAGAGACTTGTACTCATATGGGTCTTCTGATTCCTCATCGTTGAATTGTGATAGCCTTGTCTTCATGTCTGATGGAGTCTTAGATGGTTTTGAGCTTAGGAATCCTGTATCAATCAGAAGGTCAAGGCAGTACTTCCTCTGGGTAACTGAAATCCCAGCACTGCTTCTGGCTATTTCCAAACCCAGGAAATATTTCAGTTTTCCAAGATCCCTAACTTTAAACTCCTTAGATAAGAAATCCTTTGCCTCCTGAATCATGTCCTGATCATCTCCTGATAGTATTATGTCATCGACATACACTAGAATGATGGTGATTCCTTGGCTTGTCTTCTTAGTGAAGAGGGAGTAATCAGAAAAGGATTGATTGAAGCCAAACCTGATCAGGGCATCTGTGAGTCTTGCATACCATTGCCTCTCAGCCTGCTTGAGGCCATAAAGGGACTTCTTCAGCTTGCACGCCTTGCCAGGTATTTCCATTCCAGGAGGTAACTTCATGTATACCTCCTCTTCCAACTCCCCATTTAGGTAAGCATTGCTTACATCCATCTGACTTAGTTCCCAGTTTTTGACTGATGCAACAGCTAAAAGAGTCTTGACAGTGTTGATTTTCACCACTGGGGAGAAAGTGTCAAGGAAGTCAACACCATACACTTGTGTGAAGCCCTTTGCCACAACTCTGGCTTTTCGCCTTTCAATTGATCCATCATCAAGTAGTTTGGTCTTGTAAACCCACTTGCTGCCTACCAGCTTCTTTCCTGGTGGGGCATCTACTACATCCCATGTGTTATTGATTTCTAATGCTGTTTTCTCCTCCCTCATAGCTTGTCTCCAGCATTCTTCTTTCACAGCTTCATGATAGGATAGAGGGTCTTGAAGGTTTGTGACTGCTAGAGAAAAGTGTTTGTGTTGTTGGCTTAGTTGGGAAAAATCCATGTGGGAAGAGATTGGATACTGGTGCTTTTGTGCAGTAGCACCTGTCCCCAAGTAGTAGTCCTTGTGCCAGACAGGTGCAGTTGTTTTCCTGGTCGATTTCCTTAGGGTGTTGTTGTGTTGAGGTTCTTCCTCAAGTTCATTTGTGGTATCCAGTGCCCCCTCTTCTTCATGATCGAGAACCTCCTCAGAAACCTCAGCATTTTGACCATCAATGGTGTCAAATGGAATGAACCCAGAAGAGCTTGATGGGGAAGAAACAACATTAGGAACAAAAGGAACAAATGAATTATGATCTGAATGCATGTCTGATGGCATATGTGCTGAGGTGGGAGTTTGAGGGGATGAAGAAGTGTGTTATGGTGGTGAAGTGTGGTGTGTGTTGGGGGGAGCAAAGGGGAAGATGGTTTCATGGAAGAGTACATCCCTAGTGGCAAAGGTTTTGTTTGTGTTAAGGTCAAATACTTTGTAGCCTTTGAGTCCAGGAATAAGGCCAAGGTAAATGCATTTCCTTGCCCTTGGTTGGAATTTGGTTCTGCCAGCTTCTAGGGTAGATGCATAGCACAGTGATCCAAATACCCTAAGATGTGAGTAGTCTGGTGGTTTATGGTAGAGTCTTTCAAAGGGTGTTTGGTTTGATAGGATAGGGGTAGGTAATCGGTTTAATATGTGTACTGCATGGAGGATGCAGTCACTCCAGAAGTGTAGGGGTAGGTTGGCTTGGAGCTTTAGTGATCTGGCTATGTTTAGGATGTCTTGGTGTTTTCTCTCTACTCTCCCATTTTGTTGTTGCCTCTCAACACAAGACATTTGGTGGGTTATTCCATGTTCTCTGAAAAATTCAGCCATGTGGAACTCTTGTCCCTGATCACTTCGTATGGATTTGATGGTTTGGTTGAATTGGTTTTTGATCATGGTGTAAAACTGTTTGATAATTGATCTGACTTCTGATTTTTGTTTCATCAGGTAAGCCCAAACAGCTCGGGAATGGTCATCTACTATGGTAAGGAAGTAAGAAAACCCATCATAAGACTTGGTATTGATTGGCCCCCAAATATCTGTGTGTATGAGATCAAATGGGTGCTGGGAAGTGTGTAAACTGGAAGGATTGGGTGCTCTCTTCTGTCTTGCAAGATGACAGACCTCACAGTGATTAACATTGTCTAAAGGTAAATCAACATTACACTTTTGGAAAAGTCTAACTCTAGAATTTGAAAGGTGGCCTAGTCTTGCATGCCATAGGGTTGTTTCTTCTGTTTGATTGAGTGAGGTGGCTGCTGCAGTGGCTTTGGTTGGTGTATGAATGGTAGGAGTGGTAGTCTGGAGTTGGTAGAGCCCTTTAACCTCTCTTGCAAAACCAATCCTCTTCTGTGAAGGAAGGGCCTGGATATCACAGAAGTCGGATTTGAATGTTAGGGATATAGGAAGAGTTCTTGTGAGAGTACTGATTGAGAGTAGATTAAATGTGAAAATTGGTATATGGAGTACATTCATTAGGGTAAGGTTTTGGTTGATCTGGACTGTTCCAGTGTGACTGACCTGGACTTTGGTGCCAGTAGGCAGTGTGACAAAAACATTGTCTACTGGTTGATAGGATGAGAAAAGGGATAGTTTGCAGCACATATGATCAGATGCACCAGTATCAATGATCCAGATGTTCATTAGTTCTAAATGCTGTGAGGAAGAGAAAGAAGACAGTGTGTATTTACCTGCATTGTTTGGCATGGGGGTCAGATGCCTTGATGCTGAATGTGCTTGTGGCTGAATTGCAGGTTGTGACTGGTGACTTCCAGTGGTCTGTTGTAGCAGCATCATCAGCCTGTTGCAGTCATCAGCAGCGAGCCTTAGGGTTGTTGTATTGCTTGGCTTGTAGGTGTGCTCATTGTCTCCACTAGGGTTGTCTGAAACTTGTTCACTAGGGCCACTACTGTTGGTTGCTGCTGCTGCATAAGCTTGTCCAGGCATTTCTCCTCTCTTCCTCTTCAGTTTCCAGCAGTCTACTATGTTGTGGTTTGTTTTCTTGCAGTAGTTGCAGAAAAGACCCTGCTGGTTGTTGCTGGTGCTGTCATTGTTGCTCCTTGGATTGCTGTTCCCAGGGTAGTTCCCCTGATATGTGCTTGTTCTGTTCCCACGGGGGTAATCAGGCCTTTGGTCCTTTCCCTTGTTTGAATTCATAGCAGCTAAAGCCACTGAATCCACCCCAGTTGCTTCCTTGGTAGGTTGTTTACCCATTTGTCTCTCAAGTTTGAGATCATGCTTGTAGGCTAGCTTTAAGCTTGGGGCAGGATCCATAAGCAGTAGCTGATTCTTGGTGAGCTCAAAAGAGTCACTTAGACCTATGATGAAGTCGATAGTGTGGTCCTGTTCCTGAGACTCTTTAACAGCTGCATAGGTTGCACAGGACATTGTATGTGGTGTGCCACTACATTCACAGGCTGGTATGGATTTAAATGACAAATACTCTGTCCATAAAACCCCTAGCCTGTTATAATACTCAGTCACATTGTTATCTCCTTGTTTGCAGTTGGCGATTAGCCCCTTGACATGAGCCAAGCGGATGGAGTCAGCTTCTCCATATCGTTCCTGAAGATCCTTCCACAGATCTTGGGCTGTCTCATTGTCCATAACAGCTTCAGCTATGGAGTCGAGCAGAGAGTTGAGAATCCAACCCATAACGTTGGTATTACTCTGGTCCCAAGCTTCATAGTCAGGGTCGGTTTCTTCAGGCATAGGTAATGTACCATTTATGAACCCAAGTTTCTTCTTGGTTTTCAAAGCTATCCTCATAGATCTACTCCATACATGATAGTTAGATCCATCGAGTTTTACTGAGATAATACCTTGTGATAGGTTTTTGTTGGGATTGACGTAGTATGGGTCGATTGGAGGTCGTGGCAGAGGTTAGTGTGTTGCTCCTGTCACAGCAGCAGCTCCTGTTGTAGTAGAGAAAGTGTCATCAGAGTTGGTTGCCATGGCGGCGCGTTTGCAAGGTCACGGAACCCTAGGTGAGGTGAGCCAGAGGCTCTGATACCATGAGAATATTTGTAAAAGGAAGGCAGGAATTTTGTGAAACCTTTTCTACATTTCACTGGCAGCTCAGCTGCAGAATATATGTACAGAGGCAGTGACTACAGGACAGAGTGCCTCTAACGGCCTCTTCCGCTCGTCAAGAGACAAGTGTCTCAATAGGGTAATTACACGTAATATTTACAACCTATAATTTAAATATGTGCAGTGAAGTTGGGACGGCAGCGTATTAGCCCAAACACAGTTCTTCGTCTTCTTCTTCTTCCTCTGCCTTGAACTCTTGACCGTTGCAACTTTCTTCTTCTTCTTCTTTGCTTTGCTTCAAGGCAGAGTGTCCCATTCCAGTTGACAATCTCTATAAACATAATCTAGTCTAAAATATTGTGCTCTAAGCCATCCAATTTTTGCTATGGATGAGTAACGCAGGTGGTTGGACGAGACATTGTCGATTGGGTGTTTGATTACGACCAAATTAGTCTGTATATGAATCTTCTTAACCTTTGGTTCACATGTATGGATGACAATTCTATCCGCAACGAATTGTATTTGTTCTCATATGGGAAACGAGAATTATCCACAGGAGAAAATCTAATTCATGAACTGAAAATAGGAATAATGATGAATTTGGGAATCCACCCCACTGTCATTCCTATTATAAGTAGATAGTTTTGATTCCATACACAGTCTCACTCAATTCTATACGAGTGATGGAATAAATGGTTATAGCACAAGCAAAGCAAAGTATACATCAGTGGTACTAATTTAAGATAAATGATCTGAATCCAATAAGAAAGAGAGGTCATTACATTGCTTGTAATTTGGCAACATAACCAATTATCAGTCTAAACATTGCAGCACTAATAGCAAAATAAAAAAACATTGCAGCACTAATACAACAGAGATCCTGTTTTTAGTCTTGAATATAGTCTTCCTGAAAAGAATCTCAGCGTGACACTCCAACTACATTTCAAAATGGAAGAAAACAACAAAACCATCTTATATACATTTCAACTCTGCAATGATGTGTATCAGTAATAGAACTACTCTTTGTGACGGGCACTGTAAGCAAAATGTGCGATTATCTTATGACGAGCAGAGTTCTGAATCACATAATTACCAGTATCTTGATGCTCATCTAGCTGAAACAGAGAACCAATAGGCTAATCTTCTTGAATGTTCACCACCCACGACGAGGAGACAAACCTTGAACTTTCATCATACAGAAGTACTTAGTTGGGACAACGGCGCCAGCTTTAGCACACAGATCAACCAATGCTGGCGCGTGCCCGTAGAAATCTCGCCCTTCGTTACATAGAATCGGCGGATCTTGAGATCGCCGGCTCCACACAATTTTTGGAGGCACCAAATCGTCAACTCCTGCCTTCTCCCAGAAGTGTGTTCCACGCCAACTTTCATACTTGAACACTCCACAATGTCGAGCTTTATGCCCTGATGCACCTACATGAACTTCTGAGCAATGCTTGCAAACTTTAGCCGGATAAACCAGTAACAACTTCTCTACACCTGACCTAAGCGTCTCCCACGCCTTGAGAGTCCCATTGGCGAGAGATCTTACATTCTCGGGTGCCAAAGACGACGCTGCACTGTCATCAATGCCATTGTCTTGTTGTGGGCTATGCTGATCTGATTCAGCACCAGCCTGACTGCACAGCTCAGCCACAGCAGGAACACGATCGAAGTCAAACCTTTCGTCGTGTTTAATAACCTTTGGAGACATGTCGGGTAAGTGGTATGACTCGACTGGGACGAGTATATCATTCAAACTACCAGGAATCCATTCATGAACTCGTTTCTTCCCAATGCGCTTGTACCCTTTACAGGTCTCAATCAGATGACCTTCCTTTCCAACAAAAACCTCAGGACAGAACTTGCAGGAGACGACAGGGACGACTTTCATCAGCAAGGAGACCCCACGAATAACCCTCGTTCTAGCTTCAATCACCTCTTTTGCTACGGGGACGATTGCTTTCACCGGATACTCTCCGGCCCGATCCTCTACTCTCTTTATAATCATTGACCGCAGCTTCCCCCAGTCACCCTGTGTCCGGTAAGATCTATGCCAGCTTGAGTAACCATTTGAATCCCCAAGAAGATTCTGCCACAGGATCGTCTTCCTCACAGAACCGAGTCGGGAATACGCCATCATCTCAGGTTTCCTCCAGGAACTTATCCACAGAGACCTTTCATCGAACACCTGGCGTACAATTCGACGGAAGCAGATGATGGACCAAAACCCTCAAAACCCTGAACAGCTTACTTCAGTAGAGTAAAACTAAACAGTCCCTTACGGAACTTCCATAACCAGATCTACAATCTAACACAATCTTCGGGAGAAGAAGGATTCAGAAGCCTCTAGTTTTTTCACAGTACTGAAACCAAATGAATCAGCTGAAAAGAGAAGAAAACTAATCGCAAGAAATCGATGAAGCTCAGTGAATGCGTCTTCAGTTCCCACAAGTTATGGAGTTACCTAGCGGACTCGACGAAACGTGTAGAGAGGATTCCTCGGTCGCCGCCGGTGCCAGCTGCCGCTACTTTGCTCCGTCGACTACGTCCAACCTGCTAAGGCTTATAGGCTACACATTGCCTTCTATTAACTGGCATGACTTTAAATCGGCCCAAGAACAGTAGCGACGAGCCCATAAAGACGTCTAATTATGAGGAGATCGTTACTACACCAATTAAGCAGACGTTCCCTTGAGGCCGTTAGGCATGTTACACAAAGAAGGGAAAAGACTAAAGAGGGTAAATAAAATTTTCTTTTTTGAAAAATGGATGATATTTTTATTGTGTGATTCCATTATTCTCAACTTTCATCTCGTATCTCAAAAAAAAAAAAAAAAAAAAAAAAAAAAAAAAACTTTCATCTCGTACAAATATCATTCACTATCGTATTAAATGAAACTCATGCATTTTTTTTTATAAATGGATACGGGGCATCCTAGCTTTCATTCATAACCAGACGGGGCTCAGAAATCCCCTGGACATCATACAAGATACAGTACATCAAAGTGGGGTCACTAACAGGAAAAGAATGGACACCTAGCGACAAATAGTGGCCTTGGCTAGCAAGGTAATCAGCACACTTGTTACCCTCTCTATAAACATGATAAAAGGCGACCTCCCAATCACGCTCACATAACGCCTGAATACGGTCGGTAATAGCACTATGCTGATGATCCGGGTGCGCGTTGCTGCTGAGAAGGTGGACAGCGCATCTGGAATCCAACTCCACCCTCACGCAACGAAAACCCAGATCCCAAGCCCGTTGAAGCCCTTCCGCAGCGCCTCTCAACTCCGCTTGGGTGATCGAGCAGATCACCAAGTTACAAGCGAACGCTGCAATGCAATGTCCTAAGTGATCTCTGATTAGGCCCCCAGCTGCAGCAGAGCCTGAATCCTGGTGAACGGAGCCATCAGAGTTGAGAGTAACCCACTCGGGAGGAGGAGGCTTCCAAGAGATCAGCTCCTCCGTTCTAGCGGGCGGACATGGATGATGAACGATCATGTCCTTGTCCATGGAATTCCTCACGACAGTTAACCAAGCTAGGACGCGCTGGTGAAATGCTTCAACTGAGAGGACCTTGTTTGCAAAAACTCGGTCGTTCCTGGTCAGCCACAGGGACTAGCAAGTGATTTCGAAGGCCAAACCCTTGTCCTCTTCAACTAGGTACTTCGCAATCCATTCCTGCAGTGACAAACTGAAGAAAGTCTGGTATTCAGAAGCCTGGAGTAGCCGCATCCAAGTTAACCTGGCAAAATTACAGTCTCGCAACACATGCAAGACTGTTTGTGTGGGAGTGACAATAGGTGCACGTCGTCTTATCCGTCAGATGTCTCCGACTCCGTTCGGCATTGGTGAGGAGCCTCTCTCGAACTGCAAGCCAAAGGAAATGCTGAACCCGCGCTGGCCCTCTCCATTTCCAGATGATGCGCCAATCGAACTCCCTCTCCATCTGCTCGTGGTTAACTGCAAGGTCGTAGGCCGATCGGACGCGGAACCGACCATCCCCCTCGGGTCCCCACGTGGCTACGTCCGTTCCTAAGCCCTCTATGGGAGGTTGAATCCCCTGTATCTGCAAAATCAAATCCTCAGGAAGCAAGGAGCGCAAGAGGGGAATGTTCCACTCACCTGATGAAGTGACAAAGTCCGCCACTGCAGTTTGCGGATCAAAGGGCGGCGCGTCCTCCACAATGTGGTCAATAAGACACTCCCCACTATCGAGCCATCTGTCAGTCCAAAAGGATGTTGTCTCACCATCCTTCACGCACATGTGAGTACCTGCCGCCATGATAGGCCAAGCTTTATGAATGCCCTTCCAAATAGTAGATACCCGAGTCACATTCTTGGCCACCAGCTGACCGTACACCAGTCTAAAGTATTTTGCTTGAAGTACCTGCACCCACAGCTCCTCTGGATTTTTCATAAACATCCATGCAAGTTTAGCCAAGAAAGCCAGGTTAAGCTCACAAGCTTTCCTTAGACCCAAACCACCCTCCTTTTTCAGCCAACAAATTGCCTCCCAGTGCACCAAATGCATCTTCCTACTCTCGCCCACAGAGCCCCAGATGAAACTACGAATCCTCTTATCAATTTCATTGCAGATGGAGACAGGCAACAGGGTGGATTGCATGGCATAAGTCGGCAGCGTGTTGAGAACCGACGCCGCCAGAGTCACTCGACCTGCAAAGGACAAATTTTTGGCCTTCCAGCCTGCAAGTTTACTATCCATTCGGGCTAGAATATACCTGTAGGTCTCTATAGTGACTCTACCATGCAACACCGGCACTCCCAGGTAACGTCCCAAGTCCTGCGTTTGCGGAATCCCCAAGCGCCTCGAGATCGCGGCACTAGTGGTGCGTAGGGGTGGGCAACGGGACGGGACGGGATACCCGTCCCGTTTTAAACGGGTACCCAGTCCCATTTGGAGACCAAAGTCCATCCCATATCCCAAACCCATATGGGAAACAGGTACCCATTACCCGTACGGGACGGATAACGGGTACCCATACTACCCATAAATACCCAAAGTTTAAATCACATTTTACCTAAAGACAATTAGTCAATTACATCCAAAGCATTCATTTCAAAACACAAAATGGTTGCACAAGTAGCAACTTACACCAATTCCTACAACCCAAAGAAGGGATGATGATGAAGATGAAAAGGAATCAAGGAAGGGGAACCAGTAAAAAAAGCTACACAGAACTCAGCCGTTGAACGTGCGTGTTGCGTCTGTGAGGGAATGGGGTTAGAAGTTACCGAATAACTGAATATGCCCTGTGAGGGAATGGGGTTAGAAGTTACCGAATTGTAATTGAATCATGTGATTGCGGCTGGTGCTGCTCCCCAGTTCTGAATGAATTCATATCCTTTTGTGTTGGAAAAGTAAAGACAAGTCTGATTTGCAACCGTGTTAACAGGTTTTACTTGCTCCAAGAGGACTAGGACATCTCCGGAACTACAGTCGCCTTGTTGTGCCAGGTAATATTTACTTTAAACTTACCCCTTTTGTTGGTGGTTGTTTTTGGTGGATGATGAATGTAAGGGTTTTTTTACTGTTATAGGTTCTACAGTTAGTCTAACGCCCATATTACTTGCTCCAAGAGAAGATGAATTATATGTCTTTGTAATTTGAATGGGTACAACGGGTACCCATATTACCCAAATGGGTATTCGCGGGTAACCCGCGGGTACCCATATTAGGACTATACAATCCCAAGTCCCATCCGTTTAAAATATTACGGGTAATATGGGTACCCGTAACCCTTAAAAAATGGGACGGGTACGAGTATACCCAAATACCCGTTTCCCGTTGCCCACCCCTAGTGGTGCGGGTTGTGTTTTTGGAGAAGAACATGATCGACTTCTCCTTGCTCACTTGTTGCCCCGAGGCCTGGCAGAAGCGCTCTAGGAAATCTAAGACCACTTCTCCTTGTGCCTCCGATGCCTCTGCAAAAAGAATCAAGTCATCTGCAAAAAACAGGTGTGAGAGAGGAGGAGCACCTGGTGCAACCATGAAAGGTCTCCAGTTTCCTGAATCCACTTCGGCCTGAATCGTGTGACTTAGCCTCTCCATGCATAACGTGAACAAGTATGGCGAGAGCGGACACCCCTGACGGAGCCCACGGGACGGAGTGAAAGATTCTGTGCATTTCCCATTCCATAAGACTTGCATGGAAGGCGACGAGATGCACCCCATGATGACCTCGCACAGCTTGTTCGGGAATCCTGCCAGGGTAATGGTCTCTTGGATGAAACGCCAGCTCACTCTATCGTAAGCCTTTGCTAGGTCTATTTTCAGGACCATTGCACCACGCCTGCCCTTCTTAAGGTTCATGGAATGCACCACCTCCTGTAAGATGACAATGTTACTTAATATCTGCCTCCCAGGGACAAAAATGGTCTTGGTAGGATGAACCAGACCCCTCATCCACGGTTTAATCATGTGGACCAAACACTTTGTCAGAGTTTTATAGATCACATTGCACAGTCCTATAGGCCGGAATTGCTGAATACTCTCTGGGCTCTCTTTCTTGGGAATAAGCACCAACAACGTTTCATTAACTCCTGCAATCAGACTAGGGTCAGAAAACATGTCTGCAACGAATCTGGAAACATGATTGGCTACCACCCTCCAGCACTTTTGATAGAAGACCGAAGGATACCCATCTTTCCCGGGCTCTTTGAACCCCCCCCCCCCCCATACTTTTAATTGCTGCCCAGACTTCCTCCCGTGTGATTCCAGACTGGAGGCATTCCCCCGCGTCCGCCTCGATTGCTGTGAACGTCGCTGGGAGCTCGGGAGCTGGGCCAAACTCAGCCAGGAAAAGAGTGGCATAGAAATCCCTGGCCATCCTGCACAAATCTGCTTCTTCAAAAACCCAATTCCCCTGTTCGGCCTTTAGGCCGCGGATCCGATTAAAGCTCCTCCTCTTCAGCGTCGAGAGGTGATAATATCGGGTGTTCTTATCACCCTTCGCTACCCATTGCGCCCTGGATTTTTGAAACCAAAGTAGATATTCTTGCCAAAGGGTGGACTCAAGTTCCTGGCGAACTTCCTTCTCCATTTCCTGTAACTGAGGGGTGCCTCCCCGCTCATTTTCTTCTTCCAACTTCCTTAGCCTCCGTACAAGTTGACGTTTTCGTCGGAGGATGTGATCGAAGGTCAACTTATTCCAGTTTTGTAGCTCGTAGGTGAGGACGCTTGTTGACTGGCGGAAATTCTCTCCTCGAGGCCAGTGATCCTCAAGAACGCGACCAAAATCCTCATGAGTTAACCATGCCGCGAGAAATCGAAATGGTTTGGGACCCGAGTTGGTATCTTGCACATCTCCCATCAAGAGAATCGACCTATGGTCCGAGCCTACCATTTCGAGATGTCTCGTTGCCGTCTGTGGGAACCTTGTCATCCAAATCTTATTGCAGAGAGCTCTGTCGAGGCGTTGCCGGAGATTTCCTCGATGTCAGGTAAATCGTGGGCCTGTGAAGTTAATATCAAACAAGCCATTTGTGTCAACACATCTCCTGAAAGGTCTCGTCCGAGCATCCTGATAGGGCACCCCTCCACACCTATCCGTCGGCCCCAAAATGGAGTTAAAGTATCCAATAAGAACCTAGGGTAGAGACATCCCACTGGCGAGGCGACCGATCTCCTCCCACAAATTTTATCGAAGAGCAGTGTTAGGGCTGCCATAAATTGCCGACACCGCCACCTCACCTCTCATGCCATGCCCGGTACAAGTGAAGTGGATCATCTGCTCTCATTGGGTTATCTCCATCACTTGAACAGTGTGGCGATGCCACCACACCCATATGCCACCTGAAAACCCAACCGCATCCATAATTAGCTTCCCATCGTAGCCCGTTTTACGGATTACTTCCCTAGCTGTATCCCCACTAATACGTGGTTCTACAATTATCACCAAATCCGGCCTTGAAGAGGCACAGAAATTACGCAGATAAACAAGAAACTGGTCACTTCCTGCCCCTTGGCAGTTCCATGAGAAAATGTTTAACATAATAACACAAATAAGAGGGGGAAAACACAACGAACAAGAGGAGGAGACTCCCCTGGGGCCGGGCCAAGCCCGGTTATGTCGTCGTCAGACTCGTAGGAGGCTTCCCTCCCACCTTCATCTTCTCAGAGGTACTAGTAGTAGTACTTCGGGGTTTACTCTCGGAATTGCGTCCCTGAAGGGAGGGATTTCCTTGTTCGTTGGTAGAGCCCTTAAGCTAAGTGGGGGTTTTATTATTCCCCCCCTTTCTTCATTGATCCTTTTCCCGCCAACGAGTTGATGTTATGGAATTCCACTCCTTTGCTTCCAACCTGTACCGCTTGCCGAACGGGGACTTCCATCAAGCCCTTGAGTGGGCCTCCTTGCTTCTGATGAGCACCGGTCCCAAGAGAAGCAGGCTCTATAACGGACGAATCCCTGTCCACCACTGCTTGACCACTCGAAGGACCTGGTGGGGTGCAGGCTGACATGGTGTTGGCTGGTTGGGATTGCTGCTCAGGTGTTGTAGCCAGAGCAAGGGGAGTGACGTGAGGCTGTACCCCATCAGTTTCCTCCTCCTCCTCCATTGGTGACGAGTCTTCGAATTCCAGGGTTGTAAACCTGGAACCCGTTGCATGCCACTATTCCCATGCAAGTTTAAGGACGGTTGATCCTTGCCATGCATCCTCTTTGCCCCGGATTGTTTGTTCTTCGGTTTCACCGTCATCCACTCCCCATATGCTTTCTTCTATTGGTCAGCAGGTGGGGTCGCGGAAGGTGGTGGTTCCGGCGTCACCGGGGTTGCTTTCCTCAACATCGGGCAGCTGGATTTCGAGTGACCATAGACTCCACACTCAGTGCAAATGTTGTGAAGCCCCTCATATTCCACATTGTACGTCTTTCCCTCAATTTTATATTGTACCAAAAGGGGTTTAGTAAGGTCAACCTCTACACAAACTCGCCCAAACTTAGTTCTAGCACCCGACGTTGTTGCTCGGTCTACACGAACTGGACGTCCAAACCTCGTTGCTATTCTTTCCACGGCCTCTCGGTTGATGAACTCGATCGGCAGCTCCGGGAGACGAGCCCAAACAAGAGTTGTAGCTACCTCTGCGGACTTGGGGTCGAAGCCCTTCCTCCATGGCGGCACCGTGATGTAATGGTTACCGATCATCCACGGGCCTCCCATGGCCGCCTGAACATAGTCCATCTCGTTCTTAAAACGAACAACGTAAAAACAATAGGATAAGCTAGAAATCTGTATGTTTCCCGTCTTAGCCCAGAGCGCTTCTAGCCGTTTTAACACTATTGGGAAGGGGAACGTGCGACCCAGTACTTTGATGATGAGAGCCGAGCGCCAGGTCCTGCGATTCCTTTGTTTCTCCGGGGCCTTGAAAGGGATCGTTGGGCACGTCGGGTCGTCATCCTCCGGAATTTCATCGTCCAGGTCATCCTCTCTCATTGCCTCCGCAACATCCTCCGAGTCGGACTCCGCTACGTACCACTCGTCCTCAGCGACGACCGTCGAGAAAAGTTTCCGTGCTCCACTTCCTCCGGCCGTTGACCAGGGGTTCGCTTCCTTCTCTTCGCCATTGCTTGTTGTGTTCTCGTTCCCGTTGGGGATCTGCATATCTGGTTGGTCCTCCACCATCGATTGCGCTTCGAAGAGCGGATTGACGCTCATGGGTCTCACTTTCTTCTTCGGCTGCTGGGTCTCTTTCTCACCTTTGCTGTTTGGGGACGACGCGGTGGGAGGACGTCGTTGACCCGCACTGGGATTCGGCTGTTGGGTCGCCGAGGGGTGTTTTTCGGCACAGAGCCGGCCATGCCGACGGATTCCGCCGCTAGGGTTTGCGCTTTTTCCTTGCTCAGCTCCGGGAAAAACGGAGCGCTCTCTAACTCCGGAAAATATAATAATTGAGTAATAAAACTCGTACATTTTGATTGCTCTACCACTTGAGAAATTATAGTTGATGCGAAGTATGTTGATAAACTTTTGATATTTACTTGAGTGAATATGTGATTAGTAAATTAAAATGGTATGTGTAAATTAGTTAGATAATTAATTTATATTTATTTTTTATACTTTTCTGTAGTGATTTTAGAATCTTTATAATTGTTGTTTGGTGGGGAGTTCAATATGAAGAGAAAAGGACAAGGTTGAGGTTTATTGGCGGTACTAATTTCGTACTACAAGTACATGGTTGTTTGACATATGAGAAAATGTATGATGTGATCATCACCAATCTACGATAAGGAGTAGAAGACATAGTAGCGTCATTTACATTCATGGTGCTAGAAATGCAAGAAAATGGTAAATTTTTATCACTATGTAATTATTGTCATGGATGATGTTTAGCGGCGGATCCAGAACACAAAAAGGTAATGGCCCGCATTTCATTAAAAAATTAAAACCGTAAACAAATATAATGAATATTTTTTTGCAATATAAATTATACACTATCATATTTTAATTTAGCGAATGCAACAATAATGAAGTCCACATTCATACCAATAGTACAAACTGTTTCAAATAAAATACTTGAACAATCGGCGAGAAATTCATCGCTAATGTTATTGCACAAATAAGTTGTTACACATGTTTCATTTTTGAAAAAGTTCTCCCGGTAGTAGCTGTTGAAACGAGCAGCGTCAACACTAGACAAATCAATCGTGCATTGTGTGTCCATCCCTAGATTCACCAACTACTCTAGTAAATTTTCAAGGGAAAAAACCTCATATTTCTTCTAGTCTTTTACGTTTTAGACTTTTAGATTTTATTGTTTTTTAGCCTAGTAATCTTTGGGGCTATAATTTCTAGTCTAAATAGAATAATGATTGGAAAATGTTAATTTGAATTATTTTCCTAGTTATACCCAATATTATTATAAATTAACACTGAGTCGAATGTCTAATATCGAAAAATTCATAAGGACTACACTAATGCCGGATCTAGAGGAGGGCTGGCTGGGGCCGGGGTGGCCACCCCCTGGATCCGCCACTGATGATGTTGGAGTTATTATGATAATAAATTTTATAGCATGAAATTCAAATTATGAGTTTGCTGAGATACGTACTGAGTTTGCTAGTACACCAGCAGAGGAGGATGATACATCGAGTATGCGGTCTAGTAGTGCCTCGATGAGCTAGACAATCATATAGATGAGGCCAATGAGGATGAGGTCGATGACTATGAGGTGAATGAAGTGGAGCATCAAGTTGTGATCAAAAGAGATATTCAAAGTCTAACCGACCGTAACTACATATGCATCATATCCAACCGACATGGATTCAAACATTTAGAGATATTGGAAGAGGTAAGGCATGAATGTGTTGTTTGTGACATTATGCCAGCAACTTCAGTAAAAAGAGCAAATAAAACATTACGCAATATAAGTTAAAAAAGGCGCGTAATTTTTTAAAAAAAAAATATTGATATTAAATATTATGTTCTTCAAAAAGTGTTTTAAAGAATATGGGAACATTGGTCTTTGTCGGCAGTAGAGACCAAGGAAGTGGGAGGCTTCGTCGGCAGGATTAGCTGCTCTGCTTATTTGTTTCTAATTTTAGGTTCCCAATCGTCAGCGACCAGTTTTTTTCATTTTCTAAATGGGAGGGCGGAATGGTGAAAATCGCTAGGACGGCTCAAGCAATTCGAAAGGTTGACCGTTCCAATCGCTTCTTAACTGGTTTGTTCTTTTCTGAAAACTTTTCTACTTATCTGTGCCAACTTGGCTATTGGGTTCTGGTTTTACCAGTCCGGCTGGCTCGACTGGTTTTCAAACATTTCAATAAAGTCTTTTTCAAAACTATGTTGAAGGCTTGAGCAGGGGTAGCCACCTACCGTAGTCCACTCCACCTTCTATTGCTCTGCCCTTTCACTTCCCATTTATCTTCCAAGTCAACACTCGCAGTACTGTACCGGTAAGTTTCATATTTCTTCCTCTAAAGGGTCTTAAATAGACATATTGGTTGGTTCTTCCATCTGTCCCCGAGGTTATTCTTCAGGCAAGTTCCTTTGGTGGGATTCAACAATTCTTGCCATCATCGGTACTCTATTTCTTAGCTTCCTATTTTACGATTATAGTTAACTTATTGTTCATGTTTCGCATGCCAACTTATTGACCTTGAACTTTAATTGAAAGATGTATTGCATGTGAACATCTAACAACAAAGATGAGTTGGGGGAAATGAAACCCTAAGCCTTGGGTGTTTCTCATTCATACTTGGGTTTAAATCGGCAAAAGCTTTGCACTACAAGATAACATGTGCAAGCTAGCATTTGGAGACTACAAAAATAAAACATTAATTCAAACTAAAATCTAAACACACATTGACATTAAAATAAACTTGATGATGATGATTTCCTCTATACCTTGTTGATCCACTTTGACATTCATGGTCGCCGGTTTGAGTCTTGATGATAACTTGAAATATCTCCTGATACTCCCCCGCAAGCGGGTGAGCACAGAATGTGCACACCAAAGCTTGGAGAGAATACAGTCTTGACTTGAGAATGTTGATGCACTATTGGCGAGCTAACTTCCCTTCAATCTTCAAATGGTGAAGCTGCTGCATCTTGCTAGCTAACTTCCCAAACATCTTCCGAAAAGCTGCTGCATCTGTGGCTAGCTAGCTAAGAAATCTTATTCTTCTTCAACCGGTGATACCACTGCATTTTTGGCTAGTTGGCATACCATCTTCTTCTACTCTTCTTCTTCTTCTTCTTCTTCTTCTTCTTCTTAAACTTCAACTTCTTCTTAAACTCCTCAACACCCAACTCAGCGTTGTAGCTTGAGTTTCTCCAAATAAGATGGGATATGCTGCTGCTTTGACTTTTGCTAGCTAACACTCCGATGATCTTCAAATGAAATTGCCGCTGCATCATGGCTAGCTGGCTGAACTTTCACATCTTCAGCTTTTCTGCTTCAGATGGATCTTCAAAGTGGTAGAGATATGCTGCCGCTTTTTGTGCTGGCTAGCATTTCGTCCACAAACAAACTGAAATCAGCAGGGGAGTGCTCCATTGGCTACTTCCCTCTGCTTTGACAATATGTCGCTGCTTCTTTAGCTAGCAAGCATTCTAGGGGGAAAAATTGACTTCAAACTCAACAGGGGAGTAAGCTTATTCCCTCTGCTGCATCATCTCAGGCTGCTGCCTTCACTTCCTCTTGCTGAATCACATAAACAAGGACTTGTGCTTGTGACTGCTTCTGCTGAAACACTGCTTTTTCTCTTCTGATTGTTTTTTTTAAGTGCTTCCCCTGAACTTGCAGCTTCTCTTTTTCTTTTTCTTTGTTGTTGAGCAAACACAGGAATAACAGCAGTATATGCTCTTGGTTGCTGCTTTCTTCTTCTGTTCCTTCTCTTATTTATTTATTTTTTTGTTTTTGCTGCTGCTGAAAGTAGCAGCTTCTTCTTTGTTCTTCTGATTTCCTCTGAACTCAGAACAAGAAAATTGGAACTCCTGCTGTGCAGGAGCTAGCACTGGCTTCTCCTTCCCACACAATCATGAAACTCGACAAACAAACATTCAACCTTTTGATGGAATTAATCTTGACAAACTGGTCACTCTTCTATATTTTAATCACTTTCTTTTCAATCAAAGCTTTCAAAGCTTCCATGCCACACACAGTATCACTAACTCGTTCAAGACCAACAACTCTATTCTCGGCAGTTCTCTTCTTCTCGTTCAATTGAGTAAGTTCAGCATCAAGATCAAGATTTTTACCTTCCTCATCTGGGTTTTCTCCAGTGGGTGTGAAATTCCTTCTTCCAACGTTTACCTTGTGCTCTGCATCATCCTCTGCCTCAAGCTCGGTAACTTTCGGGCTGAACATCCAGTAGCGGCTGGTCCTCTCCAAACGGAAGAACTTCTTGTCCACGCTGGCGAGATGGTGGAGCCAGAAGAAGAGGACGGGTTTGAGTTCCCCGAGGCTGTGGATTTCTGAAAGAGAATACCAATCTGAACTAGATCCCTCGTCTTCGTCTTCTTCGTCTGACTTTGACAACGAATGTGGGTTCTCCACCACTGGGCCTTTCTTGGCCATATCGTTGAAGATGGCTGTTGAGGGAAAATAGGTCGATGACAGTGAACAGCGTGCTCTGGAAGCGGATTTTTCAGATCTGACAGTGCTCGTGACGTCTCGGTGTCTCTGGTTGGGAGATCCGATTTAGGGATTTCTCTGGTCTCTAGCAGCTTCGTCGCCTTCTTCTTCCGGTGCTTGAGGGCAGGTACGAATGAGGAACTGGTTGATTCTCACACTCCGCCGATGAAGTCGAATCTACCGGTTGTCGATCTGGGTATTTCGGAAGGAGGGGATTTGTGGGTGTTGGTGGGTCAGTGAGATTTGGGGAAGGGATGGGGAAAGGATGGTGTTGATTTGCAGCGGAAGATGAATGTGGGAAATGAGATTTGGGGACTTTGGGTATTGGGGTTTCCGATCGGGGAAGTTGGGGATTCTGTGGTTTCGCAAACTAGGGAAATAAATGGGGATCAATGTTGCGGAAGGTAGTGGGGATTTGGGGGTGTGGATTTTTTGTTGACGAACAGTAGAGATAAAGAGGGCAAAAGAAGGGAGGATTTTTCTGGGTAAATGGGAAATGAATGGTGGGTTTGGATGTCAGAGAAGAGATGCAATAGAGAAGAAATGTTTTGAATTTTAGGGTTATGATCTGAAATTTTCAGATCTTGGACAGAGTCCTTATTTTTGTGGGTAGAAGGTTTTTAGGGTTCTCTTGGATCTAGAGGCTCTGATACCATAACAACAAAGATGAGTTGGGGGAAATGAAACCCTAAGCCTTGGGTGTTTCTCATTCATACTTGGGTTTAAATAGGCAAAAGCTTTGCACTACAAGACAACATGTGCAAGCTAGCATTTGGAGACTATAAAGATAATACATTAATTCAAACTAAAGTCTAAACACACATTGACATTAAACTAAACTTGATGATGATGATTTCCTCTAAACCTTGTCGATCCACTTTGACATTCATGGTCGCCGATTTGAGTCTTGACGATAACTTGAAATATCTCCTGATAACATCTCTTATATTATCATTGGCCCAGTTTATTGAGATGTAATTATTTTTTAAATACCTATACCATCTTTTCTTGTTCATTACTATCTTTCTTCGTACTTTTCACGAAATCGACAATATGTTTACATTCAAATTTTTACGTGTGAAATAGAGAATATATAAACACTATTAGACATTAGTTATCAAGTACACTTATATACATATTATACTTGAAAATAGATGAAGGTACATATTGCATCTCTTATTTTTACTAAAATATTATTAGGATCTCACCCAAAAAACATATTAGGATCATGATTTATGCTCAAAATAAAATAATATAAGATACAACATGAAATTTTGCCACAACTTCATGGGTGAGAATCGATCCGTTGTTAAATTAAATCATATAAGTATTTTCTAACAATCAATAATTTTTGTAAAACACTTAGTTTTTTGTAACCGTTTTTAATAAATAAATATAAAATGTAGTGACCCAAAACCATAGAACATAACAAATTATAAAAAAAATTAACATACAAATGAAGTGTGTCGCTTAAACATATAAATGCTATTCTTTATTAACGACATCAGTATTATATATATTATACTTGAAAATATATAAAGCTAAATGTTGCATCTCTTATTTGTACTGAAAAATCATTAGGACAATAATTTGTATGCTCAAAATAAAAACCCATAGTTACATGCATTTGTGAGGTTTCCCCACATTTCCATCAGTGGGATTTGAAAAATTCATTCATAGGCAAACTTATTGACTTCAAACTTTTAATAAAATATGTATTTCATGTTAGCATCTCATGTATTACCATTAGCCCAATTTATTAATGTTTAATATTATCTTTTTTAGTCATGAGTTATTATTACAATAATATTTAGTATAGAAATTTTACAATGCTATATAGTATTGGTGTTATAGGTTTTTGCCTTTATGGTACAACTTAAAATTGTACATTTATGTTATGGTACAACTTCAGATTGCACCTATACTTTTTGTACAAATTCTTTTATGGTACAACTTGAACTTGTACCTTTATGTGATGGTACAACTTCAAGTTGTAAAGTTGTACCATAACATAATGGTACAAATTGCTTTATGGTACGACCTAAACTTATACATTTAATGTTATGGTACAACTTTAAGTTGTACATTAAAGCATCAATACTATATAGCATAGTAGAAGTGCTCTATTTAGTATGCTTAAAAGAAAAACGTATACTAGGATCTCTCTAATGTGTAAGTGTTTTATGATTTGTTTAGTTGGCTGGAAGCATTATTCTACTGGAAATGAGAAAACGAATAGCTCTTGCATTAGAAAACGAATAGCTCTTGCATTGGATGTCGTTTCACACTCTTTGCAAATGGTTAGAACGGCCGATACTTTGGAATTTTTTTTTACAAAAGATAATCATATATTGATCGAACAAATAGATAGTTAAAATCTGGAATTCAACCAGGCCTGAAAATCAAATGAACGACTCCTAGTTGGGTACAGAGAAAGGGCCTTCCTAGCTACTAAATGAGCTACCCTATTGTTTCGCCGACCTACAAATCGTACACTGAAGCCCATATTCATGTCAAAGGACTGGACGACTTCTTCAAGAATCGACCCCACTACGTTATCCCTTGTATCCCTCCTGAGGATCTTCTCTATGATTACCTGGGCATCACCTTCAAACCTAACTACAGAGAAGCCATTACCCACGCACCACGCGATAGCCTCCCGGAGAACAAGCAACTCAACCATCATGGGGTCGTCCACCTCCAGGAATTGGACTCCCTTCACCTAAAGAACCTCACTAGCTAGAGTCATGAGGGCCATCCCACCTGCCGAATGAGACCCACTCCTTACCGCCCCATCCCACATACAAATCACAAAATCCAACCTTGTTAGGTCCGAGGGAGGAGAAGGGGAGTGAGGAACAGGAAGGACCCTGTCTATCGGTAGATTAACCCATTTATGAACCTATTGGTTGAACTGTCACATTAAAGCGGGAATCCCAAATTGCTTGCCGTCAAAGACAACCCAGTTTCGAGAGTGCCAGATCCGCCAAAAGACGGCAACAACCGACATGAACAAAATTGGTTGATGAACCAAAGCCAATAATTTCTTCAGAAATAGAGGGAAGCTATGACGAGGCAACCCTTCGCCAAGGTGAGCTAGCACAGAATGATCCCAAAGGGCACGAGCAACCGGACAGTCTAGAAACAGATGTTCCAGAGTCTTCAAAGTTGCCCAACATACTGGGCACCTAGGTAGCACTGCAACCTTCTTCTCAATCAGGGCCTCCGTGGTAGGTATAATTTTATGGAAGATCTGCCAGACGAACACCTTCATTTTTGGGGGAATATTGACATCCCATAATCGGATCCAGCTAGCTATATCCATCCAGCTAACCTGAGCTCTCCATCTTCCTTTTTGTCGATCTAAATTTACCGCCAAATGGTAGGCCGATTTAACCGTAAAAACCCCATCAGAAGTTCCATGCCAAATTAGTTTATCCTCAATATTCAGGCGAGGCAAGAGGATGGCCTGAATGTGTCGACATGTCAGAGGATGGAACCACAGGCTAAGCTTAACATCGCACCACTTCCCTCCCCCTTGCTGAATAGCCTCTGCTATCTTCAAAACCTCCCCCTCTGGGATCACACATGGGTTATACATAGGGGGAGGGGATGTTGATGAGGTATCCAGCTAGAGGAGAGTAAATGGGCCTTCTGGCCATTGCCAATCTGCCACCGAAGACCTGTTTCCAACAATTAGCGACCAAAGAGGATACTTTGCCATCCCCAGGACGGACGTGAGCGAGCTGTCGCCGTAAGAAAAGACCCATTGGGGAAATATTTCCCTTTATACACCTGAGCAATGAGGGAATTAGCTTCATTGAGGATACGCCGGCCAATTTTAGCTAGCAATGCCTGATTGATAGATTGCAGACACTCCTGAATCCATCCTCGCCAGACAGAGCTAAAACAAAACCGCAAGAAGGAAAGACCATTCGACTCTATCATAGGCTTTTTCCATGTCAACCTTCAGAGCCATGTAACCCTTCTTACCACGAGTTTTGATTTTCAATAATGCATTAGCTAGCCTTTCTGAGATGATCTGCGGAAGAAGACTAGCTAGCCTTTCTGTCATAATTTTGGTGAACACCTTATACACAAGTTGGCATAGGCTGATAGGACGAAGCTGACGTATCGATTCTACCTGGTCCACTTTGGGAATTAATGTCACCCAGGTATGATTGAAGCTCCGAAGCAGCCTGCTTATTTCAAAAAAACGATCTGACAGCCTCGATAACGGAATCACCCACGATCCCCCAGAAGGCCTTGAAAAATTTACCCGTGAATTCATCCGATCCAGGGGCCTGCTTTGAGCCCATAGAGAAAACAGTGTGTCTAATTTTCCTTGGGAGAACCTCCGCAGTCAGATTAGCATTCATTTCTGGGGTAACACAGTGATCTATGGGCAATTCACCCACTCTCTCATTCATGTTTGTCACCTGGCTTTCCGAGGTGAAGAGGGTACGATAGAAGTTTGTGGAAATATCCGCCTTCCCAGATTCCTCTGTAGCCCATTCCCCTTCCTCATTATACAGACCATCAACAAAATTTTGCTTACGTCGGGGCCCTCGTGACGGTGTGAAAGTAGGACGAATTTTTATCTCCTTTCTTCAGTTGTGAGATTTAGATGAAGGTATTTTATAATACTATATCTTTGAATACTTTTTCTTTACAAAATTTTATTTCAGTTATATGTTTGTGCCTCACTAATTGATATTTTCCCTATTTAGCATAATATATATATTTCTTTTTTGCTAAATTAAAGAGAGCATGGACCACTGATGTTACAACTTCTAGCATAAGACGCCGACTTATATTCTCAACGTGTTGGCTAAATCAAATGTTGAGCTTTGATAGGTAACTAAACTTGTTGAGCTTTGATAGGTATCACTACAAGAAAATTGGCCTATAGCAACAAAATTTTGGAGGCAAATGTGGTATCAGCCTCTAAATACATATTTATGCAACAAATATGGGATGCGCCTCTATAAATATTATTATGTGCCTCTAAAAGTACCTCATACAACACATACTAATAGCATCTATAATTATAATCATTTGCCTCTAATAATATTATCCTTTTAGATATTGAAATTTAGTTTTATTGAATTCCAAGCTTTAGAGGCATATTTATAATGATTGCCATCTAAGTTTTTGTTGATCGACTTTTAGAGGCAAATATTTATTTGTTCTTTCTTCCTCATCAATATCATCACGCAGCAACTAATAATTATTTTTCAAATCCAAAGTCTTAGAGGCCAAATTATAAAATTTCCGTTATCTTTTTATATGGGTTATAGGTATATTTTATCCTTCCACTTGGAAGTTCTCAAATATATCCATTTACAATGTTTCACATCAATTTTGCCCTTCTACTATAGTAAGGTTATCAAAAATACCATTCCGTCCATTTTTCTGTTATTTTTTTATTATTATTTCCGAGTGATATCAAAAGAAGACAAGAGTTATACAAACAAAACTGCACAGGACCCCTCATAATCGAAAATCTAATGAAATCATCCCAAAAAGTAGAAAGACTCTAGCTCTAGATGAGAAAAAAGTTGTGCTTTACGCGCCGGCAACACTGTTGGAAGCTCTAGGAACCGTCCTAAATTCTATCAAAATGATAAAGAGTTTAGGATCTGACGACACTCCCGGAGCATCGGACCACCAATCGAGTCTTCTAAGACACATTGCTGGACTTGATTGACGACCACTTCAGAATCACCTTCCACTATCACGTGAGTCAGTGACCTTGAGGCGACGACGGAGATAGCATCTCTAATGGCTAGGAGCTCTGCCAGAGATTGACTACTCCCTGATGACATCCATTTTTCTGTTATTTGACCATTATTTTGGTCAAATATGGGTGTATCAATTTAATGAGAATGTGAAATTACTTAAATATCGTCTTATATTTGGGCTGGAAAAAAAAACTAAAATTAGAAATGTACTGAGGAAAAGGAAATTGTTCCCCTTCCCTTACCACACTCTCTCTAGAATTCCTTCCCGGCTTCCCCCATTTTCCCTCTATCTCATCCCCCGATTCCAGTACGAATAGTCGGTCGCCATTGTCCCTGGTATAAAAGTCAGTCCAATAGAGGAGATGATATATTTCCTTACAAAGTCATTGAAATCACTTTGCCTCCTAAGAACCTCGGTATTCACGGTTTCCCTCCCGTAAGCCTCCTAAAATCCAATGAAGTTTCTGAATGTTTTCCATCATTTGTTGAATTATGAACTCCCTAGACTAAATTTCTCTCACTGTAACTTGGAGGGTGCTTACCAAATCGCACATAAATTTGCCAAGAAAATGATTATGTGATTCATCATCCATGGCTACTAAAACTCTCCATTTTTATGTTTTAGTGCCATTTTCCAAGGTTCTTTACTGCCAGCTGAATCGGACAAGGGGAATTATCGATTGTTAAAGCTAATGTCAATTACTTAAACTGACCAAGGAAGAAGACGATTAAATGGGGGTCGACCATCAATTTTGGGTTCAAGTTGAATAATGAAAATGAAGGTGTTGGGGGCATTTAAGTAATTTTACCCTCTCATTAAACCGATTCAAGCATATTTGACCAAAATTAACGGTCAATTGACAGAAAAATGGATTGGGAGGGTAGATTTGATAACCTTGTTATTGTAAAAGGGCAAAATTGATGTGAAACATTGTAAAGATGCATGTTTGAGAACTTTGCAAAGTAGAGGGGGGAAATATACCTATAACCCTTTTTTATATTAATATTATTTAATTTCTAGTGACTAATAGAATTTGGTTTATGTAAGGCCTTTATTTACTCGAAATAACTTATTTTTTTCTACAAACCTAGATTTGGCACAATTAATCTTTTGTAGAATCGAGAGATAGTGAGGAGGCGCTCATTTAGGGTTTTCATCATTCCTCAGTGTAGAATCTACGTCCATGGAATCATCAGGTGAATCTTAATTGACGTTTTCCTTCATTCGTCCAATCCTCGACAAACGTTGTTATCTCAGAATTATTCAAGAAACTACGAGTGATTTGTTCCAGTCGCAGCGGAGTAGCAGATACAGGACTAGGGAGCAACGCCAAGATGAGGAATTGCAACAACAACAAGCACTGTTGGATATACATCCGACCAAATTAAGGAGGAGGAACATTGATAATAGCAATGGCATCGGAATAGGTTTTGATTTCTTGCCCCCTTTATTCCTACTCTATTCCGTAGTTTAATTTGATGTTTAGCCAGTTTAATCTCAAGAAAAATGCCACTATAAATCATTAAGGTTTCACTTTGTTATTTGCGTGTAAGTTTGGGTCATGAATAGATTTTTGTTTTGTGAGTGTTGAGTTTTGATTTGAGACAGAGGTGAATCGTGGAGCTATATCATGTTTGGACGACATAAGGTTATGATCATTATGTTTGGGTTTTTCTTGCTTCTTGGAGATGATTGATTGTTTAGCTTCCTCAAAAAATCGATTAACCTTCTTTTTAATATATCTAAAATGGATGATTTCATATATAGATTTTAACATTTTGAATGACACAAGTATAGATGCATGGAGGAGTATGATATGTTACAATTACTAGCATTTCTATAAACTTATCTCTCTTAGGTTTCTATTTGATTTTTATTTTTGGGATGGAGATGCAAAAATACTCTTTATATTGGGAAATTTTGGGAACAATTTTGTTTATGATGTTGCTATATTGTGGATGACAAAATAGATACGGGAATCGGGCGAGTGGATGTTTTTGGATCTTAAAGAGAGAGAAAATTCATCCATAGATCTTCAAATGTTATCCAGGTTTTGTAGGCCAATCACTGTCATCTATTCCTTTGTGCTTTTGTCTGATCTTCTCTTGCCTTCAAACTAATGATCTTGTTATAATTGATTATATTTTTAGGACCCAACAAACTAATTGCTTGTTTACATTGACCATTAGAGGGACACTGATAATTTTGAATAACTGTAGTTCGACGCAAATATGAGGATGACACAGAAACAAGCCTATCTAGTGTCAAATGGATGAATTATCAATTTTCAGCAAGTAATGAGTTCAAGTTGCTTTCTTCAACCATTGGGAATATAAATGGGGCAACATCATTTTATTTTGGTGGCTCAATTATTTCGCAGTTAAACGACCACTTAGTATCCTAAGTGCGGCACCAATATAAGGTTTGCTGAATGAGAACGTGAAAAGAGTCTTAATATACAAGATAGAGAAGTACAAGGCCATACCTGGAAGTTCAAATATACAAGTACTAGGCAAGAAGCCAGAGAAAATCTGGCTACCAAAAGAAACATGGAAGAAAATCATGGGAAAGGTCAAAACTGCCGACTTATTCACGAGATAGAGAACGAGGAAGGAGTATATCAAATGACAGTAATTGAGAATGTGATGAGTTGTTTGGTGGACAAAGAAATTAAGCTTAAGGGACGTTTTTACAACCCCCATTTGAAATTTTGGAAGTATTCTTACATAAAATTTGAAGATGATTATGGTATCTTGAAAGATTTGAGATTAAGATTCTGGTTGACATGAAAAGAAGAGTTGCTTTGAAGAATCAGAGTATGCCAACAGCTATGAATAGAAGAATCTTTACATAATACTTGTGTTATGATATGTAGCTCATTTTATCTTACAGCAGAGTGATTGAGAAGGTGGTTGGAAAATGACATAAAATAGTGTAAACAGTGATTAGAATGAGAATTAGGGATTTAAGATAGTAGAAGAAGAATGACCGACAACCTAGAGTTAGGTGACGAAATTAAGAAGAAGAGAGATTAGCTTTTGATAGCTATCTTTCTGAATATTTGTTTGATTGACAAGGTAAATTTCCTGAAGTTATTTTGGATCGTCAATGTGTTGTGTTCATCTATGAATTAGATGAATCACCCTTAGATATGGAAAAGATACTGAGAGAAGATATTGTTAGGGTGAGCTTAATCATTGCTCTTGGAACCTTAATAGGTCTTTCTTTCTTTTTGTCTTTCAGATAAAAGGCTTGCTGAATAGCTTTTTTAAATGATTTGACATGTAATTTTCTTTTAAAATTAAAAAATGAAAATTTAAAGAATAACCTCCTTTCGTATTCTAGAACATGAAAAATTTAACATTTTGTTTGTACAAACTATTATAAATATGTGAACCAATACAATTATGTTGCAATTTGTTAGAAAATAACTATTATAAATGTCTGAACTTATACACTCTTATTGCGATGTACTAGAAAAATAACAAATTTTTGTGTGCTTAATAGATTATTAAAAGATAATAGGATGAAGTAAAAATGATGATTTGCTAAGTCAAAAACATTTTCATAATAACTTATTCATGTGACATGTTCTTATACTTTAAGATTAATGAAATATATCAACATAGTTTAGTAATATGCTACAATGATACACGACAATTTCATGTGTTTAAGAATATCAACAATGGTCACCAAAAAAATTATTGGATCTTTTTCAAAACCAAATTATGGTTATATGGCTTAAATACGTCCGTGACCAATTGGTAAAGAAGTTACAAGAAAAATAATGTACATATACATATATGCATTTGTCATCTTTAAGGATTGAACTTGACATTTCTCGCATATTAAAATGATATCATTGTCTTTTATTTTATGTTATTCTAATTACTTTTTATTTTCATTTTTGGTACATCATTCATTTTTCCCCATATACTATTAGTAAACACATTGTCTTTACTTTTTTATGATGTAATTGTAATTCTCTTGTTTTCTTTTTTTATTGTTTGGCGTAAGTTCTTTTCTTTTTCCTTCTTGAATGAAGATGTGCAACCCTGAGTTATGTTCATATGCATAGCACCTAAATTAAGAAAGATTTCTAAACGAATTTTAAACTATTGGATATATATAATGGTTGAGATGTAAATAACTTTTTTAATCTTTACTTATATCCATAGACGGAGCGAGGAATTCGAGTGACGATGGGTCAATAAAAATATCATGTGGAAGATTAAGTTAAGTATCAGTGTTTGAAACTATCATATACCAATTAGTCATGTGTGCTGAAGTTCATTGGATTTGCCATAAGAACTTGAATAATTTACTATACTTGTTTAATCTATGATATGATTTTACAAAAAAGTAAACTTGATAATATTTGTTCATCAACTTTGAATATATGAATGGAAAACCTATCATATTAAGATTCCTAGAATTATCTCTACATTCCTATTAAAAAGTGATTTAATGCAGTCAAAAGCACGCTTTTAGGTAGAAGCGCAAAAATGTAAGGTTTAAAGCGCACTTTTGACTACATTACAAAGGAAAATCACATTTCTACGTAGAAACTTTTAGTGAACTAGAAACATAAAAACATAAGCTTTAAAGCGCGGTCTTGGCTACATTAGTAAGAAAAAAACGTGATTAGACATATAAGCGTTTTGGTGATATAGAAGTATAAGTTTTAAAATTTTAAAGGTTAATTTTAACTATATTGAATTGATCATTCTAATTAGACTTTTGTTGCATACAAATACTCATATTCTTATATAGTTTAAACTAATTTATAAGGTTATCAAATGAATAATCATTGTGAAAAGAAAAGGAAAATGGGGATATCCAGCCAAACGCAAAAATGATCCCATAAAAAAACGAAAAAAGGAAAATGGGGAAGGAAGGCCTAAAAAGTACAGAAAAATAAATCAAAATTGTATTGATTGGGTGTCAAACCCGGCACCTAGGAATAGAATAGGTATTGTGTTGTCTATATCAACCAATAAGCTACAACATAATACATGTAACAAATATTACACGTTCTAGTTTTAGATCTTAGTAGGAGACATGGCCTCCCTGTCATAAGGCAGACTCCGTCCGTGTTTATATCAAATGTGAAAACGTAATACATATATTATTATTATTACTATTTTTAGTAACCATTTATACTCGCCAGATAACCCGACTCATAAGATAATGATCTAATTCTTCGTTAAATCCATTTACGTAAGAAATAACTGTGTTTATAACCTTTACATAATTGGTATTAAGTACGATAACTAAATAATTAAAAGTAAAAGACACAAAATTATTAAAAATCCAAGACAAATCAAATAGAAAAACAAAAAATGCGATGATAAAGACTTACATTATTAAGAGAATTGACTTACTAAGTACTTTGGTTGTTCCTGCATCGTCCAAAAAAAATTATCGTTGCTAAGAGAGGAATAAAGTAATTTTATGGGGCCCGACTATGAGAAGTAATAAATACAAACCCAAAGATGACCGGATGGATTAAATGGAGAAATCAATTTGATTAACGATATTGTTTTACTATAGAATAGCTAGTAAGTTGTGGGATTATCAAAAGCTGATGTGACACAATCTTATATCAATGTAATTAACTTATATTATCGCCGCTGTGGAGAAACATTCGGCACGGAGGACATGTAAGTTCCACCAGTTTTCATGTCATTATTACCATTAAACTTTTTTATATACTTTTTATGGTTCCACTAAACTAAAATTAAATAAATGTACAGATTAATCTTCATCACTAAGATTTGAACTTGCAACCTATGCGCCCCAATTATTATCACTTCAACTGTTTAGTTGATTGGGTAAATTCTATTTGATGATATTAGTCACAACAAAATAGTACTCATGTCATCAAAATGGTTTAAATCTAACCTCTGTCTTTGATTTTATTTTATATAAATTGTACTATGAAAAATGTAATAGATAAGTTATATGTTCTATTTTCTATCTATCATAAAAATTATTAACCGCTAAAAAGAACTTTTTGCTTAATTTAATCATTTCAAAAATTAAAAATTTTACAAATAACAAAGTGAAAAGTATACCTTTTATGTTAAACAAATTTTAAATTTAATTTAATCTTTCATGTCATGTTTATTTGAAACTGAAAAATGAGAAATAACATATTAACCTTCTTTTATATCTAGAAAACCAAGAATATAATTATGTTTGTACGTATTATTATAAATATGTGAACTAATACACTTACATTGCAATTTATTAGAAATATAACAAAATTTTGTGTGGTTACTACATCAAATAATATTGCAAATTGAAAATGAAGTTTTGCTAAGCAAAAAGACTTGATCACAATCACATATTCGTGTAACATATTCATATACCATGGAATTATTTAACTATACTAAAATAGTTCATCCATGTGTCATCATGATATATTCCGAGTTATCTTAGTCTATCATAAACACGTCCGTGACAAATTGGCAAAAGAAAGCACATAAAAAATCAAGGTAGTATTTTCGTCTCTAGGAATGGAATCGAACATTTCTCGCTTATTAAAAATGATATCAATACCTTTTCCCTAATACAAATTCCAATATTCCATTTTTTTACATCATTTCATCCTTTTTGCAGGCTTTCATCCACGAATATTAAAACAAAGTTTTTAATTTTTCCTAATGAAATTCTTATTTCTTTCTTTTCCTTTTTATCATTTGAAATTAATTATTTGTTTATTTTTCCTAGATGCTTGAATATGAAAAATCTTGGGTCAAATTTTGATGTATTATCCCAAAACTATTCCGACATAAATAATTTTTAAAATATTGGATAGATCTAATGATCAAGGTGTAAATAACGTTTTATACCTGTTTTTATCAATCGAATTATGTGTCATTCGTTTGGGATTCTAAAAACTTTTCTATAACAAAATGAATCACTAATTTATAGCCATACCTATATTTATCATCTATACCACAATGATATTATTTACATAACACCAATGTATAGTAAAACTCCACTAACGTGTTAGCTTTGTTTCTAAATATTTCTGAGTGGATGTTATTCGCTAGAGTATAACGTTTTTTATTTTAGGAAATGATTTAAAATCCTACTTAAATTAATCAAATATAGACCGTTAAAACTTAATGGAGACTGTGCATTGTGCACAAATTTACGCTTATACAACTAAACTAATCTTGATAATTTTCACAATAATCCATTTTTCTTCCAAAAATAATGAAAATGAATTTGATTACCTTATTCATAAAAAAAAAAGAATTTGATTACCTTTCTCATATTTTGACTTTGCTCAACTCACAGCCTTTCGCAAAATTCTCTTTTCTTTTATAGTCTTTTTCCTCTAACAAACACTGTCCCTTTTGTAGACATTTGGATTTTACTCCATTTAAGTTGTGATAATTTGTAGATCAATTAAAATATCATTAGCCTTAGCTTTTGCTTTTACTTCATTATTGTCTGAGAATATCATTTCAATAACCAATGTCATCACATTTTCATAGACTTCCAAACTTCGAATTCTCTCAAGCCGCCATCGTTCCCAAATTCATTCTACATAGCCCACTTAGTAGGATTTGTCCAATATCTCCTCTCTTCTAAATAGTAAATCTTCATTTTCCAATCAAACCCTATAAATTACTCAATGTTGACCACTATGTAACTCATGTAAGGTGTTTGTTTGAATGTTTATGAATGATTGGTAGTAATAGTATAACTACAAAGAAGCAACATTTACATTCACTGCCACTGATAGTAATGTGGAGCGGATGCAAAGTGTCTCTGTAACTAACAGTTTGTTTTTATATCACTCATAAATGTTAAAGACAATTAGAATAATAGTTGTATAGTTTAGATGCGTAAGATTGTAACTACACCTTGATTATATTATATGCTCATAATATGCAGTTAGTTGTCTTTCGCTTTTGTTTATCTAAACCATGTTGATTTCTTGTGTTCTTAATTCTTATGTAAAAAAAAGTACATCATAACCAAAGAACTCTAAAATTCTAAAAGTCTCACTTTGTTGTTAACAAGGAAAACTCAAACTTCTTACAACTCAACAACCCCCTCAATCCTTAAGGTTTTATTAAATTTAGATAGCAAAATTGCAAAACATTCTTAGGAGTGCATAAGAATCTATAATGGTATATTAAGCTTTAATTTATTGAAAGACTATGTGCAACTTATGAAATTGAAATGTTTTGGCCAATCAAAAATCGAATGGTCGTGAATATAATCTTTCAACGTGCGATAAAGTAACAGTTCTTATTGTTTGGTATTATTGTTGATCCTCGCAAAAACCGCACAAAATGTATGTACCTTCTATAAATTGAAACTCATATAATAAATAATAAGAATAAATAAATATAAAACTAGAAGCCCCACACCATATTATTCAACAAAAACTATCACAGATCAAATTTTGTATTCTATTTGTTTAGCAATGATAAAAAAATCATTAACAACTACAAATAACATATTTTAAATTTTTAGTTTATAATATGTTTGATAATTGCTTATAATTAAAAAAAATTAAAATATTCAAAAAGCATGAATTTAGTTGGTACACAATTCTAAACTTTTACATAATTTTACTTATGATTTCTTTTAAAATTGAAAAATGAAAAAGCAAAGAATATAACCTTAGCTTGGCACGTCTTCTTTTCGCATATGCGAAAAGAACGAGGTCTCTCGGAAAGAAATAGTGGGTGAGAGGTGGGCGCTCTTAAAAATGGTGATGGTTTTACAAAGACTCATTTCAATAGCATATATAAGACGTTCTATATACAATGTGAATAGATAAAGAGATAAGGGGACATCCCTCGACTGGTTGTGTCAAACTCACAGAGACTAGTTGGTTTTGTGATTTTGTCATTGTTATAACCTAGGGACTTTGGATTGGTAGTATAACCTAGGGTCTTTTGATTGGTTCAGGTTTAGAGTGTGACACCTGTTGATCCACAAATCTGTCTTTTGACATTATATCACATAAACATTTCCCCCCCTTAATTCTCTTAAAATGAATATTACAGAACACGTAATGCACCAGATCCAAATTCAGCATGTAATAAATTGTAAAATGACGGTCTCTTGTAGTAAAATAAAATAAAAAAAGAGGGGAGCTCTCTCCTCTCTCCTCGATTGGCCGCGATGGCTTGGTGGCTGGCTTCTGGCTTCCATGTCTTCGCTCTTTCTGCTCTGCTTGAAAAACCAGAATGGTGGACGTCACCGACGTGCTGGAGATTTGCGGCTTGGAGAAACTGGCCAAGGGGACGAGACGGTCGGCAGCGGGCGCAGACAATGCTACAGGTCCCCGGTGATGGCTCGTACCCCCCTGCGCGAGGGCTGCTGCCCTTCTAAAGTTCTCTGTAAACGAAAAAGAGCACGGTTTTGCGAGGACTTCACCTCCTCATTTGACATGATTTTATCACACTCAAGCCCTGCGAAGAAATGCAGGTGCGTTAGATTATGTGAATGGAGATTCGTTCTCCCGTCGTCGGTAGATCTGGTAGGCGAGGAATCGCTGTTATCCACGATCGACGGTTTTAGTAATGGTCTAAATATCTCTTTAGGAAGAGCTGACGATCAGGTCGGGTCGAGGGGTCGGGACTTTGTTGAGGAGGCGGCGGAGGTTCGAAAGCTGGTGCTTCTTCGACCACGACACCCCCCTCCGGCAGTGGCGGCCGACAGGTCGGCCGATAAGATCCTTGGCGGAAGCGCGTGGATAACTTCCCCCCAAATCCGTGATGTGGGGACTAACGACCAGCGGCCGAGCTGTTCGGATTTGATTTCCCCTGTTTTCTCGGGATTGTTGGGATGCTGCTGGTATATCTGTTTCCAACGGGATAAACAGCACCGAGAGTCTACGCATGCTGAGAGTCCTAACCCTATTAGTTCTCCTAATCATACTCCAACTGTGACTCTACGACGTGGGTTTAAGGGAGGTTTAGGGCCTCTATTTATTCCATCCTCCCTGGGTCTGCCCAGTAGTGCGAAACATCACTTTCAGTGCCGAGGAGAAACTGCTGAGGTTGGAGCTTCTGGTCTCTTGCTTTCGTTGGGAAACTGCTCAGGTATTTGGGAATTATTCTACGAACCCTCCCTGACTCATTCTTTTATTGCCGCGATGGTTATTCAATCACCTGTGATGCAGCCTCGTCCCAACCATTTTGTGGATGCGGCGCTAGGGTGTGACCCGCAGAGTATTAACCCGAGGTCCATATCTTGTTGTCAGGAGCTGTGTACAATGGCCCACGTCTCGGAAGATCAAGTGGTGCAATTCTCCCTCGAGGATGTGCAATCGACACGGTTCCGGGCTGCTCGATCTCTCTTGGGGCGGCTGTTCACAAATGACTAGATCACCACCTTGGAGTTGCGGGAAGGGCTGCTGGATGCCTGGAAGATCCGCGGGCAGCTCAATGTCCTGAAAACGAAACAGGGACTCTTCGAGATAGTCCTTCCCAACGAGGAAGCAAAGAAATGGGCTCTTTCCCGAAATCCGTGGATCATTAAGGATCGGTTACTTGTCCTTCGACAATGGTCTCCTGTTATCTCGAAGGGGACCTTTGAAGAGATGTCGAAAGCTCCATTTCGAGTCCAGTTATGGGGAGTTCAAGATGACTTCTGCACCAAGCTCTTTGGACAGAAGCTCATTGCTGCAATGATTGGACAAGTTATGGAATCAGGAATCTTTGCTTGTAAGGATTCCGGTGAGCGGTTTATCAAAGTCAATACTACTATCGACTTCTCCAAGCCTCTCCGACTGCAGTTGATGGCGATCAGTGAGGATATCGATGGCTTCTGGGTGAGCCTCAAATATGATTTTTTGCCGAGCTTTTGTTTCCATTGTGGCCGAGTCGGCCATGCGCGCCGGGACTGCGGCTTTGATCCACCAAGTAGGAAGGAGCGGTTCGGCCCGCATATGATTACGAAGAAAGTGGGGAGAAAATTTTATGAGGAAGATGGCAATGATCTCCCTCTCGGGGGGTCCGGGCGCTCGGTGTGGATAAACCGCCAAAATCGTACTATCCCGATGGCGGAAAGAGGTGATTCTAGCTCGGGAACGAGGAAGTATAATCCGACTTCGATGCAGGCTGCCCCCTCCCATGCTACAATTGGCGCGGCCTCCTTCGACAAACCAAACTCGTTCCAGGGAAAAGGGCCGGGTCGGTCTCCGAATCGTCGAGGTAGTCCGGGTCCGACTCGACGAGGCAGTCCAGCTGGGATTGTCCTTAACCGCCACCCCAAGCTCAGGCTAGGGAACAACAGGCAGAAGCAGGTGGGAACCAACAAGAAGGAGGTGAGGATGGCGGACGCTGACCCCCCGACTGTCAAGGTTTATCCGCAACACAGTTCTCCGGTCCGGGCGGACTCGGTTTCGAACCTGGGGGGGGGGGGGGAGCAGCCCACAAGGATCCATGCTGATACGCGGCGCCGTCGACTAATCCTCGAAGAGGACTCTGATGATGATATGGTGGATGTGACGCAAATGCCGACTGGTAATGGGTTGGGAGTTAAGCCAGAGGGAGCCCCGAAGCACCCGACCAATTTTATTATCCCACCGGAAGCAGGGGTTATAATGCCGGGGAAAGGGAAGTCTCGCCGGTCCAAGGATCACCCGCGGCTCACAGCGGGAGGGAGAGCTGAGATGCGAACTGTTGGGGAGATGGGCGAGGCTCCCCAGATACCTGATGAAGCTGCGGGGCCGTCGGCGGGTCAGGCTGCTGTTAGTGGAGCTCCTGTGATGGGGGATGATACTCTTAAGAAGAGAAAGCCTCGCCGAGCGAAGACCCAATTGATAAGGAAGGAGGGTGAGGAAGCGTTTCCTCGTGAAGAGTCGGCGGTTGAGATGCGATCGGCGAGCTCCAAGCCAGTGGCTTCGCGCGGCAGGCGGATTTTGTTGAAGTCACAGCCGCCGAGAGAAATGGATGAGGGGATTCGGGATGGTTGTGATAAGGTGATGGGTGATTATAGACAGTCCGACCCCGATAGCCTGAAGGGCGCCATAGAGGCTCCCCATTCGGCGGATAGTGAATCGGAGGAGTCTGGGTTGGGTGAGGAGTCCCAGGAATTTATGATCAAAAAGAGGAGCCCTCTGGCTGATCCGCTACAGCATGGCAACCCCTCTAAAGGTCGGGTTAGCCAAGTGGTGGCAGTTTTGAAGTGGGTTTGACTATTGCCGATGAGGTGGTGGAGCAGCCCATGGATGGAGGCACATATGGTGTAGCTGGTACTGGGGATAACAAAAGTGGAGGGTTAGATGCTGGGAGTTTTGATGAGTATGGCTCCAATATGCTAACCCCGCCTACTGGAGTTCTTAAACGTCCTCTCGAGGTGGTGGAGGGGGAGGTGGGCGTCCCGCCAACCCCCAAGAAGCAGTTCGTGGAAGTTAATGAAGATCATGAGAAGGTGGAGGAAGCCAGCCTGGAGTGGCCCCAACCTGATAAATGAGACTACTTTCCTGGAATGTGAGAGGCTTAGGGCCTTCTCTCACATTCCAAACGGCAGTGGGCTTGGTCTGTTCGAATAACCCGGAGCTGGTGTTTTTCTCTGAAACTCGGTCTAGCCGTCGTGTTGTCTCCCGTCGTATGCGGGGTCTTGGTTTTGATATTTCGCAGTGTTTTTTTGTTGATGCGGTTGATGCTTCTGGTGGGTTAGTGTTTTCCTGGTCCCCAGATGTTAATGCGTCGGTTCTTTATTCTTCCAACTTCTGTATTTGCTCCCAGATTAATGAAGTTGATTTTTCTTATATTGTGGTTTGTGTTTATATTAGTTGTTCGGTTTCCACAAGAACGGCCCAATTGGCTCACCTTTAGGAAATCTGTTCTGCTTTCCATCTCCCTTATGTGATTATTGGTGACTTTAATGCAATCCTGACTGATAGTGAAAAGGATGGGGGTAACCCTTGGAATGCCAACAACTCGGTCAGCTTGCGCGACTTTATTAATGATTTGGGTCTCCATGATCCTGGCTACAAAGGTGACCTTTTCACTTGGACAAATAAGAGGATGGGAAATGCTTGTATTAAAGAGCGTTTGGATAGGGCCCTCTGCTCACAAACCTGGATTGATCGATTCCCTGAAACCTTGATTAAACATTTTACGGACCAAGGCTCTGACCATAGAACCCTCCTCCTGTCGGATAAACCTTATAGGCGGCATAACCGGCCACTCTTCCGATTTGATGCCCGTTGGGCGGACAACCCGGAAGTAAGGGCTATGGTTAGTTATGTCTGGCAGGAGGACATCCAGGGAACCCCTATGTTCTGCCTTTGGGAGCGCCTGAAAAAACTTCGCCATCTCCTGTACGATTGGAGTAGAGCGGGTACGACTAACTCCTTGCGGAATATTCGTACCCTTCAGAGTGAAATTGATAGGGTTAAACTGGTTCATCCTATTGACTGGAATATGGTCCGGGGGCTGGAGGTTGAGTTGAGCCGGCAATGGGAGGCGGATGAACTATACTGGCAGCAGAAGTCCAGGGTCCACTGGCTGAAAAAGGGTGATAAAAACACGTCCTACTTACATACTGTGACTAGGGCCCGTCGTAAGAGAAATTTTGTGGCTGGCCTTCACAATGACAATGGGGAGTGGGTTACTGATGAGATTGGAAAAGCTGGAATTGCTACTTTCTTCTATCAGCACCTGTTTGCTTCAGAGAACCGAGTGGACAATATGGATGAGCGGGTGGCATCCTTGCCTATTGACCGTTGTGTTACCCCTGAGATGAATGCCGGCCTCACGGCCGAGGTACTCCCTTCCGAGGTGCGAAAAACAGTATTTGCCATGGGATCTAAGCAGGCTCCGGGGTCCGATGGCTTCACTGGGAAGTTTTTTAAGGCTTTCTGGGATATCGTGGGTGACTCGGTGACGGTGGCAGTGTGCTCTTTCTTTGCTACTAGTCGTATGCTTCGTAGTTTCAACCATACGTGGCTCACGTTGATTCCCAAGGTTGATAATGTGGAAACTATGCGGCACCTGCGCCCAATCAGCCTATGCCAGTTCGTTTACAAAATTATTACTAAGATCATGGCGGAGCGTCTTGCCTGCCTTTTGCCTATGATTGTCCCAGATGGTCAGAATGCCTTCATCCGAGAACGTCAAATTGTTGAGAATGTTCTCCTGGGGCATGAATTGATGCATTATCTTAAGATCAAAACGCGAGGTAAGAAAGGGTACACGGCTCTAAAGGTTGACATGGAAAAGGCCTATGATAGAGTCGAATGGCCCTTCCTCCTCGCGGTTTTGGATAAGATGGGCTTTAATTCTACATGGCAAGGGTGGATTCGAGAGTGCCTTCGGTCCTCATCCTTTTCTGTGCTTATGAATGGAACTCCTTCGGGTTTTTCACTCCTTCAAGGGGGCTTCGACAGGGGGATCCTCTCTCTCCGCTCTTATTTGTGCTCTGCACGGAAGGCTTTGCAGCCCTCCTTCGCAAAGCTATCACAAATAAGAAGTTGGAGGGGTTAAAGTGGCCCCTCGTGCGCCTCGCATCTCGCATTTATTTTTTGCATGATAAGTATCTGGGATTGCCTACGCTTATCGCTCGCTCTAAGATGGCTACGTTCAGATATTTGGAGGAGAAGTTGCTGGAACGTCTTCAGGGGTGGAAACGGAAGACCTTATCGTGGGTTGCTAGTGAAACGTTGATTAAATCCGTTGCTTTGGCGTTACCGTTGCACGTGATGTCTTGTTTTAAACTTCCTCTCTCCCTCTGTCGGCTTTTAGATAGGCATGTAGCCCGGTTTTGGTGGGGTGATACTGAAGATCATTTTCGCATTCGATGGGTGTCTTGGCGGAACTTGTGTCGTAGTAAGCATGAGGGTGGTCTGGGATTTCGTCGCTTCGAGCAATTTAATCAGGCCTTGCTTGCTAAGATTGGGTGGCGTATCCTTATGGAACCTCAGTCCCTTTTGGCACAGGTTTACAAAGGGAAGTATTTCCCCACTGGGTCTTTTCTTGAGGCTTCGGCTAGATCAAGACCCTCTTGGGGCTGGCAGAGCATCTTATTTGGTAGGCAGCTATTGGTGAAGGGGTTGCGGTGGCAAATTGGGAATGGTCAATCAGCATTCTTACTGAACTCTAATTGGATTCCTCGGCTCCATAGTGACCCCCCTAGTTATAATCCTTGGGTTTTGCCTGAGGGGGGGGGGACCCACTGGTTGCAGAGGTCATATGTTCAGGGGAGGGATGTTGGGATGACAATAAGTTGGGACAGTGGTTTGACCCAGCAACCTGTGAGGCTATTAGGGCTATCCCCCTCCCGCGCCGGAATGTTGAGGATAAATTAATCTGGCGTACGACTGTGGATGGGGTCTTCACGGTTAAGTCGGCTTACCATTTGGCAATTGACATTGATAGGAGACAAGGGGGTTGGCGTTCCACAGTGGGGTGGATGGATAAGTCGTCCTGGATTCGTTTATGGGATGCTAATATCCCTCCTAAGCTTAAAGTCTTCCTCTGGCAGATCCTCAATCGCATTTTGCCTACTACGGAGGCCCTAATAGAGAAAAAGGTTCTGGTGCATCCTCGGTGTCCGGTGTGCTGGGCCAGTAAGGAAACTTTGGAGCATTTATTTTTGGAGTGCCCAGTGGCTTGGGCCCTTTGGGATTATTCTGGGTTGGCCTACTTAGGGGAGGGGCTCCCCCGCCATACTTTTCCTTTGTTTCTGAAAAATTTGATGGCTTTGATTCACCAGCCTCCTCTGTTTATGGCGATGGTTGCTGTTCTTTGGCGGATATGGCGGTCTCGGAACTGGGTGGTCTTTGAAGGCAAGAAGTTTGGGTTCCCGACTTTGATGCGTCAGTTTCAGCAACAGTATGAGGAATGGGTCCGGCTGCCAGTTGATTCAGGACCAAGTGGGGCTCCCTGCGGATCTGTTTCTCCGGAGTCGCAACATCTGGGTCTGGCTGGGGGGGGGGGGGGGACAGTGTTGTGTGTATGTGGGATGGGGCTGTTCGAAGGGGATCCCACTCGGCTGGTGGGGTAGTTCTCTTTACTCCTTCAAGAGATGTTTGGCTGGTGAAAGGGGTTCGTTTTCCTGGGATGGATGATCCACTTGTGGTGGAATTGCTTGTCTTACGTGAGGCTGTGTTGTGGTGCCTTGCGCTCGGCCTTTCGAAGGTGCGATTTGAAGGAGATGCCAAGCTTATTATTGATAAGATCAATCTTGCAGATGCCAGAGATAACCGAGTCGGAGCTGTTCTGGAAGAACTTCATCATTATTTTCATAGCTCTTCGGGGTTTAGTGTTCGATTTGTAGGTCGGAGTAGTAATAGGGTAGCCCATTTGATGGCTCGCAAAGCCCTTTCCTTGTACCCGACTATAAGTCGCTCTTTTGATTTCCTGGCCTGGCTTACTTCCAGGATGTAATTATCTTCTGATTTGAATCAATATATGATTATCTTTTACTAAAAAAAAATGACGGTCTCTTATTATATTATGCAATGAAATGGACTAGATATCTTGATTGTCTTTGATTATCTTATTCTCTTTTTGTATTGAAATTGTCTTCCATTTCCATACAGGGAGTTGCTATTGATGAAGTTTTTTCTTTGGTAAGGCCTCATCTGATGGAGAATTACAAGCTAGTGACCGGTCAGTTGGTTGGAATCGATCCTCACATTGAGCAAGTGAAGAGGCTACTGAACAAAGGAGTGAAAATTGTTGGCATTCAAGGTATGAGCGGTATTGGTAAGACCAACATAGCCAAAGCCGTTTATAACAGTGTTAGTGCACAATTTGATTGATCGTCACATTGAGCAAGTGACGACATTGTTACTTTACAAAACAAGATTCTATCTGGTATTATTGTAAGGGATGATATCACTGTGAGAGATGCCAGTCAAGGAATCCAGAGTGTCAAAGACAAAGTTTGTTGCAGGAACAACATTCTCATCGAGCTTGATAACGTTGATGAGGCGTTCGAGTTTGACAAAAGGTTGGGAGATTTGACGCATTTTGGCTCAAAAAGTCGCTTTATCATTACAATTGTGGATGATGGAGTTCTTAAGTTCTTTCAAGAATATGAGTTGTACCAACCAGAGGGAATGAATGTTGATATCGCACTTCAACTCTTTAGCAGACATGCCTTTGGGACTGATTATCCCCCCAAAGAGTATATCTCTCCATCTGAGGACTTCGTAGTAGTTGCAGCATGTCTTCCTTTGGCTGTCAAGGCCATAGGTTCTAGGGGTGGTCAACCGGTTCGGTAAACCCGAACAAACCAAAACTGAATTAAATCGAACCAAAACCGAATTAAACCGAACCGAAACCGAATTAATGCTATTCGGTTCGGAAGGAAAATATGGATAGTTCGGAAACTAGAGTTCTCTCAACCGAACCAAATTTCCGAATTTAAGACCGAGAAACTGAAATACTATAATTGCAAGCTCCAAATGGTGGATTTTTATGTTTGTAGTTGATTTTAGACTTAAATATTTGAAATATTGTATGACTTATGTGTTGAAAAGTTTGATTTTATCATTGATGATGCATATAATTACATATTTATTGTTTATATTAGGGGTAAAAAATAATTTAAAAGTGAGAAGATATAAGTAGCTTCACAAATTCGGTTTTGTTTGAAAACCCAAACCAAACCGAAGTATATTTCGTTTTAAACCGACCGAACCGAATTATAATTCAGTTCGAATTAGGTTTGAGGTTTGGGAGAATTCGGGGACCCGATATTCATAATTTCGGTTCGGTCGAAACCGAACCGACCGAATGCCCACCCCTAATAGGTTCACTACTTTTCCGCAAAGATAAGATGTTTTGGAGTGCAAAGCTGAAGCATTTAAGAGAGATACCTCCTAGTCCTACACTGGTGCAAAAGAGATTGAAGGTCGTCTATATGGATTTGACGCCCGAGGAAAAACATATTTTTCTTGATATTGCTTGTTATTTTATTGGAGAACCCTATGATCAACCTGTCAAGAACCAGTTGATCCCAATAACTCGAGTTGTTGGGAGATGTTCAATCGTGGATCATATACCACAACACTAACATGCCCCCTCAAACGAAAGCCACTCACAAGGGCTTGAAGTTTGCACAGGTCTGAAGACAAGAATACCACGTGCTTAACAAATGGGGGTCACCGGGAATCGAACACAAGACCTCTCGGTCATAGAAGGCTCTGATACCATGTCAAGAACCAGTTGATCCTAATAACTCGAGTTGTTGGGAGAGGTTCAATCGTGGATCATATACCACAACACTAACACAACCGTCCTACTTGTGGAGTGACTCCAATTTACATCCTCTGGTAGTGATTGATACTCTTTGTCTCAAGTCATTGATAAAAATCATTGAGTGTAACAAATTTTGGATGCACGATCAATATAAAATCCTTGGCAGATGCATTGTTCGCGAGGAAGACATTATGAATCCATGTAAGCGAAGCAGGATGTGGTCCAACAAAGATGTTGTGGACATGCTAAGAGATAAAGAGGTATACTGTCTACATTTCTGCGTTTTAATTTAAATTTAGAGTATGCAATAGTTGAGCCCAATGATCGAGTTAGTGAAGTTAAAATCTATAAAATTACTGGTTATACCAATGTGATATTCTCCCACATTCTTCCCTTTTCATATATTATTATGATTGCTCAGAAATGCAAGTATATTTTATTTTAAAAGGAAACTGACCGGTTGGAAGTTCTTAAAGTTGAAATGATTGGTGAGGATTTTGATCTCACATAGAAGGAATTTCAGAAACTATCAGGGTAAAGATATCTTGAAGTGCGCTATGGAAAGATGGCTGGAGATTTCAGAGAGGCCCTACCAAATCTACATTGGTTGTGACTTGATCATTGCATTTCAATCCCTGTCGATTTCAATGTAAAGAAATTCATAATTTTGGATCTTCTGAGTTTCCCTGTAGGGGATAAATGGAGAAGCTGGAACAGAATCACGGTAATTAATTTTCCTACTTCATTTCATATATATGAAGATCAATTTATATGTTTATGTGATCAGATAGCCATGGGCACGAATAGTCAAACTGATTTACCACAATCCAAATATTTGGAGATTAGATGTGCAAAATCTTAAATTGGAGATGTCAATGAGAGATATTGAGCAGCTATGGATTCGGCCTCAATGGGAAAATAAAATGGAGCACCTAACAACGTATATTTACAGACCAAGAACTACGAGACTGGACCTTTCATGAATTGTAATACACTTGAGATTCCTGAGGATATGTGGAAGCTCTCCAAGTTGAAGGATCTGTGGTTGATGAAGGTTGGGAAGGGGAAGGATGCCCTTGCTCTTCACCAGGAACCAATTAATCAGAGTCATGATTCTCGACGATGTGGTACGAGAACCCTGATTTCTTCTTCGCTTACCCTTCTGCCGTCTCTAAACTCCATATCCATTGAGGGTTGCCAGCATTTGGAGAGACTGTCGAACCTTGCAAATCTGAGTAACTTAATGACGTTAACTTTGAGATTTATTGGGGTACAAGAGATCATCGGTTTGTGAATTGTTGTGGTGTACTGAGAAAACTACACTGCCTGTCGAATTTGACCAAGTTATAGGAGTTTCACATTGTTAATTGTCCACTCTCAGGAATCCAAGGGCTTGGCGAACTGGGGGATCTATGGATTCTAGTGATCAAAGAATGCCATCAGTTGACTGAGGTGGTGGGGCTTGACAAATTGAAGTCATTGAAAGAACTGGAGATTACTGATTTGTGGACGATTAAGGAGCTGCCCCATCTATCTGCTTTGGAGCACCTATGGAAGTTGGAAATTACAGGGTGCAATCAGTTAGCTGGAGTAACTGAGCTTGACAACTGTTGATTCAGAATTTGCCCAAGCTATCTGATCTGGAGCACTTGTGGGAGATGACAATTATCAGATGTCCTAGGCTGACTGCGGTGATGGGACTTGGCAAATTGGATTCGTTGCGACGATTGAAGATCACCGATTGCGAGTCGATTAAGAAGCTGCCTGATCTATCTGCTTGGTCTTTGATCTAACAGCGGATGTTACTCTAGGAATGACAGTAGTCCAGTTTCGTGGTTCTTGTTCTTGCAATGACAGTAGTCCAGTTTCTTTAATGCCATTTCACAAACCTATCCGATTTCATCTCTTGTTACCTTAAACTTTCAGACTGATTGGATCAGTTATTATATTGTAAGTGGAAAGACAAATTGGATGGTATGTGATGAAATTGGTTCATGTTGTATTCACAATCACAGTATCAATTAACAAAATTGTTTCTATACATATTTGCAGGAACTTTGCAGCTCTTGTTTACATATAGAGAGCTAATGATTCAGAATGTTGAGGAAAGAAACTCTGGTTTTAACCAGTTTCCTGTAAACACACTCCAATTCCTCCTCAGATTCCTGAAGGCTCCATTCCATCCCTTTCAGTCCTTTCAAAACCTTCTGAACCTCTTCAACTGAATTCACAGCTCTCAAGCTCGACTTCAACGCCATCAATTCAGACTGCAATTTCCCCATTTCACTCTCCTTGTCCTGTTTGAATTTCAAGTACTTGGAAACAACACTCCACCCGCTCGATTCCGCACCAGAAACTGAGCTCAAAAGGGACTCGAACACTCCGAAGCTCGCTGATTCGACTTCTCTCAGAAGCCCAAAGATCGAGTCTTTCGGTTCGAGATCCGCTGCGGGGGATTTGCTCTTCTTGGATGATTTCAAGGTTTTGCAGGCGAGTTTCCTCAGCCTCTTTGTTGAACTCACGAACGTTTCGATCTCACTGGTCAAGTCGCTACTTTTCCTTCGCAGTGAGGATTCGAGTGATTTCACGCAATCTTTCAACTGGGCGAAGATTTCCCTTGTGGATCCGCAGATCTCCAGTGACCTGAGTGATCCGTTGATAAGGGATTCCTCCATGGATTTGGAGAGAGATTTCTGGGTCGCGGGCAATTGAAGCAAGTCGTCGACGCATTCGTGGAGCTCTCTGAGGATGTTCAATTGGGTGGTGGAATCCGCGGTGGATGCGGATTCGGAGGATCTCAACCTCTCGAGCTGGACCTCGACGGCGAGGGTTGTGGGGTGAGTTCCCGTGGGCAAACTGATGGATCGGACGTGGCTGGTGGCGGCCATTTTGTTGTTTGGTTTAGCTGGAGAGCGGAGAGAAGAAGCTGTTTGATGAAATGTCGCTGAGATGTTGGTTGAAGCTAAACCCTCGTATTGGTCTACTTTATATATCGGCTGCCTTTGTGGATTTGGGTGGTTCTCTGAATTCACGAAGTTTTGACTTTGGGAGTTAAAATGGCTGGATCAGATCGGGCTGCTCCATGAACGATAGACAGGAGCATTATTGCTTAATGCAGAGCAAAGCTGGACGGCTATTTGAAAAACAAGAAGAAATGGGTTTTCTGTCGTGGTTGTTTCCTTCTTCTCCAACATGATAACTTTTGGAGCTGCTGAAGGGCATCTCAAATGTGTTTATTTAGTACCCATTTGGTGGGAAATGAAATGGATCAGACTGCATTTGAGTAATTTAAGAACTTATGGCGCTGAAACAAGTAGCTAATTATTGATATGAAATGGCCATGGTGGGAGTGGGAGCAGTTGGAATCTTGACAGCCTTGGAGGTCTGCATTCACAGCCAACGCCATTGCTGCACGAGTTCATTGCACCGAGGTGGTATTATATTAATAATGGGACCATAAGATACCAATTTTTTACATTTGATTTTGCAGCATTGCTGGAGAATCCTGATGCAGAAACAGAGGAAACAGGGAACAAGTTTGTCAGCAATGATTCATTCATTCAACACATTTTGTCATATGCTTCTCTCTCTCACGCTGTCATAATGGGTTGGAGCTCTATTGCCTTTTTCACATGGAGCGATTCAAGCCAATATGAGACATATACCCATTGTCTTGCTTCTGTCTGGCATCCATGAAGACGCCTGCGGCTACCCTTATTATGTTCCCGGTCAACTCTACAATGATGAGATAAACTAGGGTTTGTCAAGGAAACCCTCTACATGACAGCAAATGCAAGCCTTTAGTAATCTGCCTATACTTCCCAGTTTATAAATAACTCTCCCTAATCATAGCAAATTCATTGCAAGCATTCATTTAAGCTTCTTCTTGTTCTCTATTTCAGCAATCTCAACATTCAGATCAAGGAAATAGTCAAATAACCCACAAAAAGAAATGGCTTCTGCTTGCCATGTTCGATCCATCAGCTTGCCATCAAGGCCTCACCAGTCTACACTAGACGTTGATATTCAGTTGGAGAGGCTGAGATCCTCTCAGTCAGCATCTTTACCATCTAATTTGAGTGGCCTCAAGGATTTGTACGAATCAATCGACAATTTCCTTCAACTGCAAGCAACCCAGAAAGCAAGCCATCTCTGATGATAACTCAGTGGATAAGTCCCTCGACCGATCCCTCAGGTTGTTCGATGTCTGTGCTGCAACCAGACACATTTTCTCGCAAATGAAGGAGATCCTGAAAGAGCTTCAATCATCACTCAGAAGGAAAAGAGGAAGTGAATCAGTTGAAGCTTATATGGCTGCCAAGAAGCAACTGAGCACAGAAATATGTAAGTGTTTGACAAATCTAAAGAGTTCACAGAAGAACTGCACCAGCTCCCAGGAGAAAGATTCCAGCGTGGCGGTTGGAACCCTTAGACAGGCTGAAGAGGCATGCAGTGAGATCTTCGAATCTCTATTAGCGATGATTTCCTGCTCGAACCCAAAGACCAAGAGATGGTCTTTGGTCTCGAAACTGTTGCACTCCAAGAGGATTTCCTCCTGCGAAGGGGAAAGCAATGGGATTAATCAAGTTGTGAAGATGGAAAGGGAACTTATGGCTTTGAGGTCTAGCAAAGAGATGAGCTGTGGGGAGTTGAAGAATTTGTTAAAGAGTTTGGAGAGAATTGAGTTGACCATTCAAGAAGTTGAAGAAGAGTTAGGTTGTGTTTATAAGCTGTTGGTGAAAACCAGAGTTTCCATTCTTAACATCCTCAGCCGATGAGTGGACAGTATAGTTTTGTAACGATGAGTCTTATGACAAATATTTGAAGGCATAAGATGAATGAATCAAAACAAACTGTTTATAGCCAATTTATCTTCTCTCTTGCTCGTTTCAATTGAGCTTGCACTATCCCATCTTCAAGGTCGAATCAACCAAGGTGGGTTGTGTTTGAAAAAACTGAAAGAACAAGCTGTCAAGGTTCCACTTATCCCAGACACCACCTTAGTCTAAGCTTGAAAATGGAGATGGATGACCAATCCTAATATAATAAGGATTAGATGAAACTTCCATCCATTCCCGGTTGTTCTTTCCATGCAGCCTGCTCGTACAACTCGCATTCAGTAATTCCATTCATCTTAATCGCCTCGACAATTTCATCCATCAAATGAAATTGTGAAATCGACAGGCGATCTAGATTAGTCCAACAATGTATTGAGGATAGAGATGATAAATTGTAGATTGTACATATTTCTCTTTTGCATTCAAGTGCCTTCTACTTTTGAGTTCCATTAGTTCAGTGCTGCCAGATTTTATGCTCGTTATGTCAGATTGAGTGTGTCACAAAGGGATCTTAGAACTTTGTGGTCGAACGAGGATCGATTTCGGACAATGATAAAGGAGATTTCTTAGAGGGGAGAGCCACCCAAACAAAAGTAGAAGGTAATGAAGGAGTTCAGAGTTCCAAAACCAGATTTCGGCTAAGAATGCTACACAGTACAGTTCACTCACGAATTGCATATGCCAATCTCAATCGTAGAGCAAAGATGAAGACTCCAAATAGAAAAGGCAGAGGAATGGCCTTAATATAGAAACTAGAAACTGAAACAATAGATTATAAGTTACTTTGTACAATCTCTTCCAAAATAGAACTTCAACTACAGCTGTATAAAACCCTAACTCCAGTCTCCAAAAAGCTAGCATACACAACCAAACTCCCTAACCTAAAGATTTCATACCCCCATCTCAAAGGGGCATGCTTTGCTGGTTTGTTGACAAAAAATAGGGTACAAAAATTACAGGATTTTCCCTTGGTCTAACCTCTGTATCCTATCTAGCCAAAGAAAGAAGCTTAATTAAACAAAGGCAAGCCTATCCAATACATTTTTTCCGGCCTTTCTTCACCAACTTTAAGAAGGCTATTTATCAGAGACCTTCAGTTTCCAACCTGCAAGCCTCTGATAACAAATGATGTCGATGATGATCCCAGTTCGGCATAATCCTCCAGTTATCTTTAAATTGAGCAGCTGTCAAGACTTCTCCCTGAAACAAGGAGGTCCAACCAATATCTCCATGAGAGCTCTCTCTTTCGTGGCAGGAGGAGAAAGATCGGTTTCATATATGCAGGAAATGACGAGAGAGTGTCTTCGGATTCAGTCGGAGAGTAGGTCCTCAAACTCGTGGTCCTCGGAGTTAAATCCATCGTAATCCATACTCGTGTTGTTGAAAACTCCTATGTCATCGACCACATCTTGATCATCTTCGGTATCTGGATCGAGCGGATCTGGATCAGTGTCCAAGTTTTGGTTCTCGAAATCTCCTCCTTCAAAGGTTGCATTATTATAGCCTTTTCCTAATTTTCTAGGAGGCGATTCCTTTCTTGTCTTGGTTTCCGTGTCACCACATATGCAGGTATGGGGATTCTCGTGAAATTCTCCTCTGCCAGGTCTAACCTCTTTCGGTTCGCCCATGAAGCCCTTCTGGTACGTGCGAACTCTAGAAGCAAATGCCTCCCACGTCATGTTGTTCTGGTTCAAGAACAAGCGGTAGAGCTTCTTAGCATTTGGTCGAATTGTGGGCTTGTGACCAAAATATCTCCTGCGCAATTTGATTGCAAATCCAGAAAACAGTCAACCATATCAGACATAGGAAGAACTTACCAGACATAGAAGCGAAAGAGAGAGGGAGGGATACATTACCTACGCCCAGCTAAGATTTTTGCCATGTTGCCATTATTATTTGTCACGAATACATCACTTTCATCACAAACAATGAAGTCGAGTGCAGCCATTCTTGAGGAAAATGAAGAGAATGGTTGTAACTCCTCGTGGCTCGCAAGAGTCTCCTTAGTATAGAAGTTGGGAAAGAGCGCTTTTAGAGGTGCCAATGTCTCCTCCCCTCGATAAACTTCTCCTGAGGCAACATATATGTGGACGTCACTGCCATAACCCAATGCTCTCAACATAAGACCAACTTCGTGTGGAGTGAGTGGGCACTTCCCATGCCTTCTTTCCTTCTCAGGGTTCTTTGACTGTGACAGCAAAATAAGTAAACCTCATTAACTCTCATTTGGCAATAGCCATGTAAAAAGAAACTAGTCAAGTAGTTCAGAGAAGACTCGGGACATTTGCCAAGTGTTGGTGAAACTTCAGATCTACGATCTGTCTGAAGCCCATGAGGTATGGAAGAGAGATCAGGCTGAGGTTTCGACCTTTTGACATAGATTATATGTGCTCTGAAAGAAAGGCTTCGGCAACAGATTCTTGATTACTTTCTATCATGGGAAATTAAACCTAGATGGCTAATTTCACAGGAAAGACTTCCTCTTTAAGAACCAGTTTTTGCAACGTAGACAGAGAACCGATGGGCAGTTAACAGTAAAAGCAATAGAAGAAAGTTGCAGGTGCATGTCTTGAATCTTACATGCAAGGTTTTCCATCTCTTCCGTATGGCACTCAGGTCTTTATCTTCCCTATCACCTCCACCGTAGTAGCAGCCAGAGAATGCCAACATATCAGGTTCAAACCTGCAGCAGGAAACGCCTAAGTTATAACAAATTCAATATGGATTTGATGGAAACATTGCAAATAGAAGGTATAGCTGGAAAAGAACTGCCCAAGAGTGTTCATTTGGGAACTACAAAAAGTCACTTAATATTCAAACAAATACCAAAGGAATTCCAACATTTTTCAATTATCAAGAAAGAGTGAGCAGGAGCAGCCGCTTTATGGTCTGTTGTACTGGCTTTCCCGGTTTGAAATTGTGTTGAACAGATTTCGCCAGGTCTCAGATTCTCAGCACTATTATGCAAGAAGCAATGAATTTTGACTGGATAGCCAAAATGGTAAGGGTAAAACAGCAATTGTACCGAAGGTGCAATGTGATATAATGCTTGCTTTTCGTCCTCATTCTGTTGACCAACACCTCGCCCATGTTCCTAATTGCCTTGGTGAACCTTAAACCATGGTAGTTAGCCCGGCATCGCAACTTCTGAAGCTGTGTATCCAATCTATTTGCCAGCCTGTAGTCAAACTTGCCTAGCTGAATTGCCTGTTTAAAAGTTAATTGCAGATTAACACTCGGCAAGCATAAGATATCCATTGAGGGAATTTAGTTCCATGCATTTAATTCAATTTATATTGTCCTAAAAACATAGCATATCTGAAGTTGACGTATAACCTACACAATCAGGTTCTCAGAAAGCCAGCATTATGAAGGCTTCATGACCTATAGCCTACCTAACAAATAAATGATATGCATGACCCAAGGCTCTTTGAGCCAGGAAACTTGGCTCAAACCTACATTTACATCACTCATTAAGTCTATCAGTTAGCAAATATCCACTTCAAAAGCAGAAAACCTCATGAAATATTTCAAAAGGAATGTCAGTAAGGGAGCAGTAGCTATATTGAAGTTTAAGCTTAGCAACCTTAACTCCACAGACCGTACATATCCTCATTCAAAGATGCGATGTACAACAAAATAGGTTAAGAAGAAAGGATGACTTAAAACTTACATGCCTTTTCAAAAGAGCAGGTAATACACGGGTTTCATAGCATCTCTCACTACACTTCCTTGCAACACGCATGCTATGGGGAGTCCAAGTCTTCCCACCCTTTCTTGGTAGCTCTTTTATGATTTTGACATCATTTTTCAGTGAAGAGATAAACCAATCAATATCAAAGATCTCCGAAAAATTACTGTATAAATGGAAGAAAAATCATACATATTAGACCATTAGCACCAAGACAAACTTGGAAGCCTTAAAATACTGATAAAGGCATCATTGATTGTAACCTTGAATCTTTCCAAAAAGATTTCTGGTCCAGCTTAGGCACAACAAGAGTAGCATTAAGAATTCGAGCAGCAACAACAGCATCTGTAATCTGCAAAAGAATGGGAATGAAACATAATCAAACAAATAATCTCTTAGCTAAAAGGCCTATATGATATATCTACGTCAGAAAAGATGTTCAGTGACAAGATTCAGTGAGCCCAATACAAAACTAAAAATAAACAGAACATTTACAAGGACAAACACCACCTTCATACTCTCAAGACAGTACTGTCAATTCCGAGGCATAGGATAATCACGATAGGTTAAGTACTTGACCTTCTATGATCTTCCAAATATTTATATCGCAATTCGATAACATTGGGGTGGGGTTTCACAATTAAGGGCTAAAATTTATCTACTTTAGTCTCTCCATACGTCCCAGATGGGCAAACATTTGATAGAGAAAATGAGATATTATATTATAGAATTGAAATGGAAAGCTTAAATAACTTAGATCGGCAACTACAAAGAATGGCTTCATGAACATACCCCGGTCCTCTGTTGATTCAGACCTCCACTTGTAGCGATCAGCAAATATCGATCTGGTTTTGTAACAGAGTCAGCATCTGCAATCAAACCATATGACATGAGTTGACTTGACACAGATGCAACATTCACAAAATTGGAAACCAATCTAAATGCAATTACATACTAGTCGAAAAGAGAGATTTTCCCCCCTACTATTATCCATTTCCAGCACTTGTATACCGTACGATCGTGACACAGCAATTACCATAAGTGCTGATTGACGAAGCAATTAAGACAAATCCAAATGAAAGGGGGAAAGTCATGTGCTTACTCCGAAAACCATGGCTGGCGTTGCTGCAGCCGTAGAAGAACTTGGAATTCCTCGAGCTCCAAATATCACGATCCAATGCTCCGCCACGCTCCTGCACCACCACCAACAACAACAAAAAATCAAATCAGGGAACAATACAACACAACACAAAAAAGGAGCTCCCCAAGAAGAAGAAATCCAATTCACAAATCCCTAACCGGCACGCGGAAAACAGGCAGGCTATCTCCCGCCGCAGACTCCGCACCAGCCTCGTCGTCGTCGGCCACGTGGCTCAGGCGATTGTCGTACATGTTGCCGGAATCGCTCGGGGAAGGGGCGAGGAACGAGAGGATGGCGAAGAGGATGAGGAGGAATCCAGAGACGGCGGAGACCAAGGGGAGAAGAGAACGGAGGCGGTTGTAATAGCTGTGGCGCCGCCTGTGGAACGCCATTCTCTTCTTTTCGATCCCTCTCTTCCCGAAGCTCCCCAGCTTTTCGTGAATTCTTATTCCTTTTTGCGGCGGTAATCGATGAATTATCTGAAGTTAGCAAAGAGACGGAGAAAATGGAGGAGCAAAAAAGGGAAACTGGATTTCTGGATCCACCGGCGGCCGCTAGAACTCCGGCATCGGGGTGGGTAGAAAAGGGGAGAAACGGGGAGAATCAATCGGGAATTCACTGGGATTTGGCGAAAGCAACAAACCAAACCGCCCGAATAGAAGAAAATAAAGGATGCGTTTTTTGCGCCTTTGGGTGTCGACTGTGGACTGGACTGGACTGGACCGGACTGTTACGGAGACGGGGAGTGGACTTTTTTAAATTTTTATGTCGACCTTTTTTTAGACTTCATTAATCAACAATCAACCATGGCTACATCGTATGTGACTGCTCATTTAGTACGATATTGTCCGCTTTGGGCCAAGCCCGCACAGTTTTACTTTTGGGTGTCCTCCCCAAAAGGCCTCGTACTAATGAGATTAGTGGACACTAATATACAAGGGTTCCTTCCTTTGTATAACCGATGTGGTACTTGGATTGTCCCATAACATCATAGCTGAACAAGGAATATCAAAGGTGGCTTATCTACCAATACCACTAGAATGTCCTATTGTGTTTCGCATTTCGTCATAAGATGAGTTGCATCATTTGTCGATCTACAAACAAAGAGAATCACTTCCTCTAATCTTGTGCCAATTGCCTTACAGATGTTCTTGCATATGGTACCCAATTTTGTAATAAATGGCTTCCCTACCTTTCAGCTTCTAAATCAGGGATAGACAATCTGTCTCGATTTGATAATTAGTCATATACATATTACCAGCCATCTGCACTCCATCGCCAGCGCCAAGACAAGATCCTCCTACCTGCACCATACCAGCAACAAGGGCTTCAATTGAAAATATTTCATTTGAACTATTGTATTTCGCTTCTTGTTTGTCGCTTTCTAGTTTCAAATAGTAATGATATGATAAAAACACGAGAGAGAGAAATGAATCACAGAACGAAAGGTAAAATAGAGAAGAAAAGCATGACTAACTATTTAAAGTTGAAGCCACTATTTGAAAATTAATGCACTTAAACATGTCATTTCTTTTACATTTAAGTGTGTTCAATAAGACTTTCAAATGAGACGAAAAGCAAAATCGTTCGAGGGATTACCATGACATGTTACATGTGTTGTTGTCATCTCCTCGTTGTTTTAGATTGAAGTTGTGTGCTTTGACTTTGAATTTCAAATTTCATGGTCATTGCAATGAGTTGGAAGGCTCTTCAACTGTGCATGCATCATGTTGTGCATGCATCATGTTCTTATTATTGGCCTTCAACATATTTGCTTTTGTGCTATAGAAAAATTGAAGCCCTCATGTTACACAGTAAACAACATAATTTTATAAAAAAAATTACATATTTATAATAAAACACAAAGATGTTAAGAAAAATAATAATCATTTTTAAACAAAATACATATACAAATCTATAATCGAGCATATTCAAATTGAATAATGAAAAAATCACGTTCTTGAATTATGATTAGACCCCACCTGACTAGATTGAATTAGATGAATTTTCACCATTATTTTTGCCATTAGAAGTGTGAACTCTCTTGGGGAAAAATTTAATAGTCAGCTCTCACATTTAATATTCCAACAACTTTTTTAACGCCAAGAGATTTTTTTTTTAACGCCAAGAGATGAACAGACCGAAATCCAATCAATTGCCCGCAGGCATTATAACGGACCCCATTTGCCGCCTGCAGGCAGCGCCGCTGTAAGCTTCGCCCACCTACATACTCTTCTCTCATCCTCTGATAGCGACCGCTAAGATTTAGTGTTCTTCTGAAGCTCGTCTCTAATTGCTTCTACAGCTGAATTTTTCTCGGAGGCAAACGGACTAGTGTTGAGAAGAGATGAACTCCTTGACTGCCAAGCCATCCATTTTTCTACCGAATCCATCTTCTTCTGTATCGAATGGGCCTCGGTTGCCCTCTTCTTTGGTGAGTTTCCGTTGGAGATCGAAGAGTGTCGCTGGTTGTGGAAGAGGAAGGTTGGTGGTGAGAGTTCAAGCTAGTGGAGCTGCTAAACCAGATGGGTCTAATGACACCAATGGCGCTCTGGTACCCTTTACAATTTTTCCCCTAACTTTTTGGGGGTTAATTGGAAGTTGTCTTTTTTCCCCTTTTCCTGGATTTTTGGTTTCTGGGTTTGGACTCTGCAGTAAAAAAATCAAACTTTGATGGACAGAGGAACAGGAGAGAAATCCTGATGGAGTATGTCAAGACCGTGCAGCCTGAATTTATGGAGCTCTTCTCCAAGCGGGCACCCCCACTGGTTAGTAAAAAGTTTGATCCTTTTGTTTTCCCCGTTTGAATGTTCTTTTGCTGATGAAATGGTTAAAAACTGAGAGTCCTCTTTGGTTCAATTTACTTCGTTCTAGGTGGTTGATGCTATGCGGCAGACTGTGTCAAATATGATTGGGACTCTACCTCCACAGTTCTTTGCTGTGACTGTTAGCACTGTAAGTGGATGTGGATATGCTGTGGATTGTGGTAATGCGGTTATGTGGTCGAGTATTGTTTGACAGATGAATTAATGTGTTGGTTTCGGGGTTTCAGGTAGCTGAAAGTCTTGCGCAGCTTATGTACAGCGTGTTGATGACTGGTTACATGTTTCAGAATGCTCAATACAGGCTGGAGCTCCAGGAGAGCTTGGAGCATGTTGCTCTTCCTGATGTGAAGGAGAAAGAGGTAGATGCTTCCTTGCTTCTAGGTCCATAGTATGCGAAGTTACTTGATCTGGATTTTTCAGTGTGTGGGGTAATCTGTGGGATAGTTCAATCTCTTTCATTTGTATATTGAATCGATTAGCTCTGAATGTTCATCAAGTGTGTACCCATACTTGTAATCCTTATTGTTTTAGTAGAATGATAAAGCGTGCTTTTGATGTAGCTGGATAATACAGATTATGCACCCCGTACACAGAAGAATGTAAGTGGTGAAGTTATTAGGTGGAACAATGTCTCTGGTCCTGAAACGATTGATGCTAAAAAGTATATTGAAATCCTCGAAGCGGAGCTCGAGGAACTGAATCGACAAGTTGGTAGAAAGTCCACACATGGCGGCAATGAGTTGCTTGATTACTGCAGGAATCTTGAACCCCAGAATATCAAGGTCAGATTTGACCAAGATGTAGTTATAGTGTTCTTTATTATGGATGGTTTCCTTATTATCGCGCATATGAGTTTTTCTAAAGGCAGCATGTTTTGTGAAATTGGTTTTTTTTTTTGTTCAACCACTGAATGGATATTCTGACTTTTTGGATCATGCTTTTGACGGAGTTGCAGGAGTTGAGTAATAGTGCTGGGGAAGATGCAGTTGTTGCAATGAACGCATTCATCAAGCGCCTTTTGGTGGTCACAGATAAAGAGAAAATGAAGGTTTTCCCCCACAATTAAGCTCTTTGTTCAGGAAACACATTTCTTGAGATTCCTCTTATGATAGATTTAGAAGCATCAGGAATGTCCAGTATGTTTTCTTATCAGGAATGTCATTCAATCTGGCTTGACTCCATTCATGAGCATGGTCATTTATAGAGCAGTTCTACCGAATTCTTAATCTTGACTTGCTAAAAGTTTGAACTTGTGAAGCGGCACTCCCCTGTAGATAAATGGAATTCCCTGGTATTTGATTCTTCAAACTTTGTTAATACAGGAAAATTACTCCCGAAAACAGCCGAGAGTTTTCACCGTTTGTCTCCTCCTTGTCTATACTTGTCTATTCAAGTTAATCGGTCATGTCATATAGATTTTCATCGGCACTATAGTTATGTCATTATCGTAAACATGTGTCTTGCAGACGAGCACGACAGAGACCAGTGCAGCTGAACTGGGGAAGCTACTCTACTGGCTGATGGTGGTTGGCTACAGCATCCGCAACATTGAAGTCCGATTTGATATGGAACGAGTGCTCGGTTCGTCCCCAAAGATGCCCGAGTTGCCTTCAGGAGAAGCCTAGAGTCTAATCTACACCTCCAGCGATCCACTGTGTTTGAAACCAAGGCAACAAGAGTCGATGTACCGTAAACATTAGTCGAAGGCATGGCATGTAATTGAGCATATTGTACAAAGTCACTCCGACTTCGAGTGCGACAAGCGAGCTCATGGAACAGCTTTCAGTTCATTTTATTTTTTGTCCCCATATCCAGGCAGTAGGCTTAGAAGCTATGCAATGCTCTAGGGACTATCTTCTGTTAATTGTTGGTTAGTTCAAATGAATTGGTGCTTATGCTGGGATTTGATTGATCATGGAAATTGGTCCCTAAACTTTATTTCATGACAAATTCATCGCTTGATTCTTAACTAACTGGTAGGATGGTCAACGCATCCACAAAGAACGAACTTGGTAATGACCTATGATTTAACTGGCCTTGTATCTTCTTGGTTTGATCGAGAATCGACCATGATAATTCCGGTGATCATGTTCTTTATCTACACAATCTAACTTCTCATGCAACCGAAGCACCAACTATCATTCCACTACTTTATTCACAATACCATACCGAAAATAGTCAATTGAATTGGTGACCAAGTGGAAAAGATTGTATCATATAATTCGCTATCGTACAACTAGTCCCGCCGATCTGATCTCCAAATCCATGATAACTTGATATTCAATGCTCACAAGAATGTTGACAGATCAGTTCACAAAATAAATGGATCAAATAGAAGTATGGTACATTGAACAAGATGGAACATCTCGACAAAATTGAGTGAATTCAATAAAAATATTACCAGCACAAGCTGTAAGAGGAAATATTTTACAGCATTTGATTTCACTCTCCTTCACCCCTAGTATTTCCTACCATCTAATCTAATGCCTTCCTTCAGTAGAAGACAATGCTAAGGAACAAGTTTTTTACCCACACAACAAACGATATACGAATATGGATGACATAATTTATCTAGCGGCGGCCAAGTTACAGTCATGTATCTTTGCCACTCAGAAAGATTGATTCCCCTGTTTCGCCAGGGGGTAACAAGAAACCTGAAAATTTCCAAATCTGAACCAGAGCTTCATTCCCAGACTGAAACTACAGAAATGTAGCTCCGTCTTGTGCTTTGTGGGTGCCCCACGGTCAAGCATCGGCCATAGGGTAACGGTGTTCTGGCCACTTGGGGTACGCACGTTTGTACAAGCCCATGCATACGGTGTCATGCTGCTGTAGGACTCCATCGAACAAGCACTTCATGGCACCTGACGAAAGCATAAACAGAAAGTGTAAAACACTAGATGAAAAGGGAAGTATGAATGGGAAATCTGGCAACGCGAGAGGGGACACATTGGCAGAATAACGGGAGGGATGGAGTATTGGTATATGCGAGTCCTGAGCTGGGGTCAGGAGTGGGATTGTTCAGGTTTAATGAAAAGTCTGAAAACCATTTTCCCACTCCTAGCTGAGGTCGTGACAACAACATGAAATTTAATCCAAGTGGAGAGAGAGCACCATACCATGTGTGCCAACAGGTTCCCTGACGCGACCACGACGCCCATATTTTGAGAAAACTTCCACAGGCTGCATAGCATAACATGAAATAATCAAGGGTAATTACACATGGATCTCACAAGCTAAACCACCTGGACTGAAAATCGATCAGACACCATTACATAACACGTGACATTCTCTTACCTTAAACCACCTCACATCTTCTGGGTTATGGAACATGTATCTTACAGTAGCCTTCCGTTTTGAAACTCTTTGCGGATAGCTGCAAGACAACATCAATGGACAAAATCAAATTTACCATAACAAAGAAGAGGCAACACAGTAATCATAAGTAAATTGAAACTTCATGAAATAAAGAACGAAGTCATTTATAAAATAAATAAAAAACAATAAAGAACAAAGTCTACATACCCAGTTAATATAATCTTCTTCAAAATTATCCTATCCGGGTTAATGCTTCTCAAGGTTCCAAAAGCAGCAACTGCTGGTGCACCACCTCCTTCAATCTTCTTCAGAGCAATCAAGGGTAGCGAAGGGAAAGAAATTGGAGCGTAAATTGATGCCATGGCAAAGTGACCAGGATGAAGGAATCTCTCCATCTTGTGTTTATCTGAATTAATGTTATCAGTAGAGAAAATTGGCCTGAAAAGCAGAGAGCAAGTAAGTTTCCATGAATAAATTTTAGAGAAAGCAAGTTCGATAGTCAGGGATACAGGTATATTACCTAGCAACAAGTTGCCGAAAACCAACATGAAACAGTAATTCCTCTTTGGATTTAATAGGTGCATCATATGTATCATGCTTCTTTATGCTGCATACATTGCCAAATAAAACCATGAGACAAAATCCCCACTTTTACAATAGACAAACATAGAACATTGGCTAGATAAACATACCTAAAATGCAGAACAGACATCTTGGACTCGTGCTGCAACAGTCCACTGGCTATGAGAGGAGCTGCCTTTGCAACTTCATATAACTTATGAGCAATGTGCATAGGTACATCCTTGATGTGAAGCCTTACATACTGGCCAGCTTGTACACAGTCATCGGAGTCTGCCTGCTCCATTTCTGAGGCCTTCGCAAGAACATGTTTCTGTGTCTTTGGAAAATTGTCAAATGCGAAAATTCGGGCATAATCTGCAGGAAGAGATTCCTGAAAATGAAGAAAAAGATATCACATGATGCACCACCCAAGGATATGAGTACAGAAAAATAAAAGGAGATATCATAGCATCTATTACTTTAGGGTCCCATGATGAGGTCCTGAAGGATTTGAGACCTCTGTACTTTGCGAAACGTTTCCTGGCAGGAATACCAAATGGAGTATCCACCTCATCAGGAAATTCTGCGCACAAAATGATAGAGTGAGAATTTTAAAAAATTATGTAGGACAATGACACTGCGAAACACAACCTGGTAGTTCAATGATTTAAGCTTATAAATTCGAGGGACGAAGGAGACATACATAAGCAAATGAGTATATTATATGTAAGCGTGTGCATGGTCAGGTCCAGTCCAATATAAGACCACATAGGAAAATAAAGACAAAATGAGGTCCAGAATCGTATCAGTAGCCCATTTGTTATATACCCTCGTCTTCAGCATGGGCTTCTTTGATTTTTCTGATTTCTTCCTCTACCTGTTCCCTTGTTAAGTTTTCACCTTCCTGCATGAAATTGTAAAGGGCATTTGAGGTTGACTGAGCTTGCCATACACACACTAGTAACTGCTACTGCTTCTGTGCTTACCATCATAACAGAAGCAGTTTCTGTATCACCGTCCATTTCCTCAAGATCCAGAGAAGCTCGATCATCTTCAAAGCCATCATCATTAGTGTCCCCTGGACCAGTAAAATGACCACCTCCTTCATCCAGTATCATGCCATCATCAACATCACTGCAACTATCTGAACCTTCTTCATCTGAACTATCCACAATCCATGCAGCCTGCAAAGATTAGAGATTAGAGGATATAAGTATAAAGATAATAATTCATGTTATGCTAAATAGTAGAGCTGAAAATATTGAGTCTGGACTTGCATAACAGAGCACACGGACCTGGTATTCTGAAGTACCTCGAGGAAGAACTTTCTTTTTCACGGCCTTTTGTTTTTGGTTTCTATCAGCCTCCTCCATTTCAGCTTCTGTTGGCCAGGTCTGTCAAGCAAGGAAGAAGGAAAAGTGCAATTGAACTACATCGCATATGAAAAGGTGTTCTAATACTAAGATTTAAGACAGCAAAGAAAAGGAAAGAATAGTTCGTTTGTGAATGTAACCATACTTTGTGATCATATACTGCAATTATAAAATTACAAGCTTTTTCAAATTACCTGTTCTCCCGCGAGTGGATCGGGCACATTTTCGACAAGCAAAGGCACCTGTGCCAAAGGATCGGGAACCAGAGTACGGATAACCTAGGATGATAAAGCCAAAAGCAACAAAGCAAACTGCAAGCTTCAGAAGACGTATGACATGTGGGACACCTGACACTTGATACAGCTGATAACTATGAGACAACAGGTAAACATGATTGGATTCGGTTAAAGCTATGACTATTTTACCACAATAGACTAACTATACAAGTCACTAGCTGATATCATTAGGAAAAAATGTGAGAGTACCTCCACATTAAGCATGTCATCTGCATCCATTGCATCCGCTTCTTTTCTTAAGTTGAGAGGACAAGCATCCCTCAGAATTTCAATTTTCTGTAGTTGGAAATCCCCAGCACCAGAAACATGAACCTGAAATAAGAGGAGGGCAGTACCAGATTAACACATGAAAGCTGATTATATACCAATCCCCGACAAACTATTCAAATAACAACTCATTACCAGCTGATTCACGGAGAGGCTGCGAGCACGTAAATAACCTGTCAGAAGTAGGGTAGAATTGGGCACATTGCTGCTGTCAGCAACTACATCAACCTACAAGAACACATTTTCAAAAGAGACAACTGTAATGTAACATTCTCAAAATGTAGCAGAAGGAAAATGGAGAATGAATCCTAGGTCCATATAAGAACCATGGGGTAATGAATCCTACAGGACAGTTGAATCTTCAATTTACTGCAACTCTATCAAGTTGTCAGTTCCAATAGCCAAGACCAAATATAAGAACCATGGGGTAATGAATCCTAGGTCCATATTTCCCAACCATCAGAACTTATTTATTAAGCAATGGAGTATATCAATGTTCAGAGGAATCAAATCGAATCGAATCCTCGGACGAGTCTTCTCAGTATAAAACTTGTAATTTGTAACATTACATTCTTTCTTACAACCCAATCACAAGAAAGTAAATGATATAAGGTAGCACCTTTTGAGACATAAGATAAGGTCTTTGACTTCTCCAATGAGGTGCCGTGAGCCTCTGCTCCTTAAATAGCGATAGGAACTGCAAGCCATGTCCAATGTGAATGAGGGAGATAGAGATTGCATGAGCGCCAGAATGAGTAAATATGGAGAGATAGGGACTAAGAGAACCAAAAACTCAAGGCACAATACTGTGTCAGAAACAGAGCATTCCGAGTTAAATGCAATTACCTTGTGCAAATCATCTTTAGTATCTGCAGGATAGAACTTGCAATCCTCAGGAAACTCACCAGCAAGGCAGGAAGAGCATATCTTCTTTACCTCACTTCTCCCTTTTAGCTCCACCGGAAGACCCTGCAGAAGAACATACACATGTAATTAAATAAACCTTGCCTTGACATTTAATTGGCTGAAGCCTTAATGAATTTGATGAGGAAAGTACGCTTTAACAACTTACACGGATCAATACTGCTGTGCTAGGCAAACCAAGTGCCCTGAATACTGACAAACACTGATTCCCAAAGGAATCCATGTAGTCGGCAGTACCATCTTCGCAGAAGGAGTCTGCTGATGCCACAAAAGCAATCAGATCAGCAACCTACATCCAAAACCATGCCAAACACGTCAAGAAAATTTATAAGGGGCAAAAGAAGCTCTCAACTCTCAAGACGTACAAAACTGAACATTTTCTTACAAAATCACATCATACCTTTGCCATTTCCATGCACGATAACAAATCACCATGAGGTGCTTTCTGCACCTGAATTTCCCGCACAAAAAATGAAGACCAATTAGTAGACATGGCGAAAGTGACTGCTTATCTCAGTACAAAGTTCAATGATCCATATGACATACAGTCTTCACTTCAGGTGATGACAGAATCAATACACTGGCAGCATCACACGGAAAATCAATCCTTTGCATGAAATTTCAACATTGAAATAGCTAAGTGATCGAATCACTATTCAGATCTAATAAATTTATGTAAGCTCTATCTTGATTACTAAATTGCTTAAGTTTATTCCAATTAAGAAGTGACTCCACAATGCTAAGCATTCAGTCAACTGTAAACATGTAGATACCCATCTCATTTCTCACCACAAAAGGAGGATCTTTAATTCGCGCCAATCAAAAAACAAAACTCGAAGCTCATGGATGTAGAAAGGTAAGCAACCTACCGTTGCTCTCATTCTGTACTCTGGTGAAGCTATTACTTCGGATGAACGGCCAGCATTTTGAGGAGATAACACATTTGAAAGATCTTCAGCAAGTGAATCCACATTCACGGAGCCAGATAAGCCAAAAAGCAACTGGCAGCATTAAAAAGAACCATGAGACTAACTGAATTTGTCATATCTTCTGCAAGGCAAAGTTCTAATACTAGCAACTAAACACACTCACAATAACTCGTGGAGGGCTTGTTGTTCCACTTGCCGCCCTTTTCTCCTTCAAAACAGCAGCTCGCTTCTGCTCCCGCAGCTACAAAATTCCAAACATAAACACGAACAATTCGTCCCCGTCGTCAGAGGAAGCATAACTTCCCAATCAATTAAACATCAACCAGAACACTAAACACGCTAACTTACCATCTTGTTGCGATGAAGACGAGCAGCTCGACCTCCTTTTGCCACATTTTTGTCCGATTTCGCAATTCTATTCTTATCTAATCGTTCAGAGAGGAGCAGAGAGCACTCATAAGCAAGCCAGAATGGGAACGATAAACTACAACGGGGCAAACATGGGGAGGATTGGTGGAGAGCAGACCTTTGAGAGAAACTTTGTGAAGGTTGCGCGTCGATTTGGAAGCGAAGCGAGTCTTGTGAGCTTTGTTGACTTGAACTCGAGATCCTCCCATGGCTCCTCGCAGCTTGTGCTGTTCGCTTGCGTCTGGTTTTCTCACTTTTCACAGGGCATCAAGGGCGGACGACGAGTTGTCTTCGTCTTTAGTCTCTCTTCTAAAACTCTTCCCCAAAAACCCTACCTCTCATTAAACACTAAACTTTGTTGGCGGCAGTAATCGACGAGGATGAACGAACTTAACTAACACCGCTTGTGGTTGAAACTTGGGCTGGATTGAGGCCCAGAATTCTTTCACTTCCCGCGAGAATCTAGGATTTAACGGGCCAATTGGACCGAACCCCCATTTTCTGCACAATCTTATTGTCAACCAGTGTCTTGGGCTTTCTGCATTCAGCCGAAGGAGTCTTTTCAACATGATTATTCTTCTTCTTAACATCGGGTAAAATACCTCCGGATCCATTTAAGTTTGATAACTGGGTTAGGCATATCATTTAAATTTGAATAAGGCATCGAGTATTATTAAAGTCGTCAAAACTATATTTCAACAAGTTTTATCTAATATAATAATTACAAAATCTTCTAAATATATTATTGCTAAAATGACTAATCAAAATTTTTCAATAAAATAGATAAATTAGTAAAAATAGTAAACGAATATAAAGAAGAATAAAAATATATTAGAATATAATCATATATATTTAAAGCCTCTAATTCAATTAGAAGCACCATTAGAAATAGTTAAAATAAAACCTAATCGATCATCATTACATGATTTACATCAAATTCAAAGAAGGATAAATGGAACACAATCAGAAAGAATTAAACATATTCCACTAATTGAGAAAATTTAGAATGAAAAGAGATTGAAAGCAACCAGGTAATAAATAAAATATAAAAGCTACAACATTTGGTAAAAACTGTAGAAAAGAAAATATTATTATAAAAGCTACAGCATTGTTTAGTTACAACATTCATGGAATAATTCAATTATTAGAACACACAATGATATTGAAAATAATTATAATGATAATTGATTTTAAATTTTCTATTCAAAAATTGGTTTTGTATCAAGTATTCAAAAGAGGATTCTAACTAAACAATAAAAAATATGTTTTTCATAAGTTCAAATGGTTTTTTTACATTAAGAAAAGTAGAAGGACCGATTATGCAATTTAGAAAATGGAATATTCAAAGAATATTCTGTCAACTTTAACGGAATGCACTTAGCAGTAAATTTAATTGGTATCGAGTGCACATATAATAGAGTTCAGTGGTACCCAACGCCTTATTCAAATTTAAGTGATATTTCTACCCCAATTCTCAAACTTAAGTGGCACCCAATGTATTTTACCCTCTTAACATCCCAACCATTTTTTTCTTATAAGACATTGTTTATTTCATTTAAAAAACATATAATCAGTTAATGTTAGATTGTTCAAACCATGAATTATAAATAATTGTTGGGGGGCATATAGTGAGTGGCCCAAGTAAGGAACCAGGAATGAGATTTGGGCCAGGAGTGTGGGCCTGATCCGAGAAAGGGCTAAAGGCCATGACCTAGGTGGTGGAACCGGGTCTGAAGCAGGGCGCATAACGACAAAAGGGAAGCAACGGCCAGGAACGTACGGAGGGGACAAGAGGTGGGGTCGTGCGCCTTCGGAGCCAAGATCGGTGTCAGAATGGCAGGGCGCCTGGGGGAAGGAAGGTACAGTGCATTTAATGAGGTGATGACGTGGGGCGGATTTGGGGGGCACTGGTCGGCCCTACCCCGAGTATAAATAGTGAAGTGGGTGGAGCTCATTTACTCAGGTTCCAACTTCTCTCTAAACTTGCATCTCACTTCTCTCTCTAGGAAGATCGTTCTGACTTGGGCGTCGGAGTGCTAACGAACCCTAGCCAAGGGGTTCGCTGGGCGCCGTGGTGTGCAGGTTACGGACGTGAAGCTAGGGCGCAGAGGGAGCCAAAGAAGTATGGGAGCCATCCGAGGCGGGGGGAGTACGTGGCACAAACAATTGGCGCGCCAGATAGGGGAGTATAGCCTTGACAAAGCGGCACAAGTATGGAAGGGGCATCGGAGACCGCGGACGAAAGGAGCCACGCCCCAAACGAGGCTGGTTCGGAAGGAGCACCTCATGCCTCCGAGGAGGCGCAGGGGGAGGAAGATGAGGCGCAGGGGACGGTTCAGTCGGAGGGCGACACGCTGACCAAGGAACACTTGATCAGCATCATAGAGGAGCAGGCTCAGGCGCTTGAAGCTCTGAGGAAGGAAGTGGAAGTTCTGAGGAAAGGGGGAGACGTCGCGCCTCCCTACGGCGGAAGGAAGAGGGACAGAGAGGAGGAAGAAGATGGAATGACAAGCGCGTTAAGGCGTACGGAGGATGCGGGCCACCCGGTCAGGCGAGAGGCGCCAGACCTCGAGGAGCGCAATACATGGGCGCCGAGGCGCCTGGGGCGTCCATGGGGAGTGAGGCAACCTTTGGCGCGAAGTGTTCTAGCGGAGCAGGCCAACTCGGTCATACCGCGGCTTCCCAGTTACGATGGTACATCCGACCTGGAGGATCACCTGAACAATTACTTCACCAAAATGCAACTGTACAACAGCTCGGACGCCACGCTCTGCCGCGCCTTCCCATCAACCTTTGTCGGCGTGGTGCTGGACTGGTATCACCAGATTGAAGAGGGGAGGATCGACAGCTTTGAACAATTCGCGGCCATGTTTCTCTCAAAGTTTGCCAGTCGGAAGCGCCGGAGCTTAACGATCAGCGCATTGTTTAAGGTCAGGCAGAGAAAAGGAGAGGCGCTCCGGGACTTCTACGAGCGATGGATATCAGTTGCGATGGCGGTCAAGGATGTGAAGCCGCCGGTCCTGGGGTGTTGCTTGGACGAGTGTACCAACAGCGAAGAACTTTGTCGAGCGCTTTCGAAGCGCGACGTGGTGTCCACGGAAGACTTGGACCGCCGGGTGCAGAAGGTCATAATGTTGGAAGAGACGTTGGCCGCAAGGAGGTTGGAACGGAGAGAGACGCGCCCTGACGAGGCAGAAGCGGCCCGGACGCCCCGACCGACCCCTGCCTTGCAATGCGCGCAGGGCTACCCCCAGAACGCTCGCCGGCCCGAGCCTTCACGCTTTCCCCCCAGGAGCACCACAAACTTCACCGAACTCAACGATACTTTGAGGAACGTGCTGCAATACGCGATAGATAAGGGATATCACCTTCGCTGGCCGGGTCACATGCGGGGGCGCCCAAATGAGCAAAACTTGGATAGGTTCTGCGAGTTCCACCGTGAGAGGGGGCATCACACGGCCGACTGTTACCAACATAAGTCGGAGATCCAGGGGCTAGTGGACAGGGGGATGTTGAACGAGTTCGTAAAGAAGGTGGAGGAAAAGGCGCACCGGACCTTCATGGCGCACGAGGAGAGGGCGGCGACACCTCAGGGGAGCGAGAGCGAAGAGGGAACTGAGCGCGTCCGTATGGAGGCGCCGGAGGGAGGCAGAAAACTACGGCCTCCCCCCTTTGATGTCGAGCCAGAGACCAACCCCACCCGGGTGAGGTTGACAATTGAGGCTATCTCTGGTACGATCGATCTAAGGCAGAAGTTGGAGGAGGGCAGACGGCTGAAGTCGGCCACCGCAGTGCACGCGCAGCCGTGCGAATTCATTTCAACGAAACACCTGAGGAGGCGTGTCGGGTTCCGTCGGTGGAAGCGTTGGAGATCAGGGGAGTGGTGGCTGGATGCGAAGTGAAGAGAATGCTGGTAGACACGGGAAGCTCGATGGACGTATTGTTCCAGTCTACCTTTGAGAAGATGCAGTTATCCCCGAGCATCGTGAGGCCGGCGGACACGGTCCTGGTTGGATTCTCCGGGGTGCCCGCGCGAGTCGTGGGGCGCGTGCGCCTACCTGTGACGCTGGGAGAGGAAGAGCACAGGGTCACGCACACCGTCGACTTTGGCATCGTGGACTGTCCCTCCAACTACAATGCCATTTTAGGGCGCCCACTTTTGGCCCTATTCAACGGGGTGGCGTCGTCGTGTCACCAGGTCCTAAAGTTCGTCACCCCTAAGGGGGTAGGAGTGTCAAGGGGCGAAGCGTCGCAGGAGGCCCGCCTCGTCAAGAGAATGAGGATGTACAACATAGATGTGCGGTCCGAAGACTTACCAAGGGCGGAGGCGGCGGACGCCGAGATTCAAGTGCCCCTGGATGACGAGCGCCCCAAGAGGTGTGTGCGCATCTCTGCCCATACGAGCGGAGAGGCGGTCGAATCACTAGTTGAATTGCTGAAGGAGTTCACAGACCTGTTCGCTTGGAGCGCCCGCGAGATGCCCGGGGTAAGTCCGGAAGTGGCGGTATATCGCTTGTCGGTGGAGAAGGGCGTGCGCCCTGTGCAACAGAAAAGGCGGCCATTGTCAGAGGAGAAGGAAGAGGCGCTGCGGAGGGAAGTGAGGAAGTTGCTCGATGCCGGATTCGTAGAGGAGGCCAAATATACAACATGGTTGTCCAACGTGGTGCTGGTCCCGAAGGCACTGGGCGATTGGAGGATGTGTGTCGACTATACAAGCTTGAACCGAGTGTGCCCATCCGATACATATCCGATGCCCCGCATCGACCAGCTGGTGGATGCGACTGCCTACCATGAGGCACTGAGCTTCTTAGATATGTTTTCCGGCTACCACCAAATCCTCATATGCGAGGAGGATAGGGAGAAGACCACGTTCATGACCTCCTTTGGCAATTTCCGTTACAAAGTCATGTCCTTCGGGTTGAAGAACGCGGGGGCTACCTACCAACGCATGGTGAATACGGTGTTCCAAAGGCAAATTGGGAGGAACGTAGAGGCATATGTGGATGACCTGGTGGTCAAGAGTAAGAGAAGGGAGGACCACCTAAGGGACCTGCGCGAGACATTCGACACCATGCGCTCTCATTCCCTTCGCCTCAACCCCCTCAAGTGCGTTTTCGGCGCGGAGGCGGGCAAGTTTCTAGGCTTCATGATCACGAAGAGGGGAATCGAAGCCAACCCGAAGCAGGTGGAGGCAATCAGGCGCCTTGAGCCCCCAAGGACACCTAAGGAGGTTCAGAGTTGAACGGGCGCCTGGCGGCGCTAGGGCGATTCATACCCCGGTCGGCTGATAAGGGCGCCCCCTTCTTTAGAGTCCTAAAGAGGGCTGCGTGATTCAAGTGGACGGAGGAGTGCGATGAAGCGTTTGAGAGGCTGAAGTGCCTCTTGGTATCGCCGACTGTTATCACGGCGCCCCAAGCAGGCGAAGTGCTATACTTGTACATAGCGGTATCACGGACGGCGGTAAGCGCGGTACTCGTCTCGAGAGCGGGGGCGGATGGAGAAGAGCGTCGTGTATACTACGTGAGTAAGGTGATGACGGGTCCCGAGACGCGCTATGCGCCTATAGAGAAGGCGGCCTTGGCCGTAGTAGCCGCAGCGGAAAAACTGCGCCTGTACTTCTAGGAGCACCCCGTGGTAGTGCTCACGAACCTGCCTTTGAGAAGCACGCTAGGATCCATGGACGTGGCGGGGCGCATGGTAAAGTGGGCAGTACAGCTGAGCGAGTATGACATCAAATACGCGCCCCGCCGAGCAATCAAGGCGCAAGTGTTGGCTGACTTTGCGGCAGAAGGGGTTGTGAGCAAAGGGGAAGAGACGAGCGAAACTTGGCAGGTATACGTCAACGGGGCGGCCAGCCGAGTCGGAGCAGGAGCAGGGATAGTGGTCATCAATCCCACGGACGCTATGCATGAGCTGGCGCTCCGGTTCTCTTCACTAAAGACCAACAACGCGGCGGAATACGAGGCCGTGATAGCAGGATTACGCACGGCGCGAGAGTTGGGGGCGCGAAGGGTTCGGGTACGCTCTGACTTAGCCTTGGTGGTAAACCAACTGAACGGCGTGTTTGAGGTGAAGGAGGAGACATTAAACGTGCACCTGAAAAGGATAGAGGGGATGCGTGCTTGTTTCGCACAAGTGGAGTTCACGCATGTCCCGAGGGAGGGGAATGCCCACGCGGACGCTTTGTCAAAACTGGCCACGGCTACCGACTTCGAGAATGAGAGGCACGTCATTGTCACGAAGGAGCACCCGTCAGAGGAACAAATGGTGGGAGTGGTCGGAGAGCAGGATTGTGAGGAGCAAGGGTGGATGACCCCGATTAAAGCATATCTAATCCATGGAGTGATCCCCGAGGACGCAAGGCAGGCATGGCAGGTAAGACGCAAGGCGGCCCGTTGCGTGATGATCGACGGACAGCTGTACAAACGGTCGCATTCGGGGGTCTACCTGAGGTGCCTCACGGAAGGAGAAGGAGAACAGGCAATAGCAGAGGTGCACCATGGCGCCTGCGGCATGCACGCCGGCGCACGAAGTCTCGAGAAAGTGCTGTTGCGCCAGGGTTATTACTGGCCCTCAATCAGAAAAGATGCCAAGAAACACGTAGAGAGCTGTCACCAGTGCCAGATCCACTCCCATGACATCCACGTTCCGCAGACCCCCATGCACGGTAATGTAGGCGCATGGCCATTCGCACAGTGGGGGATGGATCTGCTGGGGCCCTTCCCTAAGGCGCCCGGACAGATGAAGTACCTTATTGTGGCGGTCGACTACTTCTCAAAGTGGGTGGAAGCGGAGCCCTTAGCGTCCATCACCCAGGCTCAGGTCAGGAAGTTTACGACCAAGAATATCTTCTCGCGGTTTGGGCTGCCCGAATCAATCATCGCTGACCATGGTAAGCAGTTCGACTACCGTCAGTTCATCGAATTCTGTGACAAAAGCGGAGTAATCCTCCGCTTCTCGTCAGTGGCTTACCCTCAAGCCAACGGGCAGGCTGAGGCGGCTAACAAGAGCATCTTACATGGGCTCCATACGCGATTATTGGAGGCCAAGGGGAGATGGGTGGAAGAGCTCCCGGGAGTGCTCTGGGCGCATAGGACGACGCACAAGGTTGCAACAGGAGAGACGCCATTTGCGCTAACTTACGGTAGTGAGGCGGTCATCCCGGTTGAGATGCGCTTTCCAACACACCGCATGGCGAAATATGAGGAGCCGGCAAACGGTGAGGAGCGTATACATGACCTCGATATGCTGGAGGAGCGCCGGGACATTGCTTCCGTACGTCTCGAGGCCATGAAGCAGCAGGTGGCCAAGTACTATAACCGCAAGATGCGCCCACATCAGATACGCCTGGGCAGTATGGTGCTCCGCCGAGACTTCCGGCCCGAGCCATGTGAGGGAAAGCTCGCTCCCAAATGGAAAGGTCTGTACCGTGTTCGGGAGGTGATAGGACCAGTCACATTCAAGCTGGAGCGCATTGGGGGGAAGGCTATCAAACGAACATGGGACGCACAGAATCTCAAGGTGTATCATGGGACCGAAGGGAGAGAAGCCGCCGAGTAGCGCGATGGTAGCAAGGGGAAAGGCGCCTGCATTTTGGCTGGTAGCGGAAAGTCAGTAGGTTAGGTGTAAGGGGAATTATTATTACTGCAAGCGCGTCGCCCCACGGGCCGGGAAAGAATATCGTAAAGCGCCCTCCCTTTTGCGCCATAGGGTCATAGCAATGTGTATTGTAAAGCGCCCTACTTCGCGCCTTAGTGTTATGACAACGTTGGTGGTAAAGCGGCCTATTTTCACGCCTTAATATCGGGACATCATTGTTGGTAAAGCGCCCTACTTTCGCGCCCTCGGAATTACGTTCGTCTTAGGCATAAAGAGCCCAATACAGTGCGCCCATGTGATTGGTCTCGTAAAGCGCCCACACACTATGCGCCTTGGGAACGTCCCACTCGAACTCGTGGCTAGTGATGCTTAACATAAGGCGCCAAAGAAAGGCGTATGCAGAAAGCGAAGTAAAATGGCTCAAAAAACTTGACAGGGTTCGTTGCATTAATGAAAATGGTTACATTTAGGATAAGTAAAATGGCTAAACGACGGTTCACTCCTCACTCTGAACCGTCCCCTCCGGCGTCCCCTACTGCTTGGGGGAGCGCCTCTCTCCATCACCGGTCACCACCTACGCTCTCTTCCTCCTGCTCCTCTTCCTCTCCATCGCCCCCTTCACCCTCCTCATCAGGCGGGGGGACGTCCAAACCTACAATAGGCTCCAGAGCACTGGCCTTGCGGCCGCTGTCCATGAATTTGAGGATGTGCATGATCATGGCCATGGGGTCGAACTCCACCTCGGGTACATCCTTGTTGAACTTATCCCTAAGGATCTTCACCGTGTCGATCACGGTGTCCACTTGGAGGTGTTTCCCCGCCGCCGACTTGGAATAATTGGAGAGGTCTTTCTCAAGACGTGCCGCCTCAGCAATGGCCGCCTTCAACTCTTTCTTGCACTGCTCATGAGCTCTGCAAGCCCTCTTCAAGGCGTCCGAGGACTTTCGAGCATCCGCATAATACTTGTCACGCTCGTCGGTGAGTGTCGCTTGCCTCTCACGCAGCTCCTTCTCTACCTCGGCCGCCTCAGCTTGCATGGCAGCGGCCTGCGCGTCATAGCGCTTCCTGCATTCCTCCTCAACGGAGGCCTTAATCTTTGCGCGCTCCGCCTTGAGTTCGGTGGAGAGCTTAGACGCCCAAGCTTGGGCCTCCTTCTGCGCTTCGTCCCGCGCCTTACTCAACGCGTCTTGCGCCTCGCGGGCAGCAGCCAGCTCGTTTTGAAGGCGCTCCGCGGCGCCCTTTGAGGCCGAGCTCTCTTTGGCCATACGATCGAATTCACGCGCAGTGGATTCGATCAGCATCATCATCTAGTACATGCACAAAGTAACTAAGTTAGACTCAGAAGCGGTAAATACTTTGAAGAACAAGGAAGGAAGCCGGTCAGACAGGCGCCTTATCAGAACGTTGAGATTGGCCATTGTGCGAAGGGGGCGGTTGGAGTTGAGGTGATCGGGGCGCTCAATCACGGCAGCATGGGACAACATCATCTGCATGGAGGCGCCCGGATCTTTGGCCACCCTGACAGGTACACCCACAACGACCTTCTCCAATGGTCGGGACGGAGGTTGAAGGTAGGGGGGTATGACCTTCCCTGTGTGTTTTCCAATGCTGGGCATAACCAGGCTGGCTGGCACACCTGAAGCTATCACGTTGTCCAGCTTGGCCTTCTTCGCGGCCGAGAGAAGCGGCTCGGCAGGCCTCTTCTCCGACGCCTGGGTTTGGGAGGCAGAAAGAGGAGTTTGGGACGTGGCGCCCTGGCTACATGGTGAGGCGCCCGTGCTGTGATGCTCCTCGTCAAGATTGATGGGAGAGTTGTAGGATGGCTTTGGTGCTTCGTTCGTGGCGGGAGATCCCGCACCCCCGGAAGGCGCAGGGGGGTTAGCAATAATTCTCAGCCGCACCTGCTTCCTCGGCGCAGGTTGAGACGACCCAACAGGCGCCTTGCTGGTCTGGCCGCGCTTCCGAGGCGCCTTTGGCGGAATGAGATGAATCTTCAAACGTATAAGGTCCGAGATGTTAGTAAACACGGTGCCTGCGATAAAAGACAAAAACACATGTCTGACAAGGCGCATGAAAGGTGGAAAGGTGCGAAAGTGAGACTTATGAAACTACTATCATTATAGAACTCCGCTAAATAGCGGGCGTAGGCATCGTCCTTCCCAAAGTTTATTGGCACCGACGCAAGGCACCGCGCCATATCTTCCTCTACCTTGTTTAAGGGAGGGTGCTGATTGAACTCAGTCTCGTCCCCAAAGGACCACCGTGTCAGCGGGGCAGCGCCACTTTCAAAGAAAGGCGTGTCTCGAGGGCGGACGAAGAAAAAAGACTCAAACCATGAGCGCCCCATTTTCTTGCCCTTGCTTATGAAATGGTACCCCAGCTTTGAGCGCCTTTGTAGGCTGAAGCAATTCAGGCTTCTAATCATGGTAAAAATGTGTTGGAAAAGCTTGAAGGAGGGTAGGATATTGTGTTGGCGGCACTTAAGGCGGAAGAGGACGGTGTATAAGATGATAACGGGCGACAGGCGCCCAAGGGAACACCGGCCTAGATGCAGCACGCCCTCAAGGATGGGGTCGATAGGGAACCTGAGACCGAAGCGGGCGTACTCTTGGTACACGCCGATCCAACCTTCGCCGCAAACCCCCACGCGCGCGATAGGTGAGGGATGCGCGTACCGCCAGTCGGCGGGCATCTGCGCCGCTCGGATTAGGGAAGTGAAGCGGGAATATAGGATTTTGGAGACGTGCGGCAGCCCGGCGTCTTCCTCGGACATTCGGTCGATGTCCGTGGGCATATACCCAGGCGGCCACATGTTGCCCCACTAGCTTATCCCAAACTCGCGAGGCGCGCCGGTGCCTAAGTAAGAAGAAAAGGAGGAGGTCAAGAGCGGCGCTCATGAGGAAGGATGCTAGGATGAAAGAAGACGCTCAAAACACGAGGCGGAAGGAACTTGGGAGACGAGGGGGATAAGCGATTCTACTTACGGAACAGCCAGTGTAAGGACGACGCACAAGAAACTTAAAAAGCGCATAAAGAGGGGTAAGGCGTGTAGGTACCTGGAGCAGCGGCAGATGCAGCTGAAGGCGCCGCGTTGGAAGGCGGGACGTTTGCAGGCTCCGCACTTTGAGGCGCGGCATGGGGAGGCGCAACATCTGTAGGCGCCGTCTTGGGAGACCTTGGCTGGTTGGAGGATGCCATGAGATGTGAACAAAGGTGACTAGCGAGAGTTGCGAGGGGAGATAAGGCGCCTAGCACAAGTGGCCGATGGATGTGGCCGAGGGATGCGAGGAGCACCGGAGGGCAGAGCAGCGAGAGCTTAGAGAGAGAAAGTAGAGAGAGGGGGAAATTTGACAAAGTGAGGAAGAACGAGATGGTGGGGGGCAATTTATAGGCGAAGAAGAGAGAGAGAGCGGAGTAGGGGAACCGAACCGTCGCCTAGGCTGAGGCGAATTCAAAATTCAAAAGTTTGAAATCGCTTCACCCTGGGGGGAGGGGGGAATGGACCGGTTATCGAGGCCGGAGCCCAACGGTCGGCCCACAAAGAGCGTAGAATTTTTTAAGGAAGAAAGGGGGAGAGAAGAACGCGTCAGTTGGCAGGAAGGGGGAAAAAACCCAAAGCGTACTACGAAAGGAGGAGCGTTGGCAAGGCGCGCGCTCTGGAGAGAGCCAGGGAGCCAAAAAGGGAGTATTGAAGTAGGGAGGCATCACGGAAAACGACTGGGTTAGTTAGGCCCCCACCGTGCGGTAGGCGCCTAACTGGGGGGCAATTGTTGGGGGGCATATAGTGAGTGGCCCAAGTAAGGAACCAGGAATGAGATTTGGGCCAGGAGTGTGGGCCTGAGCCGAGAAAGGGCTAAAGGCCATGACCCAGGTGGTGGAACCGGGTCTGAAGCAGGGCGCATAACGACAAAAGGGAAGCAACGGCCAGGAACGTACGGAGGGGACAAGAGGTGGGGCCGTGCGCCTTCGGAGCCAAGATCGGTGTCAGAATGGCAGGGCGCCTGGGGGAAGGAAGGTACAGTGCATTTAATGAGGTGATGACGTGGGGCGGATTTGGGGGGCACTGGTTGGCCCTACCCCGAGTATAAATAGTGAAGTGGGTGGAGCTCATTTACTCAGGTTCCAACTTCTCTCTAAACTTGCATCTCACTTCTCTCTCTAGGAAGATCGTTCTGACTTGGGAGTCGGAGTGCTAACGAACCCTAGCCAAGGGGTTCGCTGGGCGCCGTGGTGTGCAGGTTACGGACGTGAAGCTAGGGCGCAGAGGGAGCCAAAAAAGTGTGGGAGCCATCCGAGGCGGGGGGAGTACGTGGCACAAACAATAATAATGAGTGGACTTGTTGATAATTTTATTCAATTATTATGAGCCATATAGGTATTGGGTTACACCTCTTTGGGATTAGCGTCCTCGCTGTGGTTTCACCACCATCGTTCAAGAGGAATGCGTAAAGGTTCCGATATCAATTATGTCATCTTGAACCTTTTCTCAATCAAGATATTGTTCTCTTTGAGTCCCCCGTACGATTTTTTTCTTAGGATGCATATCATGATGACTTATCAAGAGGCTACCCAACCTTGCATTGATCCATAGTGAGCATGACTTTGGAATTTTAAAAGAAACGTTCATTCCACCTCAAAAAGCATATTATCGATTAAAATCATTTATTTACTTTATCTTGGGGGTCATTTGAAAGTTGAGATTTCATATAAGTATTTAGCCAATACATGTAATTATGAGAATTCGTTGTTTTGTGTCCTAAAATGTAACACAATATTTGTATTTGATCAAAAGATTGGAACACCAAAATTATTCAATATGGATGATTGTCAATCTCTCAGTTTGTATTCCTCATATTTTGAGGGACCACCAAAATTATTCAACCTCCAAATAATAGGGGTGAGAAAGTAGACCAGACTGTTTGAAAAACCATGGTCCAAACCGGACCGCACAGTTTGGTCCGGACCGTTGACCGTAAAGTATGGTTTGTATTATATGATGTTTTAATTTCTTGTTCTGGTCTAAACCGCGGTTTACCGGACCAAACCGTGGACCCAGCTAACTTCTCAATATGTTTTAGCAACCCACTCGACCACTCGCCCAACTCCCACAATGATACCCAAGTCTCAATCTTAATTTTGAGAATATCTTCCCCTCCTTCATTCACAACCATATTTCACTAGGGAGTAGAGACAATCATGTCTCCATATGACATTATGTAAATGTATATGATGTTATGGTGCAAGTTGGGATGTTTTGACTTTGTATCTTTATTATTTACTGAGATTTACGGTGTCAAAATTATCCATGATTTATGTTTTAAGAAAACAAAACATTTTTTTCTTGGCCATTGGTTCAATTTTTTGTGCGGTTGATTAATTAAATTATTCATTTTTTCGTTTACTGTGGTCTATTTGGACCAAACCGTACCGGACCAGACTGCATTGGTGTGGTTTGGTCTGGACCGTATAGTTTGTGTTCTAGTCTATGGTCTATACTCTAACCTCTTGGTCTGGACCGTAGACCGCATATGATCCGCTGAATCAGACCGCACCATTTCCAGTTCTGCCAAATAATGTATTTTTCAAATTTACATTTTGAAACAATTCATCTAATTAGAATACATACATTGAATTTAATGCATAAATATATAGAATCATGATTACCATGTATATATTCCGTAATTAATAGATGTGAGATTTATTTAATGTGTTCATATTTATGTGGAAAAAAATTCAGATTAAAACAAAGAATATACAAACATATGGCTACCTTCGCGGCAAACGACGACGTTCGCGCCAGAGAAAGCCAGAGAAAGAATCTGCAAACTGCAATCTAAAACCAGATAAAAAAATCCAGACGAGAAAAGCGGATAAACGAATTCCCGATTTCCCCCGCTCTCTCGCCCGCAGAAAATGCTACGGTTACCGTCTCCGCTTCTTCCGGTTCGATTTCCCTCCAACTCCATCACTTACTATCCAGTCCTCCACCACCATCTCATATTCCAGCCGCCTCTCTCCGCCGCCGCCGCCGCCGCCGCACTCACAGCCGCCGCCAATTTGCGCTACTCCTCTCCTTCTTCAAGTAAAGGTCTGGATAACGATGACGAAGAAGACGAGAACGAAAACGAGGGTGGAGATGAAGATGACATTCTTCCTCTCCAGAGCCGCCGCTACGACTTCACTCCGCTCCTCAATTTCCTCGCCGGACAGCTCTCCGAAGCTTCCCCGGCCACCACCGATTCCTCCGGCAGCTCATCCGCGTCACCGAGCGTGCTCGACTCGGCCGAGTTCCAGCTCGCTGAGTCGTACCGCGCCGTGCCAGGTCCGCTCTGGCACTCCTTGCTGAAATCCCTCTGCTCGTCTCCCGATTCCATCGGATTAGCCTACGCCGTCGTCACCTGGCTCCAGCGGCACAATCTCTGCTTCTCCTACGAGCTCCTCTACTCGATTCTCATCCACGCACTAGGGCGCTCGGAGATGCTCTACGAGGCGTTCCTTCTTTCGCGGAAGCAGTCGCTGAATCCCTTAACGTACAACGCGCTGATCAACGCCTGCGTGAGGAACAACGATGTCGAGAAGGCCTTGAATCTGATTTCCAGGATGCGGCAGGACGGGTATCCTTCTGATTTCGTCAATTACAGTTTGATTATCAAGAATCTGACTCGGAACAATAGCATCGACTCTCCGATTCTGCAGAAGGTTTATGATGAAATCGAATGCGATAAGCTTGAGCTCGATGTGCAGCTTTCGAATGACATAATTGTAGGGTTTGCTAAAGCGGGTGATACCAGCCGAGCAATGGAGTTTCTGGCTATGGTGCAAGGGAATGGGTTGAGTGTGAAAACCGGGACGCTTGTGGCTGTTATCTACGCTCTGGGGAAATCTGGTAGGACTGTAGAAGCTGAGGCTATTTTTGAGGAAATGAAGGACAATGGTCTGCAGCCGAGGACTCGAGCTTATAATGCGTTGTTAAGAGGGTATGGGAAGGCGGGTTTGCTTAAGGATGCTGAATTCGTGGTGACGGAGATGGAGAGGAATGGGGTTTCCCCTGATGAACAGACATTTGGCTTTCTAGTCGATGCTTATGCGAATGCTGGCAGGTGGGAGAGTGCTAGAGTTGTGTTGAAGGAAATGGAAACGAGAAATGTGAAGCCGAATCCTTATGTATACAGTAGAATCTTGGCTTCTTATCGTGATAGAGGGGAATGGCAGAAGTCGTTTCAGGTTTTGAGGGAGATGAAGGACATTGGAGTCAAACCTGACAGGCACTTCTACAATGTCTTGATTGATACGTTTGGGAAATTTAATTGTCTCGATCATGCAATGGCTGCATTTGATCGGATGCTTTCGGAAGGAATACAACCTGATACAGTCACTTGGAACACTCTTCTGGATTGCCATTGTAAGGCTGGACTCCACGAAAGAGCAGAAGAGTTATTCGAGGAAATGATAGAAAAGGGTTACTCTCCTTGTGCTGCAACATTTAACATCATGGTGAATTCATTTGGACTGCAGGAGAGGTGGGATGATGTGAAGATTTTGCTGCAGAGGATGCAGGGCCATGGATTGTTGCTTAATGTTGTAACCTATACAACGCTAATAGATATCTATGGCCGATCAGGGAGGTTTGAAGATGCAATGCAGTGCTTGGAAAACATGAAAGCTTCGGGATTTAAACCGACTTCTACTATGTACAACGCCTTGATAAATGCCTATGCACGAAAGGTACTTCCTTGTTTGCCTTGAGATTATTTAAAAGGCATGTGAATGTTCATATGCTGTCTGAGAATGTTATACCCATAGTCATATCTCTCTCCTGGGTCCATTTGATTGCATGATTCAAACTCATTGATGCAGTGAAAGACGAATATAGCTCTATTATCTATTGGCCCCTCTAGCGATTCAACTTTGCAGTGTGTTATTGGAGCATGTTCTAAAATCTCCTGTTTCATTTCTGTCAGGGATTGTCTGAAGAGGCTGTAAATGCTTTTAAGATCATGACAGCTGATGGCCTAAAGCCTAGTATGCTAGCACTCAACTCATTGATCAATGCATTTGGCGAAGATAGGAGAGATGCAGAAGCTTTTGCAGTACTGAAGTACATGACAGACAATGTAATAAAACTTAATGATTAGTCCTGGTCATCCACTTTTGTTGTGGCAGATGTGTAGCCTGTCTTGCTATGTCGATAACATCTTCATTTTGTGGCTTATATCTGCAGGACTTGAAGCCTGATGTGGTGACCTATACTACACTCATGAAGGCTTTGATTCGTGCTGACAAGTTCGACAAGGTATATTGCATGTACTTGTAAGATAATTCACTGAAAAATAATGGCTATGATGAGTGGGGTAATTCTTCATATATTGCGTAATTCAGATTTCTGTCCAATTCGGATCTCCGATTTGAGCATCTAATGTCAAATTGTTCTTATGGTGTGGGTTTAAGGTGGCTTCAGTATATGAAGAAATGATTTCATCTGGGTGCAAACCGGATGGTAAAGCTAAAGCAATGCTGAGATCTGCACTTCGGTACTTGAAGCAAACGCTATGACATTTTCTGCAGAAGGTTGCACACCATCTAGGCAGGGTGATTAGACAGATTCACATAATGTTGGATGAATGTTCATATTCAAGCTTATTTACCAACTCGAGGTTTGTGGGTGAACACTTACTGCATAGTTAAAGCTGGAATCATGTTCCTGAAGAATGATTACATCATGCAATTTCAATCCCCTTGCTAAACTGTGCTCATTTTGTTACCAGGGATTCTGGTTCGGGAAAGGAAGCTTGTACCTTACAACAACGTAGACCGAGTATGCACCTAAGCAAGAGAACTCAAAGCTTGTAAAGCCGTAAATGTAGCTTCATGCTCAGCTCTCTTGGATTAAAGATGTAAGCTTGCTTTTCAAGGCACGTCCTTAGTTTCTTGTATTATACAAGCAGCTTAGGGGTTTCTTCACACTGCTGATGTTACGTATTCGTGTGGTTTCTTCACAAAAGTATATATATGCATCTTTGTGCTTCCAAATCTACTGCTGACCAGAATTGTAGTGGGAAACTCAAGTGCGTAGGAACGGGCATGGTCTGACCAAAATCAGACTGAATCAACGTAGGACTTGATCAAATCAAAATAAATACGACCGTCGAAGTCTGACCAGAAGCTCAGTTTATTCAATTTGGACTGGTCTGATTTTGATTTCGATTCGGTTCACCACCAGCACCTCTGGTGTGGGAACGACTCAAATTCTCCATTAAGGGCCAAAAATGTTGTACATCAAGTTTAATTACAAAGATAAGATCTTACTAAAAAAAAAAAAAAACAAATACAACATACAATCTGTCTCTCAAACCTGAGTCTCTTAGAGAGGTATAGCTGAAACAATAGGTCTGCTAGACATGCTCTTAGAAATCCTAGAACAGAACATGAACAACAATAGCACTGACGACAACAAAAAGAGCCTAAAATATGTTCTTATTTCCTGCATTCCTAGATCCAACACCTCTATCTTCTTCCCATATCTATTCTTTCTCTCCATCAAGTATCCATCGAGATACTCGTCGATTGATACAAACTTGTCCTGGCTCGATGCAGCTGCCTTCAAATGGGCTTCATCCATGTGGTTTGGTCCCATTTTGAAAATCTCGAAGAATGCCGCCGACCAGTCGTTGAGAACTCTCTGAATCCAGAAATGAAAGGAAAAAAGCATAGGCATTCCCTGAATCAGATCAAGAGTTCCTTAATATCGAGGGAGAGAAAATATTAGGTTAGCATAATCACGTACGTTGAAGGTAGCATGATCAGTAGGATTGAACATTTTGAAACAGTCCTTTGCTGAAGCTGTGGAATCCCCGTATATCTGCCACATGATAAAGAACATCAATCAACAAATGTAAGGAATAATACTAATCTTCAGAAAAACTGCAAGTGATCATATAACAGACCTCGAAGGTGAAAGCCATGGGAACTTTCACAACATCGTACATGTAATCTGTTGCTGTCCCATGGGCAAGATACCTAAATACACACGTAATTTAGATAGTAAGGTAAAACACAATAGCGAATTGCCCGAGTTCCAAGTTAAGATGTTTCTATCGAACAAATACATAAGGTACCGAACAAAGAACACATACCCAACAGAGCCTCCACCAGATCCAACCATACAACGATTATAGCAGTGATCTTTGTTCACTCGATTGAGCAATGATCTCATATGTTGTGAAGCAGATCCGTTAGGCGTCGTGTTTTTGTGATCATAGGGCATGAACAAAGCCTGAACACGGGAAACGAGCGATTAGGTTGATAAAACTGTCGATAATGTTCGAGGATTGAGGAACAAACAAACAGTATTACTACTGACCTCCATGCCAGAGTGTACATTAATCCAAACATGAGGATCAAAAGATAAGGCAAGTTTCCGCATTGTTTGGGTTTCAGGTTCACTGAAAGGAGCAGTGCCTGGATTCTCTTCGTAAGGATCATAGTCCTACATAATCGAACCCAGAAGGTATCACAATTAGCCAAAAGGCCTCAAATGGAAACTGCAGCTGAAGTAAATGAACTACTGTTAGAAACTAGTACTACCAACCTTCTCTTTTTTGCCCCAATCAACACTCCAGTTCCTGTTAAGATCAACTCCTCTTCCTGTGTCAAAAATCGAAAACTCTAAGCCCTTTCCGTCTCGCAACAAGCAATCATGGCAAAACATTTAAAATTTAGGGGCTTTACCATTCCTCCGCTCGCAAAGATCTCCTTGCTCAACAAGTTTTCGGCCATTCAAGTTCTCCATTGGCACCACCTGAATACCACATCACAAATTATCACTGTCAGAAGCTTGGTTGAATGTCAAGTAAGGCACTGACAGCATATCGCCAGTTGCTAGTAATGTTCTTTTTAGCAAGCGGCAAAGCAAGTTCCAGACGTCTTCTGCATCCCAGTCTTACTGAATCCAGGTCCATTGCACCTTTATCAGAACTAAAAGCCTAAGAGTCTCAAAGACTCGCAAGTGAGGAGTCCCAATTTACGATTGATTGAAGTTCTTACCTTGATGACAAGCTTGTCTAGGGTGCTGTTGAGATCGTCACGATCCACATTAGGTAGGAACTGTTCCTCACTCAATATAGATAAGATCCTGTACGCGAGCTCCGTAGTAATGAGCTCTCTTCCATGCTGCCCGAAACTCTGGAAGACAATGAATCATCTGTCAAAAAAACCAGCAACAGAATTCACTGATCTGAGATCGATCTAGTCCCACTTACATATTGATGATCATTTACTCAAGAAAGCCCTCATTTTTCTACACTTGGAACTTACCAGGAGAATCCGAAACTTAGACCGGTCATCACGGTCCTTTGTCGAGCTTCTGGAATAAGTAACTACGGTCATCTCTGCCTGGTAGCCTTTGTTCCCACTGGCAATGGTCTCCATCTACAAACAGAGGGGACACCCGCAGAAGCGGGAAATCAGTAACTTTTCGCAATTCAATAGGATTCATAACTCTCAAAGGAAACCAAACTGTATTACTACTTACGGTGAGCTTTTCAGGGTGACGATGAACCAACGAATTAATCTGCTCCAATAAATCAGAACTGCAGAGTGAACCCAAAAGAAACAATATCACCATCATGTTTTAACAAAAATGCTGCTCTCACATGTCGCGGCTTCTTGCTTTCTGTGTCGCAATACGTCGAACACAAGGTGGGCAGGAAGGAAAACCCCCGGGACAATTAGATCTCTCGCCAGAGAAAACCATTTCTCTTATCTTTTTCCCACGGGATCCAAACGGGAAAAATCTCAACTATGATTCGAATCAGGAGAAGGCGATGAATGAAACTGTACCTTGAATGGTAGAGATCTCGATTGATGGGCGTGACGGCGACGTCATTCTCCTCGCTGGAGACGGAGGAGAAGCAGGCCAGCATAGAAAATGAGGAGAGTAAGAAGAAGAACCGGAGAGAAGCCATGGAGAAGAAGGAGTCCCAGATGGCGCTGCTGCTGCTTTACTTCCTTTCTTTTCTTCTTCTCATCTGACAAAAAAGGGAAACACCGAAAGAGGAAGGCGGAGAAGGAAGACGAAAGAAAGAAAGCGCGATTCGATCAATATCGGTGTTTTTGTTTTCTTCGGCGACTATTAATCTTGAAATTTCTTTATTGTATTGTCTGACTGTCTGTCTCTCCACTTGTACTTCCAATCTCCAGCGCGGCACGGTTCTGGAAATTTATTATTTTACTATATTTAGAATTTCGATTTAGATCTTCGTCTAGCAAAGATGCGTCAGACGGAAGAGTAAGACCTAAGCGAGACTCTGACTGAGGCACGAGAGAGTGACAGAGAGAGGAGGAGGAGGATTAATCATTAATGATCGTTGCCTAATCATGTTTTCTTTGATCTAGATTTTTTTTAATAAAGGGAGGCAAAAATGCCAAGATTCAAATTACAGGGGCCAACAGCCCAGCAGCCAGCCTATTGGTAGAGATTCTCTAATCCTCAATATCAGTCTGTCTCGAGAAGCTAACGCCGACAATGTCTTCCCGTAAAATCCGATTCACTTTTACCGGCAGCTCGTCTAGTTCATGCGTACCGAAAGGATAGACGAGACTGTGCTTCGAGAGCTAGTCCGCGACTCTATTCCCTTCGCGATACGTATGAACAAGACGAACAATCCAGTTCTGAGCAAGAAGCCTCCGAATAGCATTCAAAAGCATGGCATGAGGATGGATCTGATATGTACATTTGGTAATCAATTCCACTGCCAGTTTGGAGTCTGTTTCTAATATTAAGAGCTTAGCCCCTTTTTTCCAAGCGTATTCAAGACCTTGATGAATACCCCACAACTCTGCTAAAATCGCAGTCCCGGAGCCAATTTTGCAGCAGAAACCACCTACCCAGTCACCGCCTTTGTCGCGAATACAACCACCTGCTGTTGCCATACCTGGGTTTCCCTGAGATGCTCCGTCAGTATTAAGTTTTAACCACCCTGCAGGCGGAGGAGTCCACCCAACAAGTTGCTCTTCTCTATTTGGACTTGTCAAGGAGGATATGATAGCTCTGCATCCCTTCCAAGACTTGCTCTAATCTTTTGCCTTAGTGAGAATGTAAATGATCAAGGTGGGTTTGGAGATTCTGCCCCCTTTGAATATGTGATCATTCCTGTGCTTCCAAATAAACCAGCAAATATTTGAGAAAAACAACATTAATTAGGCGAATATATTTGGAATTTTTTTTAATATCAATAATAGTCACTCGAATTACTGAAATAGTCTATATTTAGTCATTCTCCGTTAGTTTCCGTCTCACTCCGTTTATTGAGTCCATCATATGCTGACATAGCTAACGGAATCGCCTAGTCATCGTCGTTTTGGGCGGGAAATAGTGAAACCCAACCTGTCACATCAGCAAACACGCCATGTCAGCTAACCCAACCCACCCATGAACACTTAAATCCTAAAATGAAAATAGCAAATGGGCCACTTTCAGTTCTTCGTTTCTCCTTCCTCCCGATCCCTTGTCTATTCCTCTTCTATTTTCATGGAAGTCGTCTGAGACCAGGGAGGAATGGAGCCAGCCATGCGACCCCCTAGACCTCCTCCTCCTCCTCCTTCTTCTTCGTGTGTAAGCGCCTTTCCCCTCTCTTCTTTGCCTGGACTAACCTTCGTCGTCAGATACAAGTCCTACATTTAGCAAAGTCGGTATCAAAACTCAATCAAACAAGCGATTCAAGCCGAATTCGAAGAATTTAAGAGAAGGAGAAAGTTGAGGGTTTATGTAATAACCCGACCCATGCCAATAAACGTGAGTGGCTGAGGAATTATTAGGGATGGAGTGATACAGTTGGAGCAGTGTCAGTGCTCCCTCAATGATGCAAATCGATCCCCTTCCTTCCATAAAGCAAATCGTTTTCTTCCTCCGACCGCACACAAGAGAACAACCCAGCTACCTCCCCACGACTCCATCGTTATTGCTCTCCAGAAACGCCATTTCTTCCTCCCATCATCATCACGTTCACCCCCTCCTTCCAATCGCTCCCTTCCGCCATAGCCTCCCGACCGTCATCATCATCATCATTAGAGAAGCCACTCCATTTATCCCCAATCATCATCGTTTCCACCGCCAACAGGAGGAGGAGGCTAACGAAAGCTCTAGCCCTCGTCCCTTCCGTCATCTTTTCCGCCGCATCGCCGGCCACATCACCCGATCATTGTCGTTCCGGAGAAGCTACACTACTAGCTAGTGTCGATTCCCTTCGTATCTTCCACTCCCTATAGAGACTAGTAGGTAAGAATGACAAAACCCCAACACTCTTCAAGCTTCAAAGCTCTATATGTACTAACCATGGTTGTCTTCGCCGTTGCTTTGACGACAAAAGGTACGGGGGATCGAATGACGATTTAAGCAAGGAAACTAAGGTCCCACTGACTGGAATCTAGGTCTAGGAACGCATACGAGGTAAGGAGGCCTGATCCCTTAAATTGAGTTCGACATTCGTGTGGGTTATACGAGTTAGTAGAATCCTAGGAGATTAGCGACCGGATTTCAGGTTTTTAACAATGGTCTTTCAACCGTCACTAAAAGCTAACCCCATAAGAACTAGCGGTAGCCCTTTGGGGACGGTTAGCAATGTGTTTTAGTGACCGATTTGTGGCCGTTACTAAAGGACCTGGAGCAGTTGCTATTTAGATTCTTAAGTTAATACACGTCAATTATATATGGTTAATTGGAGTAGTTTAGGTCGATTAAATGTGTAACCAATAAATTACTTTGGTTAAGATAATTAATAGGTAATTATATTAGTGTATGGAGTAGAATGTCATCACTTAATTAACTTAGCAATTGATGCAATGATTTAATTTGAGATGGTTAAAGTAATGTGAAAATTTAGTTAATCAACCCGATCGATAATTTGATGAATTATGTTGTTGAGTGGTTCTTTAAACAAGTTGATAGGTGAACATATCTAAGTGATTAGTTAGCAAATTATTAGCGTTGCTGGTAGAATGTTTTGACAAATTACTAGAAGATAATATGTTAAGGGGTAAATTTGCTAGTTTATTCAATAAGGTAAAATGTGTTATATTATGCTTCCTGAATCCAGCTAGGTAAGTGAATTAGGCACATTTGCCAAGCAATTAAATTGGCTGCTTAAAGTTGTTAGTATGATAAATTAATGGGTACATTAATATACCATACTTTGCACATATTGCAAAGTAGCTCCAAGTCGAGAAACCCGTCGCTAAGAACCCGACATCAAACTGATCTAACCTCTATTTTCGCGATAGGATCAAGAGGCGATCACCCAAGTGAAGGGTACCAATCTTCAAGTTGTAAACGGCTTGACTAAATAAGGTGTCTGGTTTGAGGGGGGCTAGTTAGTATTTCGCTTTAATTTATCTAAATATGCCATTTAATTAAGTTATGCTCTATGTGTATGTTCAAGGTAAGTTTACTTATGTTCAGTAAGCATGGCATTGCATTCCATCATGAAGTTACGTTTTAAATAAGAAGATACAAGATTATGTTTCAAGCAAGTTATGGACTTACGTTCCAAGTTACCAAGCTATTAAGTAAGAATACGTTTTTAACTACTTGCTCGACTAGCAACACGCGGCCACCTTACTTCCCGCTAGGTGGAAGTTTATGATTATGATAAGTTATGTTGGTGCCGGCCAGTTGCTTAGATAGCACGTGGTTACCTTACTTCCCACTAGGTGGAAGTCTATGATTAAGATGTGTCTTCCCATTAGGTGGAAGCTCACATATATATATGTTACGATCGGTGTCGGTCGGTGTGCTAGTTGAGTCGAGTTCGGGGCCCCTTTTATATGAAATAATACGAATAACATACTATGCATTGCATGAGCATATTTATTATTTATTCAAGCATGTTATTACAAGCTTTCCGCCATTAAAGCGAAACTAGGATTAGGACTGACCCCAACGCCCGCACTCAAGATCTGCAGGGAATCAAGAGTATCGAGATCAAATGCAAGGACATAGTTGCTGCCCAAGATGTCATCACAAGGGTTAGTGACCCGAAGAGCTTCCAGCGGAACTTATTTAAGTTTATGTATTGTTGGTGGACTTGAGACTTAATGAGGATTATGTTTGAATACTATTTTAAGATGGATTTTCCTTGTATTTTCGAATGATGTTAATGTGTCTTTTATGCATTCACTATTTGACTAATATTAAGGGTATTTTGGTAAAAGTAGTGGCCAGCCGGTCTATGGTGTTACAGTTTACCTGGGAATTTTTAGTGAGCTCAGGGAAGTCTTGGTCCTGAAGTGAAAGAAGAAGGTCAAGATCATCTTGGTGGGTCGGCATGTTTAGGTTCTAGTCAATTGGAGTTAAGAGAAGTGGCGGCGGCGGTGTCTAAGATTCGATCAAAATACTCCCTATATCCAACATCTGAAGATCCCAATCGGTGCAGTCAACATTTACGCCCAACAACATCTTCTTCCTTTCTTATGGTAGATCTGGGTTTCGTGAAAGGAGAGCCCAGAACTTCCATCTCGATCTCTCCATCATCCTTCCGTTGATACATGGATGAAACCAGAGTAAGAAGCGTTCCTCCTTCTCGAGATTGGCAACGCAAATAGTTAGGACTACCAGGTCGGTTTGTACCGATTCTTTTCTGGGTTTGTGGCGATTGGTGGTGAATATTGTTAATCTTTTGCTGGTTCAAATAGAGAGCTTCTTGGAGGACAGAAGAGAAAGTGGGTAGAAAGAGTGACTTGGATGGCGATTCCCTTGCTTCTCAGATGAAGAACATAAGAGAAGGACTTCTAAGGAGAAACTGAAACAAAGGGGTCAAGGGAGTAGGGATCGAGAGGAAGGAGAATGGAATCACTGAAACTATTTTGCATTTTAGGGTTTGGTTCATGGGTTGGGTTCATGGGTCGGGTTGGGTTAATGGGTTGGGCATATGACGCGGCAAGTCTGGTTTCACCATTTCCATCCCAAAATGACACTGACTAGGAGATTTCGTTAGTCATGTCAACACATAACGGACTCCATTAACGGAGTTGGATGGAGACTAACGGAGAGTGACTAAATGTGGATTGTTTCAGTAACTCGAGTGCCCAAAATTGATATTAATTTTTTCAGTGACTAAACACTACACATTTTAATAAATTCAGTGAACAAACTTGGCATTTACCCATTATTAAATAGAGTTATACGTTTCCATGATTTTATTCGTTACCTACAGAACATGACTGTTTGTATTCAAATGATAGGAACCGCATGATTATACGATCCGTCAGTATCAATAGAATTGACACCTATTCTTTTTCAGATTTTCATCTTACATTATGTATATAATATTTATCTAAATTAGTAGCTCATATATTGTTTTCTACACTTTACAAGAATACATATAGTATAAGAACAATTATTTGTTTTTGTTTTTTTATGGATCCATAAGAGAGGAACGTTTTTATGCAAAGTATAAAGTATGTGTTATATATAATATAGGCAAAATACACTTGCATAGTCATAACTTTCACGTTTGTCACAGATATAGCCACAACTTTCGAAATACACAAAATAGCTAAGATTTTGATAGTTGTTTGACAAATCTAGCCATTTTCGTTACAAACTTTAACGGTGTTAGAAATTCCGTTAGTTAGGTTAACGAAACGCTGACTAGGATGCCAAATTGACGCACACGTCAACGATAAATCAGCCTCACTTGCCACGTCATAATTTACTTAAAAAATATTTTAGGAAAAATACACTTCCATAGCCACAACTCTCATGTTTGTGACAGTTATAGCCACAACTTTCGCGTTTGTGACAATTATAGCCACAACTTCAGGTGTGTGAAAGTTATACCCGCAACTTTTCGGGTGAGTCTATCCTTTGGGATATTAATTTGAGAATTACTCTGAGGGGTGGGGCTGAGCGTGAGAAATGCAATCTCTTTCACTATCTTGACTCTTTACATGTTGATTACCTTAATCATAGTCCCTGCAGACCTGTATGGGTCCCCAATCCAGGGTCAGGTTTTTCCTTTTCGCCCATGTACAGGTGTCTCATCGATGGCTACTTCCCGGGAGTTCCTGATTTTCGTTTCCAAGCGATATGGAAAAGCATTATCCCCACAAAGATTTGCTTCTTCGTGTGGACTGTTTGCCATGGTAAAACTCCCACGATCGACAGGCTGAAGAGAAGAGGTTGGGTCATTGCTAACCGTTGCGAGCTTTGTAAGAAGGACGAAGAATCCCGAAACCATCTTCTTATCAATTGCGAATATTCCAGGAGTACTTGGGATTTCTTCAAAAGAAGATGCAGCGGGATATACCAGCAGGGGAGTGATATTATCGACATCATCTGCTCTTGGCCCTCATCTGCACCTGATTGTGTGGACGATTGGTTTAAATAGTGCCTTCTGCATTCTCTATGGTGGCACCTTTGGATCGAGCGCAACAGACGCATATTTAAAGACATCAGCACCCCTTTTGGTGTCACGGCCAGGCGTATTGCTCAAGAGATTGTTAATTGGATCACGGCGCACGACAAAGCCAGTAGGTTACAATGCGCTGAGTGGTTGAGAACACACTTTGAAAGATGAGCAAGTGTGATATGGGGTTTCTTCTTTTCCTTCTTCTTTTCTTGCAGGACCTTCCTTTCCTCAGGGTCCTGTAGTTTTTGCCTTGCTGCATGTTGAACTTCAAACCTTGTTTTTTGATTCCCGTTCTCTTTATTTAATTTATCAACCTTATAAAAAAAAACTTTTGAAATACAAAAAATCGTCAGAATGTTTATGTTTTTTTTTTACAAATCTAGCCATTTTCGTTACAAAATTTCGAAATACACGTATTATTCTCAATTTCTTCTCAGGGCTCTGTTTGAGAGGGAATGCAATGAGTCGGGCTAATTGACAGCAATGGATCGAGCTTCACCAAAAACAAGAACAACTACACCCTCAGCGATTTTGAGGGATTGAAGGGGAAAATGCATTGCAAGCTGTCACATCCTTCCTCCCGACTCATCGTTTTGTTTCCATTGAAGAAATTGTCTCCTCTTTCACCCCCCCCCCCCCCCCCCCCCCCCCGCGATGTCGTCTTCTTCGCGACCATCGTCAACTTCTTCCCAACAGCCTTCTTGCTCTCCTTCTCGTCGTTTTTCTGTACTCTGCCAAGAGTTTGAGGCCTTCTCCATGAATCTAGCGATTGGGGATCTAAATCGACAATTTGGGGGAAAAGGTCTCATTCTCCAGTCATACTGTAAAGTGACATCGTTAAAGGGATGGACGGAAGTGGATATTTTGTGTATTTCAAAAATTGCGGCTATAATTGTCACAAATGTAAAAGTTGTGGCTATAACTGTCACAAACATGAAAGTTGTGGCTATAACGGTCAGAAACGTGAAAGTTGTGGCTATGGTAGTTTATTTTATTTTTTCTTTGTTAATCCATGTGGATCGCCAACTCAACATTGTTGTCAGTCCAGTCATACTGTTAATTGACACCGTTAAGGGGATGGACGGAATTGGTTATTTTGTGTATTTCAAAAGTTGTGGTTATATCTGTCACAAACATGAAAGTTGTGGCTATGGAAGTGTATTTTTCCTATAATATATTAGATATATGTATAATAATCTAATTGGTTAATTGGTTTGATGAGTTAGTAGTGTATGAATCCAAACCAAACAAACTAAAAGTTTTAACCAAACCAATTATCCAAATTAACCAAATCAAATTATTTGAATACTGCGAGTTAAAATGGTTACCATGGTAGCCAATTCGTTTGAACACCCCCTACCTTTCCCTTCCCATTCCTCCTTATGAAGCGAAGGGAAAATACCATAATTTTGGAATCCGACTGAACCTAACCCAATTGAGAGGGTAAATTCGGTCAAAATAAAATACCCAATGAAATGGATAATTAGCGGATTTAGTTTTCTCACTCACCAACATGAACTCGTCCGATTATACATGCATACACAGTATTTGTATATATCGTCATTTTATTTTAACATATTCACTATTTCTAGTTTATTTGTATCATCTCATGAACAAGTTTTCTTTTTATAATATTTCTTTTGAGTATTGGTGATGTGTTATTTATAAATACAAACTTTTTTTAGATCCTTTATAAATACAAAAATAGCCACACTCAAATTATACCAATTTCTCTCCAATTTGGAGCAACCTGAATAGTGTATTTTCTTTTCTCTCCTCTAACTATAGCAAGTAGCGGACCCAGAATTTGTATTTAGGAGCGTAATAAATGAAAAATTAAATAAAATTATATAACTAATATAAATATAATAAAATATCGTATTATGAAAATATTTGATAATTTTTAAATCAAAATATATCCGACAAGTTCATACTACAACAGTATTATATATTATTATTATTATTTTATTTTTAGCTATCACACACATACAATTCAGACTAGAGCACATAATTTGTAAATGTTACTATTTTGTTGTGATAATATAATTGTGAAAAATTCGATTATATAAAAGTGTGCATGTTTGGGAGAATATTGTTCGTGTAATCATGAATATCTTTTATCGTCTTACATATATTTATTGGAATAGATATTGTGTTGTGTTGAACCCGCTGAATTGGGGTTGAATTTGGAAAATCTGATCCAGCCCGAACGACTGACATTCATAGGCCCATCTGGAATGTGGCAAGTCCTTTTCTACAAGCTCAATATTTTTGCCTACAATATGATTTGAATGCTTTGATCAATGATGATAAGGTCTGACCTCTTTCCCTCTTCTCTGTTTGAGGTTTGCATATTAACTGATAGTTTGGTCTGAGTGAAGTGAATTTGGATCATATTGTCAGTTTAGATTGATATGTTCTGTAACACTTGTTTTCAGTACTAGTCATGATTTTCAGCCAATGTTTGTGGTACTAACAAATAGGCAATAGCAGAAATGTCGAGAAGGCCATTTTGCTTTTCACTGAAATGGTGAAGGGTTTATCTCCCAAATGAGAATACAAACATATAATCTCCTGGTCAATCTTCTGGTTGCAGTTGGAAGCTGCATAAGAATGGGATTTTTCTAAAGTTTGCTTATTTAGCACTTCAAAGAAGACTATTATTCCTGTGTCAATCATCATGTCCTCCAAATAATTAAGGTGCCTCAGTTATATCAGCGAAAGAGGTTTTGGCGATCAAATATTAACTATCAGTTCTGAAACAGGGCAGCAGATACTGACATGTCAGTAATGAATAGGGACCATAGATTTAAGAGGCAGATAATCGTGTGGTTGGGCCGGACGCTGAGTGGAGAAGGGTATTTTTGTCCGTTTATACATTAAATTTTTTATTTTATTTCGTATTTAATGGCTGCACTTTCAAAGAAGGAAAGAGAAAATCACTTCTCTACAACTTTCTATCTTCCTTATCTCTTCTTTTTTCTCTCCCAATTTCTTTTCCAGATCCTCTCTCTTTCTCTCTTCCTTTTTCTCTCTCAATCTCATTTCTAGATCTAAATTTGCTCCCTTCTCTTCTTCTTTATTTTTTTCCATGACGAATAAAAATTGGAGCCATTCTTTTTCATTGCATTTCTTCTTTTCATCATCTTGTTGGCCTCAATATCGATCTTTCTCATTTTTTCGGCATTTTGGTGTTCTTGATTGCGGAAGAGGAAATGAGAGGCGACACAAGACGATTTTTTTCTCTACCTCCTTCTGTTTTTTTTTTCTTATAGATAATATATATTGATATTATAACTCTATACCATATGGTATTCGGTGGTAACGAAATATATATTGATATTACCACACTATACCATATGGTAATGTATGGTATTGTGTGGTAACGAATTATATATTGATATTACCACACTATATCATATGGTATTGTATGGTATTGTGCGATATTACCACACTATACCATATGGTATTGGGTGGTAACGAAATATATATTGATATTACCACACTATACCATATGGTATTGGGTGGTAACGAAATATATATTGATATTACCACACTATACCATATGGTATTGGGTGGTAACGAAATATATATTGATATTACCACCCAATACCATATGGTATTGGGTGGTAACGTAATATATATTGATGTGGCAAATTTTTTCATATGGTATTGGGTGGTAACGTAATATATATTGATGTGGCAAATTTTTTCATACCATATGGTATGGTCAATACCATATGGTATAGACTGGTAATAACTGACAAAAATTTTTATGTCCAAAAAATATCAAAGTGGATATCATTTTGAAGAGCACAATTAATCTGATCTAACTGTGCAAAAAAATTAAATTCGGACTTAAAACGAGTGAGAAATCGTCCGTTAAAGATTAAGAGAAGGAAAATTAAAAGTTTTTCGAGGAGAGAGAAGGCGCTAATGTGATCCGGTCAAAAGTCAGCGTTAACAATAAATAGAGGTAGGAGCAATTTTGCCTTATTGTCCTTTCGCATTTAATTTAAATAAAAAAAGGACTGACACGTGGCGACAAGAGAAGAGGTTACTGATGGGTTACTGATCCATCTGTTACTGACCTGATCTGGTCCCCTGAAACAGATATGTAGATAACATATAGGTGAATCACATAAATATTATGGAAATAAAAAAAATTTGCCACAAATAAAATGATAGAAACTATATAGACACAAATATTGTGCAACGAAATGGAACTGCGCGAGGACGAGCATATATGATGAGCGTAACTAGAGTATTTTAGTTCGACATGCGCGCCGTGGCACGAGTTGAGCAAAAGATAAGGAGTTTAGCTCAGCTCTTGCGGCGACGTGCATACTAATCTAAACAAGTATTGTTTGTGAAAATAGATGCATTTGTCATCAATGCATGCATAATAATATACATGTATATAAGAAAATCGGTGTATTGTAGTTTGCATCGTTTTGTTTATGTGATAGTTATTGTGTTATTTAAATAAGTTATCTTACTTTTTGGATGAAATGTCACTTTTACCCTTTCATTGTAATACAAAAAAGCAAGACGCATAAAAAGGTAGGGACAAAGTTGGAAGAAAAAAACACACAACAATCTCAATCAAACAATCTCACAAAAAGTTTGAGATTTAACTATCACTCATTTTGAGTGATAGTTTGTGTCATATCAAGCAAACAATGCATGTATTGTTTGTGTAGAAAATTCAGAAAAACGATGCATTGTAGACAATGCATGTATTGTAACTATCTCAACCAAACAGTCACCAAAACCAAACGATCTCATAGTGTTAGTTCATTGAAAGGTGAGACGTGACTATTATGAAATAGAAGAGGAGGAAGAGGAAGGGAGGGGTGGGCATCGGTCGATTCGGTCCAAGACCGAATCAAACTATCCTCGGACCGGACCAAAATTTCTTCTAAATCAAAGACCAAAGTAGAATCGTTATTACTTCGATTCGGTCCAGATCAAACCATATATGACTTGATTCGGTCTGGACAATCCCATTGGACCGACTAATCTTTCATTCGAATAAAATCACTCTTAAAGGACAACACAAGAATTAAAAAAATGTAACTACATAAAAGGAAGTAATCAAATTATCTCTATTTAAATACTCCACAATTCTTAAAACCCTCATGTTCCAAAATATTATACAAAAAGCTAAACGAGAACTACTTAACTAAAAGACAAAAGTCTTTTTATTCAATATCAAAGTTGTCTAACTAATTGCCTCTCCAATCTTCCATTTTCATTTCCAGAGTGCATGTTGGACCTCCCAATCTCTAGAATTTTCACTGTTCATTAGAAAGGAATTTGACAAAATGACACTTACTCCAAGAACTAGTGCAATAAAACAAATGATTCTTAAACTTGCTAATTTGCAGTGGTGTTGTCAGACTTGGCAGAAGCTTCTGTGGTGTCATTTATTCGCATCTTCTCCATATCTGAAACATTAAACAAGAAAAGAGAACACAATATAAATACCTGGTTCACAATGTGCATGTAAAGTAAGCAACTCTCTTGATCGAAGCAACGCGGATGAGAACTCTGATTTGACGGTAGGACTGTAGGAGCGGGAGCGGCGAGTCAAAGTCACGGAAAGTCAATCATATATATAGGTAGTTAAGTGTCATGTAGGGTACTAGGGTTTTCAACTCCAAATCGACTTGCATTCTCAGAGCTAATAAAATAGGCAATTAATTTAATTACGATTCTGTCCGGTCCTTAGCTTGATTTTACGGTTTCGGTCTGAACCGAACCAAAACCGAAAAATGTCCCAAATTCAGGAACAAAAGTCGAATGGAAAGATAAACAGTTCGATCCGATTCGATGTGAGAGTCGATTTGGTCCGATGTGAATCGAATCATTGCCCACCCTAAAAGGGAGAGGAGATGGCCACAATCAACGCAAGGTAGGGCTGAAAATTGGCCCGACCCGTCCCTGACCCTGTCCTGACCCTGTCTGACCCGCCCCTGAAGGGTCAAGATGTATAACTGACCCGCCCCGCCCCTGTTTCTTTCATGACCCTGTCTGACCCTAATAAATAGACTACTTTTCTAAAAATTACAATTTGGTACCCGAATTTATTTTTTCTTACATTTTAGTACCTAAATTTTATTTTTTTTACAAATAAGTCCCTAAAATTTATAGGTGTCAATCGGGCGGGTTCGGGCTAGGTTCAATCGGTTTCGGGTTCAAACGGGTTGCGGGTTAGTCGGGTTGCGGGTTCATCGGGTTCGGGTTCAAACGGGTTGCGGGTTAGTCGGGTTGCGGGTTCGGGTTCAATCGGGTTGCGGGCAAATCGGGTTGCGGGTTCATCGGGTTTTGGGTCGGGCGGGTTGCGGGCGGGTCGGGTTTCGGGTTGTTCGGGCCAGCGCATCAAGTAACTTAACTCATTACTCATTACCAACTTACACATTTTATTACACTAATTTAAAATATTTTCTCAACTTTTTAACCAATTTATTTCTACCTCGTATATATATACTTTATTTTTTTGAAAAAACTAGTCAAAATTTTAAATCAATTTGTATGACTTGCAAACTTGTTATGTAATTAATCATAATTGGTAAAGTATTATAGCTAATAGTAATGGTGATATCAATATTTGCAACCAAAAGACACCGTTAATTGTTTATTTGATATTTTAGTATTAATTCAGTAGTAATTGAATTAAAGCATCTCGTTTAGTATAACCATGCAAATCTGGTATTTGGCGTGTGGTAATTGGCAAAAGCATAGTGATAAAAGAAGTTATTTCAAAATAACTCATTGCCCAAATAACTTCAGTAAACTGTTGCCAAACGAGTTATTTGTAAAATTGTTCGAATTATCCTAAAAATTGAACCATTAAAGATTAGCTATCAAATTTAGTAAAATTATTGTGACTTCAACCATAACTTACTCAATAGCATATATCCTATACACTTAGCCTTACCCTCAATCAACAATATTAAGTTAGTATATGTTGTTGATTGTATACCCTAAACCATCAATACATTATACACTAACCACATAACCTATACCCTAACCATATGTCCTTTAGTTGTGATTTTGCTAGTATAGTTAATTTAAAAGTGAAATTCATACTTTGATTTTCAAAACATAGATAAAAAGTGATATTTGCTAATTGTTATACCCTAACCATACTTTGAATACACCAAAATTTCCATCTTCTTTTAAAAACATCAAATTACCAAATACATTACTTTATTTATTTATATTTAATTGATAATTTTATTGAATAGTTAAATTAACCAATATATTGATTCATGAACATATATTAATAAGAAAACTTGATCTTATTAGTTATGATTTTGACTAATCGTGGCCAAACCATTAATACCTTATACTCTAACCATATACCCTACAAGTCGACTCTATAACCTATACCCTAAACCCCTACTGGTTTGATTCATGAACATATGTTAATAAGAAAAGTTCATCTTATTAGTTATGATTTTGACTAACCGTGGTCAAACCATTAAAACCTTATACCCTAACCATATACCCTATAAGTCGACTCTATAACCTATACCCTAAACCCCTAATGATCTGAATTCTGATTGATGAACATGTGTTAATAAGAAAAGTTGATCTTATTAGTTATGATTTTGACTAATAATTGTTAAACCATTAATACCTTATACCCTAACCCACACTACAGGAAAACTGATTTCTAGTCACGGGATCTTATTCACGGTAATTTTTTCCGTGTTAAAAACTATGCTAATAGTCACAGTAAACGTTCCCGTATTCGATCATATAGTTAGGATCACGGTAACTAATTTATCTATATTTTAGTGTTTATTTATCGTAATTAATTGTTAATCACGATAAATTTTGGTGATTAATGTGACAATTTAACTTTATAAGAACTTTATTCCAAAATTTTAGGAGGGAGAATTTCCTTTAGCAAAAAATTTTGTTTTGCCCCCAAAAAATTGCTTTGGCTCCAAAAATATTTGCTTTCTCCTTAAAAAATTGTTTTGGCACCAAAATATTTGCTTTCCCCGCCACTTTTCACACCCAAAAATTGCTTTTGCTCCAAAATATATGCTTTGCTCGAAAAAATTGCTTTGCCTCCAAAATTTTGCTTTGCCCGCCACTTTTTTGGTCCATGGAATTGAAAAAATTAACATACTAGATGGAGAAAACTAGATCTAAAGGCGAATTAAAGAAAGCCAATCCCTTCGCCGCTTGACTTTTTCTAGCCTCTCTTCCACTGCTCTTCCTGCCTTTTTCTCCACCCAAATAGTTCCTTCCATTTCTCCGAACTTTCCCCAACTCTTACTGCCAAAACCCTATTTTCTTAGCAATTCAGATAGATCCATCTGATGCCCTCTTCCATGGCGAAACAGATCGATGAAGAAGCATGCTCTTCAAGGGGGTTTATTGTTAGGGTTTCAAGTTTGGAGGTAGACTGGCGACGATTGAGAACGACAACGGCAAGTTTGGAGGTGGACTGGCGGCTCGGTTTGGTAGGCGGTTAGGGATGTTGTGGTTTGCGTTGCAGAGAGACGACAAAAAAGGAAACTTTCCCCAACTCTAAACTGCAGCTGCAGCTGAAAGAAGGAAACTTCTTTTGCAGAGTTGTAATCTTTATTCGGTTGAATTGAGCTTGGGAAGCCATGATAGTGACCAGCTGTTGCAACTGAATTATAGTGAGAAGAGGGCAACGACTTGTGATTGGTTCTTATTTCAGGTAGGGGTTAGTTTCAGTCTAAAGATTAAGTACAGCTTACATGTTTCTTTCATGATTTTGGTAGTATTGGCGTCCATCCCTTTATTACGATTGCTTTATATGAGTATACTTTCTCCCTTTGTAGCCATCTTATCTATTTGTTGTTCGTATTTTCTTCCAACAACTATTTGATATGAATGTGTTGCCCCTGCTTCAATAGGGAGATTTGCCGCCAGCAGAAAGGCCATTGATGTAAAAAGGCAGTAGCCATGTGGTTGAGAAGTATTTAATTTCCAGAGATTATGAAACATGTGGTTGATAATCTATTGAACATTAATTAGCTAATCCAAGTTGCCAAGGAACTATGGTTGAGAAGGCACTGCAAGATACAAAGGTAATAGCAGTAGGAAAAAGAATTCTCATTTATAATTATTCAAGTGGATTAGATGAAATTCGGGTTGAGTCGGTCGGGTTACGGGTTAGTCGGGTTCGGGTCAATCGGGTTCTGGTTAATCGGGTTGCGGGTCAGTCGGGTTGCGGGTCAATCGGGTTCGGGTTAATCGGGTTGCGGGTCAGTCGGGTTGCGGGTCAATCGGGTTGCGGGTCGGGCGGGTTACGGGTTGTTGACTTTTAGTCAATTCGGGTTGCGGGTCGGGTTGATCGGGCGGGTTAATCGGGTCGGGCTATGTTTTGACACCTATACTAAAATTTGATGGTAAAATTACGTTTTGGTACCCAAATTTTTTAATTTTTACAATTTAGTACCTAAACTTATAAAATTTTACAAATAGGTCCAACATGTTTGTATGATGCTAAGGGTCATAGGGTCAAAAAGTGACCCGACCCTGACCCGACCCTAAGCCGACCCGACCCTAAATTGACCCTATAGACAAACTGACCCAGCCCGACCTTGAGGGTCGGGGCGGGTCAGTGGGTTTTAAGGGTCAAACTTACACCCCTATCACAAGGTGGAAGAAGAAAAGATGTCATAAAATTTCTACCCAAAAAAGATGTCATAATTAAAAATTAGTGTTGCATTGACGATATCAGAATTAAAAATTTATTGCTTACATTGGATTCTGCTTGGTGACAACTGACAAGGATGTAAATTTTTTCCCCCTCTCTAACCAAAGGTCTATTGTACTTTGAACTTACAAGCTTGTCATCTAAAAGAGGCCCACCAATTGCACTGTCTCTTCATTCCTTTTTTAGCTGGAAAACGATCACGTCTCTTGGTTGTTGGGACCGAAGATGGTGTGAATTGCATGCGTGTTGTCGGCTATTTATTTGTTGGTACTTGGTAGTTGAGAGCTTGAGCCGATATGAAATTCTTGTTTTCGTGATATTTTTAATTCTAAAGTGGTCTAAGCAATGTGAATTTATAAAGGAATAACACGATTGTCATTATTAAAAATTTGGGAGGGAAATATATGCGTGTGTATTTTGTATTAATTGGAAGACCACAAATCACAATGAACCACACCTCAAATATCATAAAGCATACTATAATCATACCACACTATAAAATTCACAAAGCATATCATATACTCATAAAACATACCAAAACCTAGGGACGACAATTTGAACCCGTCACGCTGGGTATTACCCGACCTGACTTGCGCCAGGGCGGGGGCATGTGGCACTACTTTCAAGGGTAATGATCATAAATGGAAACCAATTTACTTTGTACAAAACGGTCACAAACCTTTGTTTCAGTAACATATCTTTTGACTAATAACATAAAAAGGTAATTCCGTTCATTTCCATACAAAATTCTATTAATTTGGTCCAGTCAACTATCCTATCAACATTCACATCAGCAAAATAATTCATATAAAATAAAATAAAACCAATTAAACCCTAACCAACCCACCGCCCCAATCCAATCCAACCCAACTCATTCCTCTCTATCTCCTCTCCATCTCCACCATCATCTCCGTACAATTGCGGAAGATTTGATGCGATGTCTTCTACAGTGCTGACGAGGCCGCCTTCTGCTACACCTGCGACAAGGCCGAAACCACCACCCACGTCCCTTCCCAGTCTCCAAAGGACCGGTCAAGAACGTTGTTTGCCTTAATTTGTTTTTCAATTCGCCTGCTGCCTGCAGGGTATCTAAAAGGAAAAAAGCTTTGAAACTTGCTTCATGGTGGAAACCAATTTTTATAATTCCATTTCACAATCCTTTATAAGAGAAAAATAGGAAGAAGAAAAAATAGCTCTGATCATCGGTGATGTCGGATTCAAAACCACATCGACGTTGGTCCAATTTGTCTCCCCCCCCAATGCTTCAACATGCTCTTCCAATTACAAACATTATCCACACATATCCTCAACCTCGAATCTCTAATCGGGATCTTCCAGTGCCCGTCATAGAATCCCTCCTTCTCCGTCTCCCGCCGATCCCACTCCATATGGGCCTTCTGTCTCGACTCCAGCAAGCAAAATCCTTGCAGCTCCGCCGACATCGCACTGTGGACCTTCCACCACCGCGAGTGTGCGACGTCGCTAGTGAAGTTGCGGAAGATCTTTGAGTTCCAATTGCAGTCGTAATCTCTAAAGCACAACCACGACTTCATCCCGAAGAGGTCGTTCTTCTTCCTCTTGACCTTTTCGTCGTCGCTGATCTAGAAGTGCTTCAGGAAATTGAGCCAACAAGGGATTCGGTGCCACCAGGTGAAGATCTCATTCAAGAAGCCTTGGTCGCCGCAGTTGTAGGATTGATCTCGTTGATGTGCTCCATTAGTAGCTGGAACATGCAATTGGAGATGGACGAAATTACCTTATTGTTATTAGTCGAAAGATATGTTACTGAAATGTGCAAAATTAAAGGTTTATGACCGTTTTGTACAAAGTTAATAGGTTTATGACCATTTATGATAATTATCCCTACTTCCGACCTGTCCCACCCCGACCTGTCCCGTTGTTGACCCATTATATCTCAATTTGTCCCAATATTTATATGTATTTCTCCAATTTTAGCTTTTCTTCGGTCATATTTTCACTCTAAGAAACTTCAAATAAGTGCAAGACATGATCTTTCAACTAGTTAGAATCCATTACTCATTCTGTTACCATTATTTTTATTCATAGATCATAAAATAAAATATACGTTTATTTTTTTAAATAACATGTGCAAAATAGAGCAACCCGCCCTGCGAGGGTATTACTCGACCTAACCAGCGCTTAGTGTAGGGCGAGTATGAGTATTGAGGTACCCGCCCCGCCCAGTCCCGCCCAACCCAACCCGTTTGCTATCACTACCAGAACCTCACCACTCCATAAACTTCATAAACCACACTACAAATACTAGAAAGTTTATAAAGCATATAATAAAGATTATAAACTTACCACAAGTTTCTTAAAACATACCATAAGTTCCCTAAAGCATACTATAAATCTCATAAAGCATACAACAAGTTCATTAAAGCAAACCACGTGTTATTAAAGCACACCACAAATTTCTTGAAACATAATACAAATTTCCTGAAACATATCAGAAACCTCACAAAACATATCACAAATTTCTCATAACACACCACAAGTTTCTTAAAGCATACGAGAAACCTCATAAAACATAATAAAACCTCGTAAAGCATGCCATAAGTTTATTAAAGCATACCACAAGTTTCTTAAAGTACACCAAAAATACCATAAATAATACCACAAGCTTCTTAAAGCATACCAAAAACAACACAAAACATTCTACAAAATTATTAAGGGTAATGTCTATTTTTTATCCAAACTTTTTTTTCCAGATTCTTTTATAATGCTATTAATTGGCCAAATCTTTCGTAATGCATCAAAATATTAGCCATTTTTATGCCATCGTTAATAATTTTGTACTTCTTTTTTTAGTTAAAATACTAAAATTTGGGAATGTTGGCCTTCATGTGTCTCTTCCAAGTCAGTATCATGTTGCCAAGTCAATATTACTAACAAAATTGCTAACTAAAAGTTAACATTTGGATAATGCTTAATATTTCGATAGCTTTGGATAATATAAAAGAATGTGAAAAATGTTTTGATAAAAAATAGACATTACTCAATTATTAAAGCAGACCATAAACCTCATAAACTTTTACCTATTTGTAAATTTGTAAAAGTTTAGGTATCAAAATGTAAGACATAAATTTTTAGGTTCCAAAATATAAACTTTCATCAATATTTTTAGTACTTAACGCAAAAGAAATTAATTTTAGATACTAAATCTTAACATCTGTTAAGTCTAGGTACCAACGTGTAATTTCCCTATCAAACCCAAATAAAAAAAATGAAAGGGAAAGAAGGCTCACTATACCACAAAATTCATAACCCACATCATAAATACCATAAAGTTTATAATATAAAAAAGTTTAGAAAACATATCACAAGTTTCTTAAACCAAATCATAAGATCATTGAAGCATACCGGAAACCTCATAAATAACACCACAAAATCATTAAAGTAAACCGCAAGTTTATTAAAGCACACCACAAGTTCCATGAAGCATGTCTGAAACTTCATCAAGCATACCACAAGTTTCTCAAAACACACCACAAATGCCTCAATGCAGACTAGAAATCTCATAAAGTATACCAGAAACCTCATCAAGCATACCACAAGTTTATTTAAGCGTACCAGAAGTATCATAAAGCGTACAACAAGTTTGTTAAAGCAGACCATAAACCTAGCTCATAAACTTGTGCCAATTTGTAAAATTTAAAACATCACGTACTCAAGTGTAAATTTTATCAATACTTTTAGGACTTTATTTAAAAATTCATTTACGTACTAAATCTTAACATCTATTAAGTTTAGGTACCAAACTATAATTTGTTAATGAAACCCAAATGAAGCCTCCTTCCCTCTTTTGTCACTTGTGTTTAATATTCTATTCAGTCCCGTGATCTGTTAGTTGATGTAAGGTTCAATAGCGTATTTGAATTATATGGATGCCGACAGTCATCAATCTAGCTATGAATTAAGCCTGTATTATTGGAATCTCAGAGCGCGACAATCTTCTCTTGATTCTTTCTTCTTATCTCAATATCATGCATTATGATTATAAAAAAAAAAATCATGCATTTATTGGCCGTATGTTCAGCTTTACTATTCCAATAATTCTACAAGGGGAAAAGAAAATGAAAGGGTCCCATATATATGGCCCTGGTGGTGGGCTGCATGATGATCTACTTCACTCGATGAGGCAAAAAAAGAAGCAAACAAATCCATCAATAATGGCTGCTCTGCCTCCCACCTATTTAGAAGAAAACAATCAGTCGATAATATGGGTTTAATGATCTAATTTAACTTTATAACCAGTAGTTTAATGCAACTTGAGCCTGATATTTATGAGAGGCTGGCCATAAATATATGTTCATCTTCTTCTCAGACTCACTCAGAAGTCAGAACATTCTTTCAAAAAATAGAAATTCTTCTGGGTCTCACTCGAACATCATAGCGTAATACGATGATGTATGACTTTTTGTATTAGGATGACAATTTTGATCTGATTCGTACTATCTGACCCGTTTGACTTGTTACAGAATGAATAATATTCGTGACTTTTGCATTAGGATGACAATTTTGATGTGATCCGTAGTATCTGACCCGTTTGACTTGTTATTGGACGGATAATATTCGTCTCGTAGGCGTGGTGAGGTTAGCATGGGTACTGTTATCGACCTGAACCGCCCTGACTTGCCTCATTTTCCACCCGTTATTGTGCACATTATAGCTAATTTTAAAAAAACTGCTTAAATTTTTACTTTGTTACACTACATTTTACCTATAATAAAGTTGTAAATAGATGAGAACTTGAATTTCTGGAAATTTAACTACAATTATCAATATCAAGTATGAAAATTAAAATAAAGTTACAAAATTGCATTGTTTTTATCATGACCAATCATGTAGGCTGAGTGTTAACGACTTGTTTTAATGACATGTCAAGTTTCGAATACCTTATCCTAAGATTCTTCTTAATTATAATTTGTCAACAATTCATGTATCTTATGGTTTGAGGTTTCATTATACAAAACGGGTCAGCTAGAACTTGGGATATGGCATTGGGAACGGTTACCGTGCACAATGTTGTTGTGCATAATATGTCACATAATCATTTACGAAAGGTCTCTAACATGTCTTTTATAAAATTTAATACATTATTACTTTTTCATTTTAAGTTGTAATTAAATTTTTTTCCCAATTTAATTATTTCTCACAACAAATACACCATTCATCTTACCCTTAATCTTTCCTTCTATAGTTTGCACTCAACAAATACACCATTTATAAAATAAAAAAAAATCATTTCTCCTAAAATTTTAAAATATCTTATTCTTAACATTAAATTAAAGTTTAACTAAAAGTAAATAAATAATTGGAATATTAAAAAATTAATCATAATATTTTTGAGCAATCAGAAACCAAAAAAATTTGGTTAGAGCTCGGGCCAAACCAAATGTTTGACTTTAGTTGACCGATGGCCTGAACAAAAATCATTTTGCGTTCAGCCCATGGTCAATCAAAGCCAAACCATCGTTTCAGCCATGAACCAAACTAAAATCCAATTTCGTTCCACTTCTTCTCCTGCGTTCAAGGACAACGAGGCAGAGAAGGAAGGACGATCGAGTCTTCTCCAACGGCCAGAAGAGGAACAGGGATCCCACAGGTTGGAGTGGTAGCTTGACGGATAGGGTATCAACGAACGGTCTGGTTCCTTCTTTCCACCGGCGTCATAACTCATAATAAAGCTCGAGGCAGAGGAAAAAAATAGCACGTTTAGAAGTTGTTCGGTACCGGTTTGAATTAAAATTTTAAAATGAACAACAGAGTAATTTTTAAGTTTAGTAGTAGAATGACATTTAGCATTCCACAAAGATGTTTATGATAATAAAAAAAAATCTAAAGAGAAAAGAAACATTAAGTCACATCTTCTAGGGGAATGTAACGTAAAAAACTGGTGTGTTGTCACCATATAACAAGTTGTTCGGAAAAGGACAAAAGTAAGAGACAGGATGTGAGAGAGAAAGGGGCCGGCCAAAATAATTCAACATCATTGCAATCACTCTTTTTTTTTTTTTTTTTTTTTAAAGTCTTGCAGTGAGCTCATAGCTAACTGTTGTTGCCCAGTACTCTTCCAATCGGCCGCTCTATATATATTCCAATTCATGTCAGGAGAAAGAGAATAATTAAGGGAGAAGAATGGATAAGAACGAGGAGACGAAAATGGAAGGAGGGTTGCTAAAGAAGCCTCTTCTGGAAAAAGCTGCCGCTGGAAGCTACACCGGCGCCGGAGGAACATCGTCGCCGGCCGTTATCTTCAGCACGCTCGTCGCTGTTTGTGGCTCCTTCACTTATGGCGTTGCTGTAAGTGACATAGTATTCGTTACTATTGATTAAACTAAGGTTGTTTGCTAATTACGATCTTAGTTTCAAGCACGGTTATGGTGTTTTTGTTCCTATTCCTTACTCAGTAATAGCTGCGCTAAATTATGATCTTAATTACCGAGAGAATTATTATCAAAGTTATAACACAACACTGATCTATTGTGACCGACCAAAGTGGTCACCAAAAAAGGAAGGAAATCGTTGTTATAAATATTTTGTAGTATTTTATTTTCTCTTATGGCTAGCTGATTCTTTTCCCATTTATATATTAATTAGTGAGAATTTGAAGAGAATTATATATATATTGTCTCTAATTATTCGACTCCCCTTTGTTTTCTTCTGCTCTGGTGTCTTTGGGGAGCAGTTATCATATTCGTCACCAACCCAAGATGGAATTACCAAAGATTTGGGGCTCTCTGTTGCCGATGTAAGTAATATATTTTTTTTTGTCTTGTCGCAAAGCAGTTTGCGAACAAGAGTTTGGTCTAGTGCATAATCGCAAAAAGTAAAATCGTATCAAACTAATAGTAAAGTCATACTAAAAGTACACTTAATTCAACTACGTACAAACTACAAACTACCAAAATCCTGCTTCAATACTTCACTCCCAGCCATATAGTCCATTCCAGAACTTGCTGGTCTTCCTTTTTTTTTAAGTCGATTTTCTTTGTGAATATTGTTCTCTTTATTTTTTTTCCCCATCATCATAATTGGTAAATGGAATTTCGTTGCCTTATCTTTTCGCTTGTGGTTCTGGTTAATTAATGAATGGCGTCCACTGGATTAAAGGTTCTCTCTTCTTTTGGCGACCTTGCTCTCGTCGCCTGTATTTGTGATATTTCATTTCGAAAAATTCTTGGTTCTAACTTTGGTCGGACGTAAAAGATTTAACCATTCATATGCCAGTTTTTTTATAAATGAGTTCAATTTTTTTATATTGTAATTTTTGATTTATTTAGCATAATTAATAACATTAAATATTACGAAAAAAAGGTGAGTCCATAATAACAAAAATTGAAGGTAAGAATTTTTCCAATTTTTTGAGGTATGGCTAGTTTTATTTCCGACCTTAAACCGTTATTCTTAATTGGTTTATGAATGCGAATCTTCATTTAATGGAATTATTAATTGGTTTATGGATGCGAATCTTCATTTAATGGAATTATTATTAATTGGTTTATGGTACTGTACAGTACTCAATGTTTGGGTCAATTATGACGGTTGGCGGGATGATTGGGGCTCTATTTTGTGGGAGGATGACGGCAGTTCTTGGTTGCAAATACGTAAGTTATTATTATTATTATTGTAGTTGATTTGAATGGAGTTAATTGCTTATCAAAAAATGGAGTTAATTAACTACTGATTAGGTTAAAATTAAATAAAATATCGTGCACATGGAATTGTTGCAGACGATGTGGATGTCACAGGTTTTCTGCACAATTGGCTGGCTTGCAATAGCACTTGCCACTGTAAGTTAATTTCAAATCTCATCCCTTTTCTTTTAACAGATTAACTTAGTGGCGGGTTGGATCGATGATTTGGAAAACTTGTTAATTGGGGTCTATCATTGTATAAATATTATTTAATATAAAACTTGTTATTTAGTATGTGATATTTGGTTTCAAACTTGTTATTTGGCAAATACCCGTCCCTACAAAGTATTTGGCAAACTACCCTTTTTTGTGTTATTTGGCAAAACACCACATTCAAATAACAGATCCCATTTTTTGTCAGCCAAACATATTATTTGAGGTCAAATCACATCCCAAATACTCAATCTAAACGACTCTTTAAATTAATCTCGTGTTATATTGATGCATTGGAGGAAGCAGAGTTCCTGGTGGCTTGACATGGGAAGACTTTCAACTGGGATTGGAGTTGGGTTCCTCACCTACGTGGTAACGCACTAACTCAATACAGTTTGAGTCGGATTTGTGCTGGACATTTCAAATTATTAGACAACTCTTTCGAAATATAAGTATCAGACAGACGTTAAATTTCGAGTCAACAACTTTATACGTTGGTAATGCTGACTTGACAACATGATGCTAAGTTGGAAGAAGTAAGTAAATGTCAACGGTTCAATTGAAAAAAATTACAAAAATATTAACGAACAGACAATTGAGTAATATTTTGATGCGTTGTAGAAAAATTTACTAATATTTTGTATTTCGATATTTTTTGCTAGTAGGTCCCTATCTACGTGGCAGAAGTAACACCCAAAGATTCCAGAGGAGCATTTTCATATGCCAGTCAGGTACTACTAGGGATAAGATGCTGCATATATATGTTATTTGGAAGTACATATTTACATATGCTAATCTTCTGCTAATATATTAATTTTTTATGGATGGTCCAGTTGCTGATAAATTTCGGGTGTTCTGTTGTTTTCTTGGTGGGAAATTTTGTTTCCTGGCGCACATTAGCCCTAATTGGTAGGTAAAACCATCTATTTCTTGTTTTTTTATCCTTGTCAATTTTCACTGTAAGCAAGAGTCTATTGTGACCAAACTACGGTCGTAAATCTCCGCCAGGGCTCGTCACTATATCATTGTTTTGGCGACCATTTCTGCAAGTGGTCGGGAAAAAACTCATTTTCTTGCCGTGTTTTTTTTTTGGTTTTATTTTAATTATATCAGTGCTTTTTTACATACACAAGTTAATTTCACCCCCTTTTTTTCTTATTAGGTCTTGTCCCGGGGATCCTACAACTTGTGGGGCTATTTTTCATTCCTGAGTCTCCAAGATGGCTGGTGAGTTTATCTGGGACAAAATTGGGCGATAAATATGATGAGGTGTGATGTGTTAATGTTCGTGTACCGAAACGTAATTTCCAGGCAAAAGTTGGAAGAGCTAAAGAGTTTGAAGCTTCATTGCAATGGTTGAGAGGCAAGAACGTTGATATCTCGGACGAAAAAGAAGAGATTAAAGTAAAATTCTCTTCTTCCTTTTTTTAAACTCTAAACTGTTTATATCTTTCTACGTGTCGCGCGGGTCTTCTTTAGGATAATAATTATATTCGTTCGATATGTATTGGTATTAGGTAAATAGTCATTATGACCCGTTATTTAATTTTTTTCAAACTGTGCAGAGTAACGTGGATTCTATGAAAGAGGATTCAAATGCCAAAGTCACGGACCTTTTCCAGAAGAAATACGCATACTCCCTCATTGTGAGACTAATTATCAAATTAAAACTTCAATAAGAGCTAAGCAGTCCCCCCTAACCTATGCTATCTTTCAAGAAAATTTGTGACCTCGAGCTAACTTGCACTATATGATCCCCCGATTTAGGTTGGACTCGGTCTAATGCTTTTACAGCCACTTGGAGGCAATTCAGGAATTTCATCTTATGCTAGTGCCATAGTTGAGAGAGCTGGTAAGTAAATCAAGCTGCTAGATCAAGTTTCCAACAGATTTGGAATCCTGAATTTTTTTTTTTATAGATAAAGCATAGGTGTAAAAACGTGTCTTTGAACGTGTATATGCAAATTAAACCTTTGATCTTTGGATACAGGATTTCCTACTAGCACCGGTACCATCATTATCTCAACAGTACAGGTATTGGACCAGTCAATTCGATCATTATGTAAAACAAACTTCAAATATTTTCCTGTTCAAGTTTGACATTAGGGCAAAAATTATCCAATCATTCTGTTGCTTTTAGCAACCATTTTTGCGGTCGTAATATGTTTGGCATATTTTACTTTCTTATTATAGGTACCATCAGCAGCGGCAGGCCTGTTCTTGATGGATTTTGCAGGAAGAAGACCACTGCTCATGGTACGTATATTACTACTTAATTAGCAAGACTGACGATTCAACTAATTATTTAACTCAATAAAGTTTAATGAATTTACTAATTAACTAGCGGGTGAAATAAAAATAAAAAAAAATATTATGCAGGTTTCTGCTGGTGGAATGTGTTTCTGCAGCTTTCTTGTGGGATTATCATTTGTATTGCAGGTAACTAATAAATTAGTTTTGAAATTCATGACTTCTAGAAACATATCATTTTGCGACCAAATGTGGTAATTCGGTCGCAACAACTTGGTTGCTAATGCTCCTAAAATCACCATACTGGTTGCTAATACTGCATTGGGTGACCATTTTGCTGCCTTCAGATATAATTATTTGATAAAAAAACGCTTTCTTTGGTTTTGTAGTGTGATATGAATGAATTAACTTTATATAGCGCTGATCTTACTGTGTTTTGTTCTGCCAAATTGTTCATCCACAGGGCCTTAATCTTTTGAGGGACTTGACTCCAATTTTAACCGTCCTTGGTCTTACTGTAAGTGAAAATATATGAGTCTATTTTCATATTCGTTTTTCGTGGTTGTGGCATCGGAAAACATATACTGAAGGAATCGAAACTACCATTTTTTAGAAACAAAACCTGAAAAATAAAAACATGTTTAGCTAAAACTTTTGGCCAATTCTGAAACCAAAACCGGAATGATCTAACTAATAAAATTTATTTTCTAGTGTCTTTTAGAAATAAAATCTAATGTAATATAACATTTAAAAAATATAAATTTATTTGAAAATGAATTTTTTAAGTAATTCATTTTGAATTAAAAATGAATTCTTGCTTCATTTGTATCAAAGTAGTTATATCTATTAAAAAGATAAAGTTAGATAAATTTAAAATTTAAAATACTAAATTAAAAGTACTAAAAATAAATATAAGTAATGGCATTAAAAAATTTCATCTCATCCATACAAAAATGTGTTTTTCATTGGAAATTTAAGAAAATGAAGTCGAAACTAGTAGAAACTGGAAACAACAAGAAGCTATCACTTTCTATTTCCATAGCTGAAAACCAACAAAAAAACATAATGAAAAGTAAGCATGTTTTCTTATTTCCGTTGCTAGATTTCTGAAATTGAAACAAGAAGCGAAAATGAAAGTGAACAAAACTAGAAGAATGAATTGCTAAGTATTTTTCATTTGATTATGAATTTTTTTAGGATAAATACAATTTATCATCCGAATCTTTTAAACTTTCCAAATTATTTGTCAGACCTTTCAAAATACAATATATTAGTCAAATGTTAACTTCCCACGCTGACAGTTTTGTTAGTAATAATGATTTGCCAACATGCAACTGACTTGGACACGTTAATTTCAACATACAATTTTTTTAGTATTTTCCATAAAAAAGAGTCATAAAATTACTATCAGCAACACAGACAAACTAATATTTTTAATGTGTTATAAAAGGTTTAACTAATATTTTGTATTTATCAAATTTTTTATAGTCTTAAAAGAAGTACTTTAATGACTGTGTAGGTATACACAGCAGCTTTCTCAATTGGGGCGGCAGGCATTCCATGGACCATGATGTCCGAGGTCTGGAAATTACTTGTTTTTTTTTTCAAAATAAAATTGGACATAAATCACATATTAGCTGAAAATAGTTCTCTATTTTTCTTTTTGGAAGATATTTCCGATGAGCGTGAAGGCGGTAGCTGGAACTCTCGTCACATTAGTAAACTGGTCATCTTCTTGGCTCGTCACTTACACTTTCAACTTCATGCTACAATGGAGCCCTGCAGGTAAAGTTACTATTTCCTTAAGAAAAAAAAAACTACAATACAATGTAATAAGTTTTAGTTACGAGTTTAGCGTACATTACTCGAAATATATAAGCAAAGTCTAGCGTATGTTTTACGTATAATATATGCAAGTGATTTAGTCAGCTAGGAATTAGGATGTATAGTTGTTTTCATTCACAAATGGTTATTCTCTTTATTATTGTAGGGACATTTTTCATTTTCGCCATAGTTTGTGGGGGAATTGTTGTGTTCACCTGGAAATTGGTACCAGAGACCAAAGGAAGAACCCTTGAAGAGATACATGCATCAATGGAAACAGGTTGCTTGCACTAGAAGATACAGGACTGGGGTCATAGCATGTGCTGGGACAAGTGCCTCCAAAATTTGAGGGACCTTGAAAGTGATGGGCTTGATAATGGATTAATGGTGCAGGGTGTTTTGGTTGTGATGATAGTCAAATGATGCATATGATCTAAAACAATATGTGTATAAAATTACTGGATAGTTTAAAGTCATTATAAATTTACTGAATTTCAAACGAGACACCCAATTAAACAGTCCCTCTCCCTCCTGGCGCGGAGGCCTTCCTGCACTCATTGAGAACCACCGCACTTCCCCCTACCGCGTCGTCAAAGATTGAAAACTGTGCATATCTCTAAAACCCAACCCAACCCTCTCTCTGTTTTTCATTTGCACATACAATCCCACTTCGGCCAATGAATCCTCCTCTTCTCTTTCTTCTAACCCCACCAGGAACTTGCAATAAGACTTCTAACTTCTTGTATTACACTCGGAGGTTCATGGAAAACTGACACAGTATAGGTTGCTTGTGCCTGTGCGACTGCCTTGATGGGAACCTCTTTGGCATCAATAGGCATTACTCGACCCTTCCACAACTTTACTTTTGCTCGCATTCTAGCCACCAACACAACAAAAAGACCCTTCTTTTTGTTTGTCTACAATTGTGGGCAGACCTAAGTATTTCTCATGATGTGAGACTTTCCTCATTTCCCAAAATGGTTGTCATCGTTGTTTGTTTATCATCCTTCACATTTGGGGTAAAGGAGATCTCAGATTTTGTGAGATTTACCTTCAGACCGATCTCTTCCTCATAGGTTTGTAGAATCTGATTGTTGGAAGATTTCCATCGCAATCATTACCCAGCTCTAGCAATGAGATTTCCTCTTTTGCCAGACTCTGACTGTTGGAAGATTCTCGTCGTCTTGTGTTATCTTCTTCAATAAGAGATGATTGTACCACCATCAAGCCGTCCGATTCCACTTATGATAGTGATTTCCTTTGCCATCTTCTTTTGCACCTTGATGTCTGGATGCTTAAAAATATCAAATATTTGTATGTAAAATGTATCAAGATTTTGTATGCTTAAACTAAAAATCGATTTGTCAAAAGTTAAAGAATGTAATTCATTTTCCAAGCCCCATGATGCTTCTTATGCAACTAATTAAAGTCCTGTGAGTGTATATTATATAAAATCAAAATTTATTAGGTGTCACGATAGTCGATTAAGTTAGTCCAACTATTTAGGATGGTTGATTGATGTACATTGTATACTATAATCTGTTTGATTTTTTTTTAATGATGATACCATTTTATTTAATAATTAAAGGTTGGGAATAACAGATACATAGAATTGAAAAAGTGGTCCTATTTAGCAGTCCAGGGAAGAACTATCACTCTTGCTGCAAATTGTACTACCATTCTCTTAGTACATAGGATAAGGAAAAGCCCATTTATCCTATACCATGAATAGGATGGCTTCTGCAATTTCACACCACTTGAAACTTCTGATCCTTGTGAAGTTTCGAATTTTTAAGTTGTGATAAGATAGCATTTTTTTTTTGTGGCTTCTTGCTGGCTTTTTTGTAAGATTAGTTGTTCATTGAAACCACAGTTTTGTTCCCTCCTAAGTCATGAAATGCTGGCGTTGAACATTTTCTGTGTTTGTGCCACCCTCCCAGTCCAAAAATTGGTACAACACTGAGCTTCTTAATTTCTGAAGATAATAGTTTCCTTTATTCATATAGCCATAAAATATATGACTATTCGAGGCTGATGATGATTCATGTTTGTATTTACTAGTTTATATACATCCACTTGGGTAGCAAGCAGCAGCAGCAGCATTTTTTCACAGAGCACATCATTCTAGTGAAAATCTAGGGGCAGTTGGGACTATCTAAGAATCAAGCTCAAAACTCACAACTGTTGGATTCAGTCTACTGCCTGAAACAGCTCTTGATCATTAATCCTTCCGCGTTCTTCACCTGATGCGATTCGCCCAAGCAAAAGGCTCCTGATTCTTCTTCGTCACAGATTTCTTGGCTGCTTCATTAGGATCACCAAATACATTCCAGAACCTCAGTGTCTCATCTCCAGCAGCCGAAGCCACAGTACACCCATCAGGACTCTGCGCCAAGAACAGCACCCTCGAAGTATGCCCCGTGAGCTCCGCGGTCTTCACCATCGACGGATACTTCCACAGTGTCAGCTGATTCTGAGTGAACCCATGAGAGCTCAGAAGCTCCCTCTCGTTCTTGTTCCACAGCAACGCACAAACCTGCGATCCGGTGTCGACCGAGTTCAAGCACGCCCCTGTGTGTGTGTTCCAGAACTTGATCGTCCTGTCTCCTCCTCCACCTCCAGAAGCAAGCAAGTTGGACTGGAAAGGACACCACGCGAGCGCCTTGACTGCTGAAGTGTGATCCTCGAGCCGGTGGAGGTACTGAGTCGGGGAGTTCGAGGAAGCCAATGATCTGTCCCAGATGTGAATGAGATTGTCGTTCCCACCACTTGCTAGTTGCTTCCCTGAAGCTGACCATTTGAGTCCGCAGACTTCTTGCGTGTGGCCTCTGTATGTCTCGACGATGTGGTCGCGAATCCGGACGTCGTTGTTTATGATCCTGCCGTCCATTCCTCCTGTGGTGAGGATGTGGTCGTTCCAAGCCAGTGAGCCGACGCGACATCTGTGCCCTCCTTTGAGAGTTCGTAGCTGTTTGTTGGAGGCTGAATCCCACAACTGGACCTCGGAATTGTTCAGTCCAATAGCGATGTGGCGGCCATCAGGAGCCCAGTTCACGCTGGTGACAGGGCCGTGTTCTTCATCGACTGTCACGAGCTCGGAAGTGGAGCCAGTAGATGCATCCCAGAGGTAAACTGTGCTTCCGAGAGCTATGGCCAGAACGTTGCTGCTGCCCCAATCGAGCAAGTTCAGGTAGAAGTCGTCGACGAGGTCTGGAGCATCCAGTGTCCTCTCAGAAGTCTGCCAACAAATGCAATGCACCATTATACAACCAGCTACTTACATCCATCTGATACAATCCATGTATAGAATCACAATTTTCTTGAGATGTGGGAATGACGAGTTTACCTGTGGGATGTGCCTGCGGGGTTTGGTGGGTTTAGCCTGGTGCGTTGTGGAAGAAGCTGAAGCAGTGTGTTGATGGGGGATCAGCTCGACGGGGACCGGAGGCTTGTTCTTGAACGCCAGGATTCTGGTTCGGTTCAGGTTCAAGGTCTCGGCGAGCAGTCTCTTGTAGGCCTCGCTTGAAGGAGAGCTTGGGACTGAGTTATCCTTCTCTTTCCTGCCTTGAGTCACCATGAAATGGGCATAATCCATGTCCATTGCTGATCGATTAGGAATGAATCTGTCCAACTGTTGTCACCATCGCAACCAAGAGTCAGGACGGATCTTCAATTCTTAAAGACAAAGAAAAGAGCGGAAACTGAGAATTTCAAACCCTAACCCAGCCAGAACAGAGAACCACAGATTCGGGAGGTGAAAAGAACAAAATCTTTCTCTCTTAAATTGGGATTTCAAATTCAATCGGAACCCTAGATCTATAAAAGAGAACAGATTCGAGAGAGGTGAAAGAAATTGCTTACGTTCTCTTTGGAACCCCTTCTCTGGAGAGGGAATCTGGGATTGGGCGTGGTGTAGCTCATATTTGCAGATCCTGCATCCATCAATTCAAACACAGAGCAAAAACGAAACAAGAAACAAAACCTAACAGTTTACAGTAAGCAATTAGTAAAGAAATTCAGAAAACGAAGAGAGAAACCAGAATTCGGAGATCTGCAAAACAATGGGTTAGTGACAGAGAAGCAAAAAGCAAGCAGTCGCAAACTGAAATCAAATAGAGAGGAGTCGCCGGCGAACAGAGAGGAATCTGGGAGGAGGAGCTGTGAGAAGAAATGAGTGCGCAGAGAAAGATTTGTTGTTCGCTGATTGGAGAACCGTAACAGAGCAGGAGGAAGAAGGAGAGCCGAAAGAGCAATTGGTGAAGAATCGGGTGGGAGAGCGAGCGCTTTATAGCAGCGATTTTGGGGGAAAATTGGAGATTTAGGGTTCGGGGGATAACAAAAAACAGAGCTTTGACAAAATATAGCCGTTGGAACTCCGCGTTCCCGCGCCGTTCACTACTAGTTCATTTCGGATGGGCCGTTTTTTGGTGAAACTTGGGCTTTGCTTCGGGCCTGATTTGGAGGGGGTGCATTGAGCTGTTGAAAAATTGGTCCAAGCGTAATTAAGGTCTCTTGAGTCTTGACAGCATCTAGGGTTAGGGGTGTTCAAATGGTTATCATGGTTATTACCAAACTAAATAAGGCTAAATTTCATTCATCAGGAAATACAATATCATAACCAAACCGTCCAAACTAATACAACAATCAAATTAACCAAACTAAAGTTTAATCGGTTTGGTTAATTGGTTAACCAGATTAACCAATATAAAATCATATTATCATTAAGTGAGAAAATTTTCGGTTAAATTATCAATTCACAATTTATATAACGAATAAAACATTCTTATAAAAAATATAATGAATAAAACATAACAATCAACACATAGTTATAGTTGACCCATAACATAAATACATGCAACTAAGACAATTATCTTATGGTTAGTATAGAAGTATTCACCTAACAAAAATTTATCACAATGGTATGGGTTAATGAATTGTTGTGTTTGTTTGAATTGACTTAGTCTTTTAGCAATTTTGATAGGCTGAAAAGGACCTTGCTTTCAAGTTTTCATCCAACATAATGTATGAGATCTATCCAAATTAGGCATTCATAGGTTGTGGTCTACACTCTACATATACAAATATACATCATAGGAACGATATCAAGCTTTATATTTTATGAGTCTAAAAGGATGAAAGTTTAACTCGTAAGTGGTTATTCAAAGTATTAAGTATGTGTATATATTAGATATATGGCCAATTATTTATCTAGTTAATTTGGTTTGGCTGGTTAGGAGTGCCTGAAACCAAACCAAACCACATAAACCAAACAAGATAAAAACTTTAACCAAACCAAACCAAACCAATTATCCAAATTAACCAAACCAAATCATCTTAAATCGTATTGTGACTAGGGATAAGCTAAAGCAGTGGGGGAAGATAAATGTGGCAACTTGTGTGCTATGTGAAACAGAGGAAGAGATTCGCTTTCATTTATTCTGCAACTGTGAGTATACTAGTTATCTGATGACTGCAGTGTTTGGTAATCTGGTGACCAGTTGGGGGACTAGTTGGGAGCAGCTTCTACAAGAAATGATTTCACTTACTAGAAACAGTGTGGATGGTCATGTGATTAGTGCTATTTGGTGTTGGATATGTAGTTTGATGTGGAAAGAGCGTTGTAGACGAGTATTTGGAGAGCTTCCACGAATCTGGGAGGTTGTATTTCTGCAATTGCGGGAAGAAATGTGGCTGTTGGCGCAGGGGGACTTGCGTTTCAGAGAGGCTATGGTAGGCAGTAGAGTGATAGGAAGGTTGAATCTACAGTTATAGATTTTTGATAGCTTTCTTTGTAAGATGTAAAGGGTACATCTGAGTTTTTTGCGCGGCTTGGTTTGTGATCAAGTGAGCTTAATGAGAAGAACTAATTACCGGAAAAAAAAAACGGTTACTATGGTAACCACACCGTTTGAACACCCCTATCTAGGGTTTAGAGAACAGAGATGAAGTGTGTGAAGGCCTGAAGGGTACAAGTTTGATATTTTCCCTTTATTTAGGGTGAAGTTTGAATGTTTGATATTTTTCTTGAGTGCTTAAAGAATCTAGGTATGGTCATAGACATGACCTTGTATACCGGACTCAAACAACTCTATAATCGATGGAGTAAGTGATGGTCGAAATCATTTTCTAGTGCAATATTCGCAGCCAATGTTTGAGACTGTAACTATAGTGGCTCGACATAGTGTGCTTGATAGTTGCGCGTTTCAAAAGTTCCGCAACAAAGTTCAACAATTCACTTGTAGAGCTCTAAAATGATGGAACATGTCCCTCCTATACAGGGAAAAAGAAGAAGATGAATCGCAATTTCTGTATATGAGTATACCACCACTTTGTGATATCTCATCGTCCATTGAAGAATCTGGAGAAATCCAGGTCTAGAGCAAGAAAACCAAGCTGAAAAATAATGCAAAGCCTATGATAGAAAAACCCAAGAAAATACACTTTGAGAAACTCCAACACTTTTTACCATCGACAATAACTTTCACTTCTCAGTCTCAAGATAGTTTTTTACTGTGTTTGTAAAACCTCATATCAGAGAGCACTTCTACTATGCTATAAAGTATTGGTGCTTTAATGTACAATTTAAAGTTGTACCATAACGTTAAATGTATAATTTCAGGTTGTACCATAAAGGAATTTGTGCTCTTATGTTATGATACAAGTTTAAGTTGTACCATAAAACAATTTGACAAAAGAATATAGGTATACAATAGGGACGGGATACGGTGACAACCCATAAGGGGGTTATCAGATTCACAACCAAGGGTATTTTGGGTATGAAAAAAGGAATATATTAATTACCTCTTTTGTATTAATTATATTGGGAATTAAGAACCCATATTAAATACGATTTTTTCGAGAATTTAAATCCTATACATTAATATCTCTATCTATCTCTCTCTCTCTTCCTTTCTCCAGCAGCCACTCCGCATCGACCGACAAACTTTTTCTCCGGCGAATTCTCTCCGGCAGACTCCCTCCAACAACCTGAAAAAATGTCCCAAAGCGTTAAAAAGTGTACCAATCTATTAGTCTACTGGTAATTAATATACCAGTGCTAGTGGTACGCTACCAGTACGTTAAAAAATTTACCAGTACTAGCGGTACTAGTAAAAAATGTACCAGTACTAGTGGTACGCTACCAGTACAACGCTACCAGTAGAGAATAACACAACGCTACTAGCACTGGTAGCGCTACCACTAGCAATGGTAGCGGTACCAGTGGAGAATAACAAAAAAAAAAAAAACAGATGATAGTGGTACCAGATGATAGGGGAGCCACTGGTATTGGTACCAGTGAGTAGTTGTAGCGTACCAATAGCGCAACCAGTGGTATTGGTACCAATAATGCTACCAGTGGTATTGGTACCAATAGTGCTACCATTAGGGATCCGAAGAAGGGCCCAAAGGCGCGGTCAACCCAGATGACGAACCCGCCGTTGCCAGGGTAAGCGGTGGAGAGCTCGGCGGTGATGAGAGCCTCCAGGATGCTCCAGATGAAAGGGAAGATGAGAGCCTCGCCGTACGGCCCACCGACGACTTCGAAGTAGATGAGGAAGATGAGAGGGATCAGAGTCAGCTACTTCTCCTTGATCGTCTTCGTGGTGGTGCTTATGGGAAGCTGCTGCTGTGATGGGGATGAGATCTCATCCATGGCCGTTGACTGGGAGTGAGGTTGATCTTCAGCTCGTGAATTCATCATCGCCATTGGGTGATGGGTTCTGAATTTGGCGGCGGTGGTGGGAGGGCTGTGGCGGCGGAGAGAGGGGGAGGAGAGACAGTGATGTCTACGGGAGAGAGGGAGGATGGAGGAGTTAGGGTTTTTGTTCTTTTTATATGGTAGGGTGAATGATTGGGTGTGGTAAATTTTTACCCTTCCAAAAATATCCTTCCTTTAATCTTAACCGTTAATTTAAAAAAAGAAGAAAGAGACAGGAGAGAGAGCGTATCCAAGGGCTATGAAGTGGGTTGTGAATTTGACAACTCCCTTAGGGGTTGTCACCGTATCTCGTCCCGTATACAATATGAAGTTGTACCATAACGTTAAGTTGTACCATAAATGAAAAAACCTATATCACCAATGCTATATAGCATTATAAATTCCTCCATATAGTAAACTAGGAAACAATTTTTTTATAGTATTAAATAGTTGAATCACAATTTAATCATTCTTTCATCGGCTAACTTTACGATTTTAGTATATCCTTGAGTTTTACACTAACCACTAGTAAAATTCACCAACGGACTGGGATCAAACTTGGCAAACTCCAACATCTCCTCATTCCTCGCCACCGCCGCCATCTCCTCCTCGTCCATCGTCACCCACGCCTCCACCCCTTCGCCGCACGGCGTATCCGCCATCATCACCAGATTCAAGAACACCGAACCTTCCAACCCGTAGCTGCTCACCCAAACCGGCTTTCCCCACCCGAAATCCGACCCGTAAAACCCCAGCCTGCACCAGCTCGAAACCCCCACAAAATCCGCCCCTTCCTTCATCTTCATCTCCACGATCCCATCAAACGTCTCCGCCATCGCCGCCTCCCTCTCCGCCCCACTCATCAGCCTCCCCACGAACCCGCCGTCGATTTTGGAAATCGATTCCCTCACTTTCCCCGCCAATTCTCCGAGCCCCGACGACCCGGACGGATACTCTGTTTTTGGATCGTGTTTCGCCGACGAGATCCAGAGGAGGTTCCCCAGGGCGTTTCGGCAGAGATTTGGGTCGATCCGATTCCGGAGGTTGACCATGTGGGTCAGGACGGACGGTTTCTGGGTCACGGCCATGATTGATTTCCAGAGCAGGGCAGAAACGATCTCGACCCTGGTCGCCGGAGAGTTTGATCTGGACTTGAGGGACTGGATCGCCGGCGAATTGAAGACGATTCGCCGCGTCACGCATTTCCCCTTCCTGAAGAACGATCCCCACATCGGCATTGAGGCGTCCCGGAGCCAGTGGGAGCCTCCCGCCGGAAACAGAGTCCCGGCGACGAATACGGGATTAATTAGCATCCTACTCGTTTCCTTTTCCTCTTCGACGGCAGCGGTGGCGGTCCACGCCTTGAGGAAAGTTCCGAGCGCGGCGCCGTCGAGCATCTTGTGCGAGATGCAAATCCCGATGGCAATCCCGCCGCAGGCGAACTCGGTGACCTGGAAATTCGACACGTGTCTCGGCTCGACAATCGGGCCGGCCGGGTCGACCGGGAGGAGGTTGGGCAGCGATAAGAGATCCGGTTGGGTGAGGAACCGGGTTATGGTGCAATCGGCCCGAGCCTCGACGAAATTGGCCCCTCGATCGTCGCAGTCGATGGTGAGATCGTCCGAGGAGAGGGTTCCGGCCAGTGGGTAGAACCGGGTCAGGGTTTCGGACAGGGACGATTTGAGCACGTCGAGGCGCGAGCTGCTCGATACGACGCCGTGTTGGGAGTTCGGGTAGAAGAGGATGAGTGGAGCGTAAGGAGGAGGGATGAGTTGGTCGAGGAGGGAGAGGTGGAAGGTTTTGAGATGGGGAGGAGTTGGGGAAGATGGCTGGATGGTTTGTTTGGAGATTGTTTTCACTTCGAGCTTCATCATTTTCATGGAGAATTCCTCTTCTTCTTCTTCTTCCTTTTCTTTTTGTTTGGATTGGAGATTGTAAGGGTTTATTTGTGAAGTGTTGGATAGTAGTGGATTTATATAGAGACAGGAAATAGGAAGGAGGTTGATTAAGACTGAAATCTGTAGTTTTGTATACATCAAATGCAGTAATGGAGAGAGAATTAGAAAATGAATAATCGTGTAATTAGGTTCAACAATGATTTAATGCCGTGCTTACATAAACTAATTTTGGTTGGACATTAATGCATTTGAGTTGTTGTATGATCCAAAGGAAATAATGACAAAAGAGAAGGATGAGTTACCATGTCAACTCATTTTTTTATAATGGTGTTATAGATTGATTTTTATAATGAGGTAATACTAAAGAGATTCGAATCTGGTATCTCCAGATTCAAGACTACTTTTATTACCACTAAACCAAGACTGATGTAGTCAAAATCGTGCTTTAATACTTAAAAGCTTACGTTTTTCCATTTCTAGGTCACTATAACGGTTCTACTTAGAATCATATTTTTCACCTACAATTATAGTCAAAATCTACGTTTTAAAGCTTAAAAGCTTACGTGTTTACGCTTCTTTGTCACCAAAACGCTTCTACATACAATCGTGGTTTTGACTGCATTGGCCAAGACCTTGTTCGCAGAAAGTGTTTGAAAAATGACATTCCATATGTCCACCTTCTATTTTCATGTTGATGATTTCAAAGGTGAGTTTGGAGATGGTCTGGTTATCGCGACTTCTTGGTGAATTAGGTGTTACATGTCGGGTTCCAATGTGGACTTATGGTGATAATACGAGGGCTATACATAGTGCCATTAATCTTGTTTTGCATGACTAGACATGTCATAAACCAGTTGATCCCAATAACTCGAGTTGTTGGGAGAAGGTTATGCTGGATCTTATAGCACTCTCTAACACGCCCCCTCAAACGAAAGCCAACCCATGGGCTTGAAGTTTGCACAGGCCCGTCATACCATGTGTTTGAAAGACAACGGTTAATAATGGGGGTCGTGGAGATTCGAACACACAACCACTTGGCCAAACCAGCTCTGATACGCTGTCATAAACCAGTTGATCCCAATAACTCAAGTTATTGGGACCAACTGGTTTATGGCATGGTATCAGAGCCTTGTTACGATCCAGGGACCTGTGGCCTGTGGGTTACGATCCAAGGAATTGGTTAAGTACCATACATGGGCCTGTATAAGATCCAACAGAACTGTCATAAATAAATTGATCCCAATAACTCAAGTTGTTGTGAGAAGGTTATACTGGATCTTCTAGCACTCTCTAACAAGACAAAGCATATTGATGTACATGTTCACTATATTCGACAGCTGATTGCAGAAGGTACTATTCAGGTTAGCTACTTGTCGACAGAAGATCAGATTGTAAATATCTTAACCAAGACAGTGGAGTCGACATTTATACTTATCACCCAAATTGATGTTGCCCACCCAACATCAATTTGAGTGAGAGTCTTGAAATATAAATATATATTTGTAATAAGCTAGCCGGCTTTTGTATCTAGGGTTTGGTCTTGACTTTTAGAGAAACCACATTAAATTCTTGTGTTGTTTAGTTTTCGTATGCTAATTTTACAGCAACAATTCTCACTCGGTTAGCTATCCTCTAAATCTTCTAGTAACGTAATAACATATTCTTCTTGTACCACAATAATTAGTTGACACGTATTTGATATACAAAAAATAATAATAATATTTCTTACAAAAAAAAAAAATAGTAATAAGCATCGGCACAACCTCGTTCATGATACTTTATTGGATATCTGTTATAGGTCTGGGATTTTTGCAGGGAGGGAGGTTGATATCGGTTTGGTTGATAGGCATGGCAGACCCCTTCGTCCTGCGAATTTGCTGCTTTATTGCTGGGACAGGGGGCGAGATGTGTGTATCGATTTGACTGGTTTTGTGCCTGGTCGAACGGTTGCTGATGCTACTTAGCGAAAGTGTGCCAAGTATCAGGACTTGTGCATGATGGCTAGTTACAAATTCCTGGCCTTTTTTCCCCCTTCACTTGGAGAGTTGGATACGAATGCAGTGGCTTTGCTCAAGCGGATCAAGAAATTCTCCGTGTCTCAGAATGCAAGGGCTCGGGTGGTTGCCTACATTTTAACTAGACTTAGCTTTGCTGTAGCTAAGAGAGTGAGGGCCAGATTATATCTCGGCTACCCACTCATTTATTGTAGACCTGTATTTGTTATGATTCCACTCATTTGAAAATATAATAATAATAATAATAAGGGTAATGAATATTTATTAGCTAAACTATTTCCAGATTATTTTCTATTAGCTAAACCTATAAAAATACTAAGAATTAGCCAAATGTTAACTTACTGTTAGCAATTTTATTAGTAATATTGACTTGGCAACATGATACTGACTTGGAAGAGACATATGAAGGTCAACATTCCAAAATTTTAGTATTTTAACTAAAATAATAGTTACAAAATTATTAACGATAACGTAATATGGCTAATATTTTGATGCATACAAAAGATTTGGCTAATTGATAGCATTTTAATAGGTTTGGTAATAAAAATGAATATGAAAAAGGTTTGGCTAATAGTTATTATCTTAATAATAATAAGGTTGGTGCTTGCCTTGTTGGCCCTACTTTATCTGGTTATTTTGATGGTTTTCAGTTTGGGGTCGAGATTTCTGGTAGAGGAGAGGCTATTTTGCATGCCTTGAACCGGTATGTTGAGGCTCGTGGTGGTGACGTAGGTCTTTCTACGTTGCTGGTTGATTTCCAGAATGATCTAAATTGAGTTGATCGTGCGGCCATGCTTGAAGAAGTCCACCATCATTGCCGATCCTATCTCAATGGGTAGAGTTCTGTTACTCTAGCACTGCCCGACTGTATTATGGGATGCATAGCTTATGGTCTTGCAAGGGTGCAGCAGGAAGACCCTTTGGGCCCCATGCTTTTTTTTTTGGTGTTGCATCATTTAGTGTACAAGATCAAAAACTCTTTTGATCTGAGTATGCTGGCATGGTATTTGGATGATGGCACCATTGTGGGGGACACTTTAGTTGTTGGGAAGGTCTTAGACATGATTATGGATGAAATCCCTCGATTTGGCCTTCACCTAAATGTGGGTAAGACGCAGGTTTTTTGGCCTACCGATGATCCTAGGAGTTGGCTTCCAGGTGTTTTCCCAGCCTCTATTGCTCGACATTCGCATGGTATCACCATTCTGGGTGGTCCTGTTAGTTCTTGTCTTGATTTTAGCAGTGAGATTGTGGTGAAGAGAGTTACCAACACCGTAGAGCTGATAGACTTGGTTGTGAGGATTGATGACCCACAGTGTGAGTTGTTTTTGCTTTGGCTTGTACTGGTATTTCTAAACTCTATTTTGCTTTGCGTACTTGCTCTCCTCGTGTTTATTAGTCGGCCCAACTTCCCTATCATTTAGGCGGACTTGGGGTTTATGCTGCTAGAGATGTCCTGCATTATGCTTTTTTTCCATCGCGTTTGCAGTCTAGGGAGTTGCAAGCTAAACTCTTAGGTCCTTCTGGTATCCTATCTCCTGATCATGCTTTTGGTGATGCCCTACACACCTTTAATGGGTTTACAAGTTCTGATCTCTTATGTGACCCTAGTGGAGTTGCTGCCCCAAAAAATTGGCACATATATTTCACGAAGGTTGATGCTAGTTCAGATTTTGTTTTCTCGTTGACTACGCGTCAGGTGGTTTTGTGGAAGTCTCAGCAGAGTGCGGCACTCTTGTGATTGGTTGCGCGTTCTTCCTTGACTCGCACAAAACTACAAATAAAAACAAGCAAGTAAAGTAAATCGGGGTCGTCCCAATGAGAGAAGAGTTCACTAGGGTGTTGCTCCTCCTAGCTAACAATTACGACCGGTTGGATCGAACGATTGTGTGTGGTTAGAGGGTCATAAAACGTAGGAAAGTCTAACAAGCGGCCAAAGCTACCGTCTTAGCATCTAGGTTGAGGAATGGGATACGATCCAAGCCGCTAATGTGACCCTCTCAACCTATTGACTACGGAATGGTTAGACTTCACCCTTGAATTGTGGTTCGGACGGCCACCCACAACCAAACCCTAAGCGCTAATACGAAATAGGAGGATTGCCCATTAACTAACCTAGAATAAGAGGCATAAAATTCACAAGGAAACCCATATCTACCATCCCTAATAGAGCCTCTTAGGTTAAGGAGGGTTCTCTCTAAACTAGCTTAGGAGACATTGAATGCCCAAGGAAACCCAACTCAAATATAAGCTCTTTGGGCAAAGGAGGTTTCCTCTCTAAACTAACCTAGGAGGCATGAAATGTCCAAGAACACCCATCTCCAATGGAGCCTCTTAACCTAAGGAGGTCTCCTCTAAGCTAGGTTAGAATGACAATTAGATTGATAGACTTTCACACAACACAACCATTCATGAATAATACCTCCACATCCACATTAAAACATAACCGCATACACAAATCATTCAATTCATACAAGCATTCACATAATTGTAGCTAGGGTTTACAACACCCAAGTGAATAGGTAGGCTAATCCATAGCCAGGCAAAAGAAAACAAAAAAAAGAGAGAAAGAACCATGGAGAGGTGGAAATCTTCCTCCCTTGTTGCTTGGATATCCCTTGAGAAGAAGAAATCTTCAATCCCCTAGCTTGAATTGAGCCCCATCTCCTTCTTCCTCCTTTGAGTGTCACAATCTCTTTCTAGAATGGGAAGGGGAAACCCTAATATCTCCATAGAAACCCTCTTTATTTTGAAAACTAAAACCTACCTAAAGCTCTCTTTCTTCCTCCTTTCAGCTCTCAATTTATACTGAGATCGCGCCAAGTTCACGTCCTGAGTTCATGGCCTTGAACATCAAAACGCGTCCGTGAACACAGTGTTTGGACCACAATGCACATCTTCACATCCTGGGGTTCACGGTTTGTGGTTACAGTTCACGGTCTTAGAGACCGTGAACTGCCTTGACGTCAGTAACTTCAGAAACCCCTCTGGACGGTCCGCTGTTCACGGTCATGGCGACCATGACCTCGCATCTCCGACCATGAACTGCGGCTGCTTCCTAGACGCTTGCGCTTCACGGTTACGGGGCAATTGTCATGGTTTTTGGACTTTTCTTCGATTTTTGCGCTTTTTGACCTCGACCCTTCCACATGTGCTAGGACCTGAAATGTATCAAAACAAGCACAACCTAGCTTGAAATATGTCGAGAGACGATGAATGAAAAGTCAAACTATCAAGAAATGAGGGGCAAAATGTGTACAGTTGGACCCAATCACTCCCCCACACTTGAACGTTTGCTTGTCCCCAAGCAAAACAATCTCGAACAAGGTAATATTTCAACCCAACAACAAAAACTTGGGGACCAATCAAAGGGCACACAATGGATGAATCTCAATGTTTATTTGGCATCAACAAATGAACGGCACAGGCAATACTGACACCCACCACAAATGACATTCGAATGCACTAAGAACGTGCAAACGAAAAGTTCTCACCTTATTCGTAAATCAATACAAGTTTTGACCGGACTACTCACCAACCACAACTGACCATGCATAGAACTCAAGTCCAAGGAACAAACAAATGGGTGAAATAGGTCCTCAGCGGGATAAGATATGAACATGCATAACATGAATGAATCACTCACTCTCTACCAGTGGGGTCAGAACCTTTTGGTGCAAAAGATGTGCACAATCATTAACACTCAACCCTATCGTCTCTTCACCATGACGACAACCTCTAAATGCTAGAGTTCACGGGACGGTTGTCATCACTAGCTTGTCCGGAGGTCTTAGACACGGGTTCAAATGACTAGCAATTGGCTTGGACATGGGGAAAATGTTTTTTGGGTGGTGGCAAACACAACATGATCTCCTACATCTTCACCCTAAACCCGAAGGTTCTATGGTTTCGACTACGAACCTTCCCTACAAACAATGGCCACTAGCATCGGCCAAAAACCTTGCTTCTCCCTTCCACACCAGTGGCGGATACATGGACATTTAGGGGTGTCCCGGGACACCCCTAAAATTTGGAAGAACGATTATCCAACCCCCGGTTGTAGTTTCATATGGAAAAAAAAATTATAATTGGTAATCCGGAACACCCTTAAAATTTGAAAAAAATGATTATACTACTCTTGATAGTAGTTTGTGTAAGATTAAAAAAAAATAGAAATGGCAGTTTGTGTTATTCAAACCTATGACACTACTATTATTAAACATATTCTCTAGGTTGCAACTCATTTCTTGTTCTATTTAAACACTATGAAATAGTAAAAACATTATTCCTTATCCCCAACTATTTTCAAAACCTAACAACTAAACTAATTACGGGCTATCCTTAATTTGAATTGATTTTATAGTTACACGACAAGAGTTAAAAGAG